CCCCCCCCCCCATCCCTTCTATCCGTCCATCCTATCGCTATGTGGGTATATGCTAACTGCAACAGACCAAGAACGGCCGCATCTCCATGGCGGGCCTAAACACACATAACCTGGACTACTTCGCCGAAGCAGTGGACAGCGTAGTTCGGGAGACTTCATAATGATGCCGAGGTATATGAAGGCTAGGATATGGTATGGATATATATGTAAGGTACAGCTAGACTGTTAGACATCACCCACAATACAAAAAATATAAACAATCGAACACAAAGAGATAGTAATAAACTACTACTACCTAAAAAACCAAATCCCAAACAACCAACCATGTACACAACCCCACAGTCCCCCAAAACACCGCCTGCGCGGTACTCCGTCTCTCCGTCGCGCGCTTCAACTCCTTATTTCCCTGCCCGATATTCGCTTCCGTATTGCTCGCATCCGTCACAAGCTGCGAAATGTATTCCTCTTGTGTAGACAGATGCGACACGAGCGTCTGCTGGAGGGAGGATATCTCAAGGAGGGATTTCTCTGCGTTCCTACATAACCAACAACCATACTCATTAGCCAGTCCCCCACCGAGAACACAAGACAAAACAAGGAATAAATAATAGGGACGGGAGGGATAGATCAACTTACTGAACCTTCCCGACCACATCCTCAAAATACTTGACCATGGAATCATTCTCCTCCTCAAAGAGCTGCAATTGCTGAGGGGTCAACTGCTTCTCGATCTCCTTGACTTCACTCTCATCCATCATCACACTTCCCGTAGTACCACCTCCAGCAACATCTCCCCTCCACGACCCCCCCTCCACACTCCCCCATCCACCCTTACCACCACTTAATTTATACAAAACACTCCTCTCCCTCTCCCTAACCCTCTCAATCCTCTTCTCAACCATATCCCTCTGCTCATTAACCAACCCTCCCAACTTAATCCTCAGATAGAAAAGCACACTCTCCCTCACCCCCTTCAACACCTTCTCCTTCTCTTCTTCCACGACCTGTTCTTCCTCCTTTCCCTCATTATCATTCCCAGAGGTGAGTGTCGCGCCCCCCGCCCACTTCGCTAACAACCCCTTCCCGAACCGCTGCGTTATGCTTCTAGAGACGGTTTCCTGGCGGAGATTCTCCGCTGCGCTGAGGGTGGTGATTGAGGTGGAGAGGTTGGATAGGAGGGTCGAGGTGGTGGTGGTGATGGTGTCGCGGGCGGTGTCGTCTAGGATCTCTGGTTGTTGGTGTTGGTGTTGTTGTTTGGTGGTGGGTTTGGTGGTGAGGGAGAGGTAGGAGGGGCGGATTGTGTGGAGGTAGGATAGTAATGATGTTATATGATTATTCTGTTTAATTGGGATGTTTGTTAGTATCTGAGTGAGGGTGGAGGATAATGATGGTGGGAGTACAATTCGGTAGGCTTCTTTGAGGAATTCGTCGGCGATTTCGGTGGTCATGTAGCCTGTGGAGAGTTTCGAAGAGGGGGATTTGCTGCGCAGCAGCTCGGAGAATGTTGGGGTGAGGTCGGTCATTTTGGAGGTGTTGCTATACTCTTGTGGTTTGTGGTCGGGGCGGCTTGTTGGTGTCGAGCTGGCATGTATGGAGCATCTACATTACGGAGGAGAGCTACGTATATCACGTGATGTATGCTTACGTGTTTTATGCATTGTCATAACTCATATCATCCATACAACCATACAACCATACCATATCCGACCAAACTCCAGGGTATACGCTAATGCAATCCTAAATCACGCCTCGCTCCTCAACCCATATCTTGTCATTGGTTAGCATGATGTCTTGCTTTTCTTCTTAGCAGAGAGTGGGCATACCTCCATCTTCCCCATCTCGCTCCCCTCTCGTCGTGCCATCTCGCGCGATCCTGCCATCAACAAGTCTAGATCCTCCTGGTCCACCATCGTAATCATGTCTCCGTCGTCCTGCATGCGGATTCGCAGCAGCGTGCGGAATCCAAATTTGTCGCGAATCCGACTCTCAAACTCTCTAAACTCAATTGTCGGTTCCATCATGATGTACCGTGTATCTTCTCGTGAATGCGCCTTCACCCGGAACTTGCGCACCTCCGGCCGCCGTGACGTCCCCCGCCGCGATCCCCGGTTCGGGGATGCCTGTGGCCGCGTCCCCATGATCTCAAACTCACCGTCCGGCCCATGGTCCTCGTATGCATCGCTGGCATACTCTTCCTGCTCGTCAATATACCGTTCTTGCTGACGGCGCCAGCTGGCTCCCGCTGGCATCGATCGGGTACCCGAGTACGTCTCCTCCGGGCTCACCGTAGGGGCAAAGCCCGTGTCACTCATGCCTCGTCGATGGCCGTGGGACTCGCCCGGCCCTCGCGGCCCCGGCCCCGGCCCCGGTCGACCCGGACCTGCCCGCGACTCGGACGCCGTGCGCGTCGTGCCGATCCGCGGCTTGTCGACCAGCGTTTCGGTACTGTGGCCCGCGGTGTTGGCCGGCCGTTCCAGGTCGAGCCGGGGCGGCCGCGCTGCCCGGATGGAGCCCGGTCGACTGTTCATCGCGAGACTACCTGTGGAGCTGTTGGTACTCGCCTTGTCTGCGTCCGGCGGGGGAGTAGGAGGGAAGAGATTACGGTTCAGAGGCGGCTCCGATTGCTGACGGCTCCGACTCTGCAGGTTCTTATGCACCAGGTGCGACGTGGCAAACGGCAGCGTCTCTGGCTTGCGGTGGTCCAGCATGGACATGGTCCGCTTGAGGTCGTCGCTGGCGGCGGACGGCATGCTGCTGCGCTCGGACGCGGCAATCAACCGGGACTTGCCCAGGTAGTCTTTCGCCTTGAGGTTCTTGACCTTGGCCTCGTTGGGTCGGTACACCACCCCAACCGGAATCGAAAAGACCGTGTAGCCCTAATCAGTCAGTACCATCACCCTCACAAGAGGAAGCTGACCTACCGCCGCTTGTTCACGAATGGCATCGTCGATCACGTCGTGGTCGGGCGTGACCTTCTCTTTTGATGCGTATTGCAGGTCTTGCATGCCAGGGCCCATTTGCTGCAGGTAAATATAGCACAGGCCCCGATTGAACAACACCTCACAGGAGAACAGCCGGAACTTCAAGCCCAACTGCTCGTAGTCGATGGAAGTGTTGCCCCGGAGGTAGAGCAGCGTGTCATTGAAATTAGCCAATGCCTCCTCAAAGTCCCCCAGAAGGAAGTTGGACACTCCCTCTTGGAAGTAGGCAATAGCCAGGTACTGATCCAGGCCAACAGCCCGCTGGTAGCAATCAACCTGTTCCTCGTCAGTAACGTCCGGGCAGATGGCCGGGTGTCATACAGCTCGTTCATGCTCTCCTAACGTGGCATAGATGACCCCGCAGTTGAAGAGGATCTTGGAAGTCTCTGCAATCGCACCAAAGACCCTAAGAGCTTCATCATATTCCTGGTTATCGTAGTGGTCTAGGGCCTGTACCCAGGTCTCAATTTCCTAGTCTCATTAGCCATCACCCTAAACCCTAGTTGCGGGGATACGTACCTGCTTCAAGGACATGGTCAAGTTGTCCGTAGCACGGCCACTGGCCTAGTTGACTTGGGCGAGGCGAGACGCCGCAGCAACCCGCGAGTGTATATGTATGCGACTGGCTATGGCCAAGACGCAATGGCTGGGTCCTGGCCACGCTGGAGCAGGGATGTGACGAGGGGCACCGAGACGACTGGGACGATGCCGTAAAGGGAATCCAATCGAGGGTAAGCCGGTTGGGGTCGGCACGCGGCAGGTCGGTGTGGCTGCAAGTCGAGAGAGCGATAACCACAGTGAAGGAGTGATAGACCATGCGCACTATCCAAGCGTCGAGAGCCGAGAGTTGGATCGGATATATAATTAGATCACGGATCCAGCGACCCAGCCGCTAAAAGAGACCGGAGACCAGCCAAGACGCAAGGAGGGCCGTTGGCTGGATGTGATGAGTGATGGGATGAGGGGAGCACGGGCAATGTGAGGTGATTCGAGGGAAGGATTGTCAGAGATTCGTAAAAACGGGTCTGTTTCTAGAGTTTGCCGATTGATTTTCTGGGTTTGTGGTGTGTGCGCCCTGAGATAATAGAAATCCAGCGGGACGGGAAAGAAAGAGGTACGGATCGCGATGGAAGAAGTCAAATCCACATGAAAATGCCAAAAAGGAAGAAGCAGGGAAGGGGGTGGGATTAGCGTGCAGAGCAGATGCAGCCGACAGGGAAGCTAGTTAGTCTCGCAGCGGAAGTAGCAGTAACAGTAACAGTAACATTAGCAGTAGTAGTAGTGGTAGTAGTAGATGGTGACCGTCATGCCGGTCAAGATGGAGAGGACCGGGGAGGGGTGAACAGCAGTAGATTGAAGGCACTTAGGCATAGCATCGGGCATGGATGGGGAGGGGGAAGCAATAATAGTCGGAGACGAGTATAAGCTTGTCTGGTCAGTCGGTGTAGCCAAGTTGGATACTTACGTTCTTACAAAGAGTAGAATAGAATGAATGAATGAATGAATGACTGACTGGGTGATGAAAGAAACAGGAACTGTCACAGCTGCCCCGTTCGTAACGCCCGAGGGGGTAACTGGCGGGTGAATGGCTGATCCAAACTCCCACCCTGGTCAGTGCCCAGGATGCCAATCCGGTGTGCGTGATGATCATTGGCTCCTGCAGGGGGTTGGCACTTCATCACAGTGCAGCCAAGATCCATCTCTTCTCCCTTGATTGGCTGCTGATCGGGGTTCTTTTTTCAGTTGACGCCCGTACCTTACAGTACTACTCCATTACTTACATACATACACTCTGAGTAGTCTTCTTCGAAGGTACACAATACCATCAAAGATTTACAACCATTTAATTTTACACCCAGATTGCAATACTACCTTACTATCATCATCCCCTTGCCAGCAGCCATGGTTGAAAAGACTGGATGTTAGGCTGGAATGGGTCAAAGGCCCGTTCCGCACCCATGCGGAGTGGGGAATGTGGGCAATCTCCGATGTCACTGAAGAATTCAATCAGTCAGTCAATCAATCAATCAATCAATCTCCCTACTATAGTAGATGGACATATGGACATACACAGTATGATACCAACTAAAGGACCTTCGGGACAGGAGGGAAAAGAAAATAACCAGGACAAATCAAAATCCATCACCGTCGGCTTCAAAATCAGCATCACGTTGTCCCAGTCCTTTTTCTTTCCCACTCTCAGGGGATGATTAACTTCTGGGTGTCCCCGCCACGGCGCTTGCAGGTCGAAATGGCCGAACTCAACTTCGGTACCGATTTCCTGCCTGGGGTCCCCCTCCGACCCTCGCAGATGGTCCCTCGCGGTTGGTGCAATAATCACCAGCATTATTCACTAACCAACTAATCAGCCAACCATCTCTTTTTTTATCTTTTTTTCTTCGCTTCCCCCGCCTTCATCAACCCCTCGACGACCGTTGTGACTAGACTACAACTAGTACTAGTCCTGTAGACGCCGCTGACTGGCCTATCCTATCTTTAGCTGCGAGGCACCGTAGTCCACCGAACTAGTCGCTCTGTCGTGCAGCTCTCCTGCATACTCGTCGGTCACCTGAGTCCGGGGGGTCTACTATTGGATCCTCGTCCCATCCTCATCCCCCATCGCCATCTCCCATCACCAACCACCACTTAATACCAACTACCGGTGATGCAACTAGGTTCCCTGGCCTGGTGGCTATTTCTGGAAACCCCTCGCCCACGCGTTTCTATTTAAAAGTTCGGCAGCACGCTAGAATATCGTCACTCTTCATGCTTGCTCGTATTCCTTATCTCAGGGCTGATCGATCATCGATCGTGGGTATCCTATCCCTAGTACTATGCACACTTCTAACCACTGACCGGACTGCTTGCTATACATAGACACACCCGCCAGTCTAGCTTCCTCCAACCACGTCCTCATTTCCCTCCTCTGTTTCCCCTCTAGGCCATGCCCTGGGCCACCTGCTCCTGCCGCTCCTGCCACACATTCTTCCCAGAGCAGGAACACACCATCTTGTCATTATCCCACACCCCCGCGCTTCGAGCGATCACTCCCACTAGAGTGTCAGGGTCTTCCTGTCGAAAGGGCCCCTCCTGGCTCTTCGACACTACCATACTGCGCCCAATCATCTCCCACACCGCTACCGGGCGATCCAAAAATACATTGCCCCGGCCCTTGTCGTTCACTTCGACCGACCCAAAAATGCCGCGGGGTTCCTTGACTGGCTCCGAGCCCAGCACTTTAGCCTTGACGGCCTCCCAAATGCCTCCGGTGGATCTAGCACCCTGCGAAATATCTCCTGTGTCGCGTACCGTGGCATAATACTTGCCGGGAGTAAGGCCGTTGATCGTCAGGTCGACCAGGGTCATGTTGGAGGACACCTGGACCATGCGCGCCAGACCGCGAATCTTGTTGGAGACGCTATTCGAGTGGGTTTCCAAGATACACACCGCGGAACCTGCAAAAGGTGCCATCAGCCTCGGTGTACTGCCTGGGATAGGCAGGTGATAGACATACTGTTGGAGGTGCCACTGCCTCGTAGAATGGCATCCCGTCCCGTAGCTTGGATAGCGGAGACAATCGAGCTGGGTGGTGCCGTCCCTTCGATGAAGACTAGCTGGTCCTTAAGGTTTGCCTCGACCTTGTTGATGCCTGACCGGTCAGCTCGAGCACAGGGTTGCAATGTGGATGCGCCTACCCTCCAACTTCTTCAGCGATGCAGAAACATCCTTGACGCAGCCCTCGCAGGTCATCGGGACCGCAAAGGTAGTCTAAGCGATTAGTTAGGCATTCCCCTCACGACGATGCATCGTCAACCCTGGCAAGAGCCCACCTGAAACGGTTCAATCATTTTGTCTGTATAGAAAGTACTACAAAACCAATGCGCATGTGAGTCACGTAGAAAGTAAGCAAAAAAGGAAGAGAAGCCGTGGATTCCTATGGAAGAAATGCCCCTCGTATGTAGTGATGCGGGACGAGGCGGGGACGCTTTGAAATCAACCCAATCGGGCTTAGTCACTCTACTCTCGCCGATAGCGTCATCCGACCAATCAACCATCGCTGTCTCGCCGCAATTCCGTCCGCGTCCAGCTTGTCTACAGCTGCTGCTTTGCATCCGGCAACTCTCTCCACAATCCCATCCATCCAATTGTCATTCGCTCCACGCCAATCCTGGCAATCGCAGCATGTCCTCCAAATCCAGATGGGCCACCGACGACGACCCCGAAACGGAAGCCATCCTCGCCCAGCGCAAGCGCGAAAAGGAAGAAAAGCGACGCGCCAAAGCCGAAAAACAGCGCCAGCTGGACGAGCAAGCGAAGCTCCAAGCTCAACAAGCCGAGACAGATAGCAGTGCACCGCCCACCAAGCGTCGCCGACTATCAAACGACCACATCCCAGAACAACCACAACAAACACCATCCAACAACACCACCACCACCACAACCAACAATGAACCCAACATCCTCACCTTCCCAACCCAAGAATGGGGACCCTGTCGAAACGTCACCAACTTCGAACGCCTCAACCACATCGAAGAAGGCTCCTACGGCTTCGTCAGCCGCGCCAAAGACATAACCACGGGCGAAGTAGTAGCCCTCAAGAAACTCAAGATGGACAACTCCCCAGACGGCTTCCCCGTAACGGGACTCCGCGAGATCCAAACCCTCCTCGAAGCCCGACACCAGAACGTAGTCTACCTACGGGAAGTAGTAACAGGCACGAAACTAGACGAGTACACCTCCCTCCCTCCCCCTCCCTATCCCTCCAACCCAACTAACCAATCCATAGAGTCTACCTAGTAATGGACTTCCACGAACACGACCTCAAAACCCTCCTCGACGATATGCCCGAACCGTTTCTGCCCTCCGAAATCAAAACCCTCCTCCTCCAACTCCTCTCGGGCCTCAACTTCCTCCACGACCAATGGATCATGCACCGCGACCTCAAAACCTCCAACCTCCTGCTCAACAACCGCGGCGAGCTCAAAATCGCTGACTTCGGCATGGCCCGTTACTACGGCGATCCGCCCCCGAAACTCACCCAGCTCGTCGTGACCCTTTGGTACCGGTCCCCGGAACTTCTCCTGGGAGCAGAGAAATACGGCACTGAGATCGATATGTGGAGTGTGGGGTGTATCATGGGAGAGTTGTTGACGAAGGAGCCGTTGTTGCAGGGCAAGAATGAGGTGGATCAGGTTTCGAAGGTATATACACCACCCCACCCTCTTCCCCTCTTTACGAACATCATCAACAATGGTATGAAGAAAGTGAATTTGCTGACTGACTATGATGTGGTATAGATATTCGCCCTCACCGGTCCCCCCACACCCCAGATCTGGCCTGAGTTCAGATCATTACCAAATGCCAAGTCACTACGACTGCCGCCTACTACGTCTGCGGTGGGCGGAAACCCGCCTCTACTGCCGAGGACCAAGTTCCCGTTTTTGACTAATGCCGGGCTACATCTGCTCTCGTCGCTGCTGGCGTTGAATCCGGGTGTGCGGATGTCGACTAAGGAGTGTCTGGCACATCGCTATTTCAAGGAGGATCCTCGGCCGAAGCCGAAGGAGATGTTCCCGACGTTTCCGTCCAAGGCGGGCATGGAGAAGCGCAGACGGCGGGAGACTCCCGAGGCGCCGAAGCGGGGACAGGAGGCTCCGAAGCTGGACTTTGCGAGTGTGTTTGGGGGTCAGAGTGGTGGGGAGACGGGGGAACAGGGGGCTGGGTTTACGCTACGGCTGGGCTAGTAGGGAGCTGGCTTTAATGTCTTGTAATGTGCATATAGAACCTCGTGTGATTCAGGCTTTGGAGCGAGACGTCTCGATATTCAAAATACCTGGAGGTATGATTAAGATACACTTCCAAACTGAACAAGCAAGGTGTGATAAGGAACGTCGCAGGTTAGGTAATTCATGAAGCGAAAAGAAGGCAGTGTCGACATAACTCACGTCAGCATGGACTCACGAAAAGTAGTGTCTGTCGATAGCCGGATATGTCATAAGGTACTCGTCCGAATCGCTGGTGTTATACTCGCGTCGGAACGGCCGAATGCCACGTACCTGGACGGGCGTGCGCGGGCCAATGATCTCGGGGATATCACGCACTCTGGTCGACGAGTTGCGGTCGAGCCCTGGCCCACTGTACAAGCACCCATCACCGCTGAAGCTTCGCTCCGCTTTGGTGGCATTGTTCCCTCTATCCGGACGGAGATCGTTGGATTTGTCCACTAGGAAGTACTCGTCTCGCAATGCTAGCAGCGACGCCAGGTCGTCCTGAGACGATTGGCTGCGCAAGACCGAAGCATCGGCACTACGTTCACTCAGACGATCCTCTGCTCTAGCCGGGATTAAGGGGATATTTTCTGTCGAATCATTGCAGCGAACAGTGCGATTACCGGCTCCCTCCTGCACCTGTCCTGAAGTAACGCGCATATCAATGGTAATGCGAGGTCTGTCATCACCATGATTCGACAACTCGAGGAATCCAGTTGATGGCGTTGCCGGGGAGTGGCTGTTGGTCGAATCCACTGCCCCTGGTGAGTGACTGGCTGAATGTCCAGCAATCTCGCAAGCTTCGTGTGTCACGTTCCGCTCTCTATCATGGTTTTCACCCAACTCTAGCTTTTGGCATAGCTCCAAAGACTCTATAGCCAACTCAGCATCCGTAATTTGTGAGTTGGAGACGTAGGATGTCATGTTAGCGCTCGTCCCAACGGGTCTGGAGCTGCCGGTTTCGATGATTGGCACCGAAAGATTGCTTGGTCTGCTCGCGCTGGCCGCACCATCCCTGTCACTATCGACTGTTCCAGATGGCAACTGTGGCTCGGGAGTGCCACTGTTGGATGGAACAGGAGCTGTGATGCACAGACCCCCGGTCTCGCTACCTGCTGCTTGCGAAAAGTACGACTCGCTAGGGTTGCGGGAGGCTGAGGTCGGACCCATTGGCTGAGAGTTGTCTCCCCCGGTACCATCTGTAGACGCCACATTAGGAGACTCCGTTCCCATATCTTTATTGCTAGACGGCTTTGATGAACGAGCATTTGAGAACGTCAAATTAAGAGACTCCCCAGTTTCCCGATGAGGCACAACGGTTGACTCTGAGGAGACAGTACCATCTTCCCATACAAATGGGCCCGGCAGACTTCGTAAATACCTGTCCATGTTGCCATCCGCCTCAGGCGGGTAGTTGCAGCTGATGCGCTGTAGGTCAGTACCAAATTCAACATCTTCCTCTGTACTAGCTTCTGACACAGTTGACGAGTAGAGCGTGCCCTGCTGGTCTGAGGAGCCCTTGGAATCCGTGGACGACCAAAGGCTAGGTATATCATCGCTATGGCTTGCTGGAATGGGACGTCTGCGAAACCCGGGCCGGAAGGAAAGAAGACCCGAATTTCGAATGGACTTTTTGTGCAAGCTTTGCATCCAGCGAACCGACCTCGAAGGATTTGAGGGCCCAGCTGGATAGTAGTCACCCTGCGCAAGTGAAGGGTTGTGCCGCGGGTTTCGCGGATCGAAGACGGGGTAGTGGGCACTTTCTTCACAAGTGGGAGGTGTCGATGGTCTTCTAGTTCTTGATGCCATCTGTCAGCTTTGCTATCTTGAAGGATCGTATGGTTCACCTACCTAAACGGGCGAAGAGACGAGAACGACAACGACTGGCGACGTCTGTTTCCGCCACTGCCTGAACCCTCAGGTTTCATGTCTGCGCGGTTCTAGTCCCTGATATTTACTCAGTGAATCAGAAGCTCCGAAGAGAAGTTGCACAGAAAGATACTTTGCGGGGGGATGATCTGGACAGTGGGGTCCACAGAGAGTAAATAATCAGCAGCAGGCGATTCCAAAGTGCATCCGAGACGGATCATGCCGGGTGCATTTGCAATGTTGGACAAGGCAGGCATTGAAGTGAGTGGCTGCTTCTCTGCCTGTATTACCTGCATGGCGGTTTCCTGAAATATCACGGCTGTGAATGTGCAAAGAAAGTGTCGGAGGTATACTTTGATTGGCCCCTCAAACAGGTCATTACTGTACTATTTCTGTTTCGTGATGGATGCTTCTCTTGCATCAGAGGTGAAGTCCAAGTGATGAGCACCCCAGATTGTACAAGCTTTAAGATTGTGCTGGCGAAACAAGCTTCTTGTTTGCAGTGATATTCAGAAGGTCAGGCTCGTTAAGCTGCAGCTGAAGGTAAGTCATTATTGACTCGTATTATCCTTTATAGGAAGGTGTGTCTGATAGCTGACAGTTGCTGAACAATGAATAGTATTAGGGAGCTGCCACCGCCACACCAGCCTTCGCTTATGCCACACCCTCTGCCCAAGTACCCTCCACCTGCCCTTTGCCTGCACTCCGCCTACGCCAAAAGATAGAGCTTGTTTTTTAGTATATGCAGAAATTCAAAGCCTACCGTCATCCCATTGGATTAAGATCCTGCTTGAGGCCCCGATATGGTACCTGATATATCAATCGGATGCCTTACACAAATAGTCTTGTCCAGGCAGCGACATGGATTAAAACAGCAGGGGCTTTAGAAACAAGCATTACCTACACAAATAGGCGGAGGGTGTGGCGGTAGCAACTCCCTAGTATTATCACTGCTAACACGAGTATCACCAGTGGTACAAAGTAGATATGAACTTAGAACTTCTTCCGGAACATATACTACTACTACTAGTCGCATATACATGAAGCATTCTGCGGCATGTCCCAGCCGCTTGCCCCAGCCAAGGATGCTCACAGTCTTCCGAGAGGCCACATGATATCCATAGATAAAGTAGCTCACCCTGACATCTCTGTGAATGTAGGGAGACTCTAAATGAGAACCAGCTCTGTATCTGAAGTAAATAATAATCCTGAAGCGACAATAGTATTGGCTGGTCCTGTTTACAGCCCGGGCTTGATTACATAGTGACTGTTTCCGCAAAGTACCATGAAGGTTGTGGTGAATGAGCTCGACGCAAGTCTGTGGCTAAAGGATAATAGGCAGTACAAGGTGATACCGTGAAGCTCAGTCTACTGAATTGGAGAGCGATGCTACCGGTAATTGAGCTGTAACTAAGAGCACTTAAAACAGAGTGTTAGGAAGACTATTGAAAGTCCAGCTCTTCCTTTGAAGGTACCCCAGTATGCTAGGCCTGAGACCCGAGATGAAAGAGCAAAGTCCATCGGGTCACAACTCATATCAGACTATCAACACCCATATCTGCCCATAAGAGCTTTGAATGAAGGATCGGCCAGAAGTTATGTTGCAGTCAGACGCTCCTCGGGTGAGTATATAAATACCTTCTGCATAACGGAGAGCACAAGTTCTCGTTCAGCCGGATCGGCATCGGGTCGAAAGACGTGCGAACTCTGATGCGATGGTCTTCTTTGTACTAGGCGTTTGATTCTGATCATACCAGGAATCCTGACCATCAGCATAGATGTATGATCCTTTTCATCTCTCTGGCAACAGACCCAGAAAGACAGTTGTAGTTGTCAATACTTCGTCTCTAAATCAACCATGGAACGGTGGATGCCCCTGGTAAATGAACGAAATGATCATGTAGCTCCACATGTCGCAAGCAAAGCTTGGGTCTTTCCCATGAAGACGCTCCGGGGAGCAAAATTCCAAAGGTGGATAGCCGGGTTGAGCCACAGAGTCGCCGACTTTCATGGCCAGACCGAAGTTAGCAAGATAAAAATCTTCTGTGCGTAAGTTTGCAGGGACCTCGATGGCCCGTATCAACTCTCCAGACTTCTAGAGCTTGACATCTGTAATGCGTTGCTTTAGTGGCCGAGTGAGTACTTCATATTTAGCACTCCTGCTAAGATTGTGAAGAGGCGCTATTTCCCAGATGCAGTTATTATCGCTCAAGTCTTGACGACTATTCATCAGATAATTACGATATGAGATGTGTAGGGCAACTTACCGCGGTGCATAATCCCAGCGTTGCGAGGGGCTTCCAACGCCTTTAGCAATTGTTTCGCAGCTGACATGCGAGTACTGATAGCGAATGTTGACACTATATAATGGTCAAGACACGGCCCCATCATAGGAAATACCATAGCCCTATGCTGACAATGGGTTTCCCTTTAGTAAAAAAGTGTCCAGATATGTCACAAGATGGGACCTATCCTGCACGCTGCGAACGATTTCATTCTGTATGCGTAGCTCGATGCCCACCGAGTCGCCAGCGGACAAAACTTTGACAGCAAATTCCCTTCTTTTTTTTCTCCTGGGAGGTTATGGGCCATCCAGGCAGTAGCAAAACTACCAGCACCGAGTTTGTGCTCAATCATATATCTTTCATTGAGAATCTTTCCAAGGCGAATAGGATAGAAAAGTTCTCGCAATTCCGTGAAATCATGCTTTTCCCAAGGCTCAGAAGTCACTTCGATCTCGAGTTCTTTATCTTAAGTGCTCACAAAGTCTCCGAAGTCTTTCGTTTCATCGATTGCGAGTGCGACGCGACGGAAGTACTTACAGTCGTTGAAGCTGGTCGCGCCATCGCCTTTAGGAGTTTTGACGGTGTTACTTCATCCGTCATATGTGTCCTTCATATTTGCTGGTAGGCTGCCCTAGGGTTGCTTAGAGATATCGTGGTGAGATTTACGTATGTGAGCATTGTGACCCGGCACAGGGCAGGCACTATGCAGTGGATGAACATGGGTTGCACTGCCGGTTGTTAGGAAATATTGAAGGTAAGTACGCTTTTTAAGAAGTCGGGACTCCGTAAATACTGCTATACTAAGCTTAGTGTGAGAGTTATGTCTCACATAAACTACTCGCAGTGGTTCTACCTTGGTGAAGTATAAGTGATACGCGTTCTAAACTGCCAGGCTTGGGACTTCAGTCTTTCACAAAATGGCGAAGAGGTTGGCTCTTTTGCAGTCACTGGAGGATTCACTCTAATAGTACTAGAAGGTCTGATACCTAATTCACTATATTGCGAAGTTCATGCGTGTTCAAGTCTGAAACGGAGCCCAGTACAGCAGCGATGCATACAGAAAGTCTGCGGCGGGTGAGATGACGGGAGCGGAGCTAATGGCGGAGCTCGAATTCCTTCCGTTCTGTCAGCTCCTCCTGCTGTCACCAGTTCAAGCACCCGACAGATCTTCACCATTCGTACATAAGCTACATTGGAAGCTCAATTGACTCTATATATTATTAATTCTAGCTTGATCTTTATTTGACCCTCACTTCCAGTCCCCAAGTCTCTACCGCCATGGCCGCGAGCCAGGATGCCGTTTCCTTCGATGCGATCATCCAAGCCGGTATGACCGCCATTCCCCGACTCACCCATGCAGAGCGCTTGAGATTAACAGGCTTGATTCAGATCGCAAGAGAAGACGCAACGAAGAATTAGCGAACCAGCTCCTGAGCAAGAAGAAAACGACCAACGCGGCTACGAAACCGACAGGGAAGACGCAGAATGTGAAACCGGGCAGCTTGGCAAGTCGGATTGGAGTAGCGAAGGTGAGGACAATAAGGACCTATGCAAGTCTGCTCATTCTTGTCGCAATACTGACTCGATATATCGCTCAATCCAGCGCTCCGTATCGGCTACTCTACCGGCCAAAACAACCCCTCCAATCCCAGCGCCCGCGCGACAAGGTGCCCGACAGAACGCAAGGCCATCGAACAAGCGCCGCCCTGACGAAAGCCGCCTCCTTTCTGCACTCAATCCCGAGAGCGGCCAGGCTAACGTGCGGAACGGAGGTGGATTGACGATCAAAGGCAAAGGGTCCGGACCGTTTGTCGTCGTCGGTAGCAACTTCGCGCCAGGGACGACGGCAGCCGATATTCAGTCAGCTCTGGAACCTGTTTCGGGCCGGATATTACGCTGCTGGGTCACTTCGCAGCATCCTGTTGTCACAGCGGAGATTACATTTGCAGAGAGACAGGCCGCAGAGAGTGCCGTTGCCAACTTTCACAACCAGAGGGTAGGCTTGCTCGTCGCGATTTCTTCAGTGAACTATGCTAATTGATCAGGCCGATGGTCGGATTCTATCATTCCACCTAAAGCAACCTGCGAACCCCGATTTGTTCGAGCGCTCCAATGCCCAGCCCGCCGTACAGAACTCCCAATCTTTCAGTGACCTCCGTGAGCAAGCGGACCGCGATCGCCGCTCTCATCGCTTGGCTGATGCAGCTGTCCAGGACGGACGGTGGGGATTCAATGATCAGAACCAGTCTGGCCAAGGCCCACCCAGGGGGAACAATCGCAGAAACCGGGGCAACCGGAAGGCAAGGGGCGGAGCACAGAATACTCAAGAAACTGGCCTTTATAGCGATCAGATGATGGTTGATGCACCACAGCAGAACCAAAGAAACCTAGGCAGGCGGTAATGTAGCCATTCGGTGGTTTCAGTCGGAAAAAGCGTTGTGGGATACAGGCCGTCCTGCGATCAGGCAGGATGGATCTACTTCTTTGCGGATTACATGGTCCTGTAGTTACCTTGGCTTGTCACTGGATGGAGACCTGTACGATACGAAGGAATACATTGCTACCGAACGAAGACTTCAGTTTGGACGTAGACAGATAGAAACGCTGACTGGAGCGGATTATCGGCAGCTGATATGATAAGAACGCAATCACGTGTGCGGAAGTTTTGCGGAGAAGTTGGAGAGCTTCATCAGGAACATTTGCTGGATGTTGCATTTGAACCCTTCAAATGAGGGGCTCCCTAGCATTATCATACCAATTAAACATATGAAATAGCTCGCTACCCTCCTTCGAGCAATATCGAGATGAACCAGGCAACGAGGGGCGCCGTGAGGCAGCTCCTCAGAAAACATCCCAACCAGACCCTCTTCCTCAAATCGCAACGATGGTCCTCAACTACACCCGCATCTTCCACATCTACCTCTGAAACAAGAAAATGGTCGACACCGCTAGCGCAGACTCTTGCCAATGCGATCAAAGTACTACTCCCCTCCAATCATACTGGAACCTAATCTAATCAGCTCTCTACCAGGTAACCGGACCCGTTCCCATCGCCGCCTTTATGCGCCAGGTTCTCACAAATCCCGAAGGAGGCTACTACACGACTCGACCAGAAGGACATGGCGCAGTATTCGGCAAGAAGGGCGATTTCGTCACCTCCCCCGAGATATCGCAGGTTTTCGGAGAACTGGTGGGGATCTGGACAATTGCGGAATGGATGGCGCAGGGACGGAAGCGCAGCGGAGTGCAATTGATGGAAGTTGGACCGGGGAAGGGCACATTGATGGATGATATGCTGCGAGTGAGTTGTCTAGCTGTCCCTGACTTGCTACACCCTACAATTACTGATACGGGCGGAGGTAGACTTTCCGGAACTTCAAGATGTTCTCGTCGAGTATAGAGGCAATATATTTGGTGGAAGCTAGTGCTACGCTGCGGGAAGTACAGAAGAAACTGCTGTGCGGTGATGCAGTCATGGAGGCGACAGATATCGGACACAAGAGTACATGCAAGTACTTCGATGTTCCGATCGTTTGGGTGGAGGATATTCGACTGTTGCCGCATGGTAAGACAGATGAACAGCATACATGCGTATGAACGCCTGGCTGACATATTGCACTACAGAAGAAGAAAAGACCCCCTTCATATTCGCCCACGAATTCTTCGACGCTCTCCCCATCCACGCCTTCGAATCCATCCCTCCCTCTCCAGAGAATCAGCCCGAACAGAAGGAAATCATGACTCCCACTGGTCCAGCGAAACTACACCAGCCCTTGAAACCAGCCAACACCCCCCAATGGCGCGAGATCATGGTCACCTTGAACCCGAAAGCCGTGGAGGAGAACATCGAAGGCGAGCCCGAGTTCAAGCTCACTCTCGCCAAAGCATCGACGCCTTCCTCTCTAGTTATCCCGGAGATCTCTCCGCGCTACCGCGCCCTCAAATCCCAGCCAGGATCCACCATTGAAGTTAGCCCTGAGAGTCGCATCTACGCAGCTGACTTTGCGCGCCGCATCGGCGGTGCGTCAGAGCCGCCCCGCACGGCCACAAAGGGCGCTGCTGCTTCTGCGCCGGCTCCCGCGAAGCGCGTGTCCTCCGGTGCTGCCCTGATCATGGACTACGGTACTCTCAATACCATCCCGATCAACTCGCTGCGCGGTATCCAGGAGCACAAGAACGTGCCGCCACTGTCGTCGCCGGGGCAGGTGGATGTCAGTGCTGATGTGGACTTTACGGCGTTGGCGGAGGCGGCCATCGAGGCGAGTGAGGGCGTGGAAGTGCATGGACCGGTCGAGCAGGGTGATTTCCTGCAGGCGATGGGCATTGAGGAGCGCATGCAGCAGCTTCTGAAGAAGGTCGACGATGAAGAGAAGCGTAAGACGCTGGAGACAGGGTGGAAGAGACTGGTTGAGAAGGGCGGCGGTAGCATGGGCAAGATCTACAAGGTGATGGCGATTGTGCCAGAGAATGATGGCAAGCGTCGACCTATTGGATTCGGCGGCGGACTTGTGATGTAGCTGCCGATACTGCCCACGTGTATATTATAGACTTGTAGACAATCAACCAAAGAACATCATGTATGATAAAATCTTATTCTTAAATGCGCCAACCATGCATGTATCTATCCCTCACTCTTCAACCGTCTATCCAACACAACCCAATCCACCAGTAAAAAGAACGAACAATAAAAAAAAGAAAAGGGTATCACCACCAAGCCAAAAACCCCCTAGAGAATGGAATACTAATACTCCCTCCAAATATCCTCTACATAAGCCTCCGTCAACCTCTCATCTGGCCCATAATTCTCCTGCCACTGCACGAAGCCACCCTCAAGCACAAACACCTCCTGCTTCTTACTCTCCTCCTCGCCGAGGACACGCTCGCGCTCCCTGGCATACCGCAGCGCGGCAGACGGCCCGCGCTGCTGGCTCAACGCGCAGTGGAAAACAACTTTCTCTTTGTCCGCCAGGGTGCGGATTAGTTCGGGGAGTCGGTAGTCTAGTGAGGAGCTGGGGACCCAGGTGGAGGTGGTGATGTGGCCGCCGACGTGGTCTGGGAAAAATTCGAATTAATAATGGGGTTGGGGTAAGTGGATGGAAGGATTTAGAGGTGGGTATACGCACCAGAGTCACGGACATCAATGATAGCGAGTTTGCTAGGCGTGGAGGTGGAGAGGAGGAGGGCTGAGAGGGCATCGCGGCTGATGCGGGGGAGGGTTGCGATGGTTATGGAGGACATTTTGGGTAGGTTTTGTATGAGGGTGGGTAGAAAATCAGGTAAAAATCAAGAGTAGGATAAAGGGTTTGTAGGTTCTACTTCTGCAGAACTACAGGTAGTGAAATTAAGTCCTTGATAGCTGATCGCTGTCCGTATACTACAGTCTGTCAAGCGGAGTCCACGGCGGAATCAACCACAGTCACGTGCCCGCAGATTTCCGATCCGCAACGCAACGGCGAGATTTATCCATATCCATCAATTCCCTCGACGCCTGTCCGCCTCGACCACAGCTTCCAGCCAGGACAGGACGGTGATACCCTGGGGAATACACATCTACAGCTACCAATTGATTAGGATTCAAAGAATCCTACCCACCATCACTATGGACATGCGCGCCCTATCCCGCAGCCTCCTCCGGTCGAGGCCAACAACATCGATCCTCTACAAGAACCAGCTCCCAGCAGCACGAATTGGCCTGCGCTTCTCCTCGGAATCTTCCTCCCCATCCAACAAGAACAACAACACCACACAATCCCCTGCCCGCCAAACACAACAACCCTCCTCTACCTCCACACCAACCCAAAAACCCACCGACTTCGACCAAATCCTCAACAAGCTCAACTTCAACAACACCAACACCACCGCCACTCCCACCCCCGCTGCTGCCTCCGGCACCACCACTACCCGCGCCTTCAACGACAGCCTCTCCCTCTCCCGCGCGGTAGGCCTCTCCGCCGAGACCGACAGCCTGCGGACCGCTACATCCCTGCGCAAGATCGATCTGAAGCTTGGTCCGACGCTGGGAAGACAGGTGACGGTTGAGCCGGAACGGGGGATGGATTTGCCTGCGGCGTTGAGGTCCCTGGGCACGGTTATCTCGCAGAATAAGATGAGGCAGTCGTTGGCGAAGCAGAAGTTTCATGTTAGGAAGGGTATGGTTAGGAAGCAGTTGCGCATGAAGCGGTGGAGGAACTTGTTCAAGTATTCGTTTGGGGCGACGGTTAAGAGGATTCAGAAGATTAGAGGGCAGGGGTGGTAGATTATTGTTATCCCCGGAGGGGTTTGTATAGAAGGGATGGGGTGGGATAAAAGGGTCATATTATTGTGTATTATACTATGTGTTTTGCTGCATGTCTTTGTGTTTTGATTGGTTTTATATGTGTCTTGAATCTACATGAATGGTAGTATATCTGCATCTTGCGTCTGCATCTGGCTTTTGTTTGTATCTCCGTCTACCCAGGCAAAGTCGTCAGCATCAATCATACATCTATATATACACTCATCAATCCCTCTTCCCACTCATATACCCTCCATACCCATACCCTCCTACACTACTACCACCACCAGTTCCTCCCACAGCAGCAGGCGAATACCCTCCATACCCATTCATCCTCACCCCATTCCCATTCGCCCCGAACCCCTTCCTACCACCACCACCACCAGTCACACCCAGAATTCCCTCTCCCCGTCCCCGTCCCCGTCCATACACCCTCTCCCAATAGACTGCCGCAACAGCCCCGATGGCCGCAGCAAACCCAAAGAACATCAACCTGGAGAACCAGCCCCCACAACTCCCCTCCTCCCCATACCCACCATCAGAAGAAGGCCACCCAATGCCCCTCCCTCCCTCCACCCACTTGACACTAAACCGAAACGTCAACGGCTCACCCCTCACAACCTTCGTCCCATGTCCCTCCGTCCAAGGCTCCCTCGCCCCACGATTATCAAACTCGGGCACACTGTACGCCGTGCCCGCAACAACATATCCCGGGTCCTTGCGCTTCTTCTTCTCCGTACTAGCCATGTTATGCACAAGCACGTTCATATCAGTCCATATGTGCAGATGGCTTAGCTGCAGAGTGCCCTGGATGGCGAAGGTGATGGGCGTGTAGGCTTGTTCGCCGGTGGCGTCAATGGTATCGATGATGTCGATGTCCGGAGAGGATGAAGAGAGAAGGGGCGCAGTGGGGACGCGACATGTCATGGGGACGTCCGAGTGGACGTAGTACTCTAGGAGATGGTAGAGTTCATCGGGGAGGGAGGCAATGGTGCATGTTAGAGTCTGTTCGGCGACGCCGTAGTGCAGAGATAAGGGCTGGGAGGTTTCGTTGCATGTTGGAAAGGGGATGTATTGGAGGTTGCCGAGGGGGTCGGTGATCTATTTTATCAGTATGATTTGTTAGTTGGTTTGAGGTTTTGGGGTTGGGGTCATTGTGGATGTGGGTGGCGTACGTGTTCGCCGGAGTCACTGTTGCCAATTGCGTTAGTACGTTGTTCTTTAAACAGACTATTGGGTGGGGTTATGAATGGAAAGAGAGGAGAGAGGCTTACATCGTCCGGTTCAGACATGTCACTGGCACAGCTTGGCCATAAGTGTAGCCTGGATTTGCTGTTGCGCGTTGCTCGTTGCTGGATCTCCCCGCTGCGGTGGATGTGTGGAGGAAGAGGAGACTCAATAGTCCATAGTGATAGATCCGATGGAGGGGTGCCCTTTCAGGAACGGGCATTATGAATAATAGGAGAAATAAATAATTGATTTTGAGCTCTCGCCGGCCAGCGCAATGGATTTTCGCGCGCTGACGAGGTAGGAGGTGGGTTTTGATGGTCAGGAGAAGCGGCGTGGTCGGCGCCGCGGTAAGGAGACGGACCCTTTTTGGTTTCCGCTGTGACGACTTGGAGTCTATTTGGACTGCATGTTCAATGCGAGCTTGCTACGTTGATGCCCGTGGATTTAATGCTACTGACTGCGCGTCTACATCTTTGCTTTATGACGTTCTTTACTGTCTACGGTCAACATGCCCAACAGTAGCTCATTGCTAACTCATAATTAAGGATGACACTCGTGGCTTCATCAAAATGACTATGTACTCTTTTTGCTTAATCAATCCCTTTTCGTATCCAAAATTTACGCCAGGTTGGCCTTCTTCTTGAAGGCAAGCAGCAGACCGCTGGTCGACGCATCGTGGTCCGAGCCGGCATCCGCGGTCTCCAACTCCTTCTGGATCTTCTTGGCAAGCACCTTGCCCAGCTCCACACCCCACTGGTCGAAGGAGTTGATGTTCCAGATGGCACCCTCGGTGAAGGTGAGGTGCTCGTAGTAGGTAATCAAAGCTCCCAGAGTGGAGGGGGTGATCTTCTGGGCCAGGATGGAGGTCGTCGGGCGGTTGCCCAGGAAGGTCTTGTGAGAGACCAGGTTCTCAGGGGCACCCTCGGCCTTGACCTGCTCAGGGGTCTTTCCGACCATCAGAGCCTCAGACTGGGCCAGGAAGTTGGAAGCCAGCATGCGCTGGTGCTTGCCACCCTCAACGGGGTTGTGCGACTCGGCGGCCATGATGAAGTCGGAGGGGATGAGCTTGGTACCCTGGTGCAACAGCTGGAAGAAGCTGTGCTGGGCGTTGGTGGCGGGCTCACCGAAGAGGATGGGGCCGGTGGTGTACTTGACATACTCGCCGGTGCGGGTGATGGCCTTGCCGTTACTCTCCATGGAGAGCTGCTGCAGGTAGGCAGGGAAACGGTGCAGGTACTGGTCGAAGGGGGCCACCAGGTGGGTCTGGGCACCGAAGAAGTCGCTGTACCACACGCTCAGCAGACCACCGAGGACGGGAATGTTCTGCTCCAGAGGAGCCTCACGGAAGTGCTTGTCCATGGCGTGAGCACCGGCCAAGAACTGGTGGAAGTTGTCGTAACCGATGTACAGAGCGACGGACAGGCCGATGGCGCTCCAGACGGAGTAACGACCACCCACCCAGGAATCGAAACCGAACATGTTCTTCTTGTCAATGCCGAACTTGGTGACCTCCTCCTCGTTGGTGGACAGGGCCACGAAGTGCTTGGCAATGTGAGAGTCCTCCTTGGCAGTCTCGAGGAACCACTTCTTCGCCGTGTTGGCGTTGGTGGTGGTCTCTGCGGTGGTGAAGGTCTTGGAAGCGATCAGGAAGAGAGTGGTCTCGGGGTTGGAGTTCTTGAGGGCCTCAGCGATGTGGGTGCCATCAATGTTGGAGACGAAGTGCAGCTTCATGTCGGGGGCACCGTAGGGCTTCAGAGCCTCGGTCACCATGACGGGACCACTAGTTGTAAGGTTAGTAACGACATTCGGCTTTCATAGCGTCAATTGACCGACTTACAGGTCGGAACCACCGATACCGATGTTGATGACGGTGTCGATCTTCTTGCCAGTGTAACCCTTCCACTCACCACTGCGCACCTGCTCAGTGAACTCCTTCATGTGCTCCAGAACGGCGTTGACGTCCTCAACGACGCTCTTTCCGTTGACCTGCATGGGCTCGTTGGAGACATTGCGCAGGGCGGCGTGGTAGACGGCACGGTCTTCGGTGAAGTTGATGTGCTCACCCTTGAACATGGCATCACGGAGCTCCTCGACATTGGCTTCCTTGGCCAGCTTGACCAGCAGAGCCAGAGTCTCCTCGGTGAGGAAGTTCTTGGAGAAGTCGAAGAGGACCTCGGAGTTGTCGACGGTGTTCTTGAAGGTGCGGCTGAACTTCTCGAAGCGCTGGGGGTCCTTCTGGAAGCAGTCCTTGAGGACAATGTTGCGTCCGACGGAGTTGTGGTGCTCCTGGAGCTCCTTCCAGGCGGAGAGTTCGGTGGCCTGCGAGAAGCTGGGCATTGTGGTGGATGGGTATAGAGCTCTGACCGAAGACGGGAAAGTGTTAGCGCGGGGCACAAACAGAGGGGGACTGGTGAAGACGAAGCTGAGATGGAGCTGGGATAGGGCAGATGCTCACCTTAAACTTAAAAACAGATGAAACTCGGAGGGAATGAAGAAGAAAGCAGCGAAAGGGAAGAGGGGTAGCCGGGAAGAATTGAAGGGGAAGAAGAATAGTAATTAGAGAGCGGGAGTCGCGGAGGGGAGAGGAGAGCAACAAGAGCAGAGACAAGACAAGGTATGTCGTCAACCGGCGTGTTGGGGTCCGTAGGAGGGGCTGCCGTGGGGCATCCACCAGAACCAGCAAAGTGACGCAGATTCATTCCCCCGGTGGGCGCCTTTCGATTTGTCCTTGCCAGAAACCTCTGCCGGTCAGCTGAACGTTTATTTCCGTTGCTAAAACACTGTCTTGCATTGATCCTGTTTGTCATCACTTTCTTCTAGACTTCTACACCTTGTTGGTGGCCACCACCCCCCGGGAAGCCATCAGTATACCCTCGCAATCGGAAACTTCTGTCAACCCTTGTAGTCTCGCAGCAGTGGTTCTCGGCGACATTATTGTCTGTTTCACCGGCCGCATCGTCATGGGAAGCTTCATCATCATCATGCTTGACCCGGCTCCACCAAGACAGTTCTAGCCATTCTGCCCCAGGGTGAATCACAATAGCCGGTTTCATGGTCACACCGGGCACGCAGTGCCATCCTGCGTTATCAGGACAGAAGGCCACACCCCAATAGTAGTAGAGATAGCATTAGCTACAAAGGTATGTATGTCACTGACAGTCCCTCGGAAAAAGGTCGCCATGTTATTGTCAACCCCCACGTCCTGTCTTCCAGATCGTCTATCGAAGGCTCGGGAGCTTCGGTCGAGATCGTTCCATACTTTCCCTTTTAACCGGTTGCGTTTACTGCTGTACCTCTACCGATGTCTCCATTCTACCCCTTATATTTTTTTTTACCCCTGGATTCAATTAGATATTGTTCTGTCGTAATCATAGCTCACTTCTTCTCTAATTGCTGGCTCTGCAAATAACCAACGTTCCTCTGATGATTTAACGGCCAGTGGAATTCGAAACTGGCCCATTCGATTAGGTAAAGGGCAACACGATGACAAGTATTACGTCTAGATCCGAAGGGAGGCTATGAACAGGAAAGTGTCCCTAATGGGACTGCTGTATCATTGTCCTGATCCGAGATTCAATGCAACGGTCATAGGTGGACAACTTCGAAGCTGGAGATCCTTATTGGCATTCACATGCAGTAGGCTGTTCGATGCTGCATAAGCTTGAAGAGGCTCTGTCAAATAATAAAATCTTCCTTCGCGAACAATTCCTGCTGCGCCTTATGAACCATCAGCCATTGCAACAATTTGTGCTGCATAGAGTAGCTGCTTGTCGTGACTGCGGATATTGTCACCCCTTCCCTAGGCTACTGGCAGGGGAGTCTCCGACACTGTCGAGTGAGGCTCTGCTGAATATATGTGATAATATTTTTGCAGGAAATAATCAGATAGAGGCAGTATCATAGGGAGTAGACCTGAAACATCATTTTCTAAAGGGCAAGGCTATTAAGCTATGCTGGCAGGAACAACTTGGAGTGCTGATGCCTAGCACCTTGGACTTCTCGTGCAAACTTAAAACGTAGAATGACTTCCACATTAGACAGAAGGAATCACAAGTAATACTTCATTGCACAATTGTAGAGCGTACTGTTTACCAATGACTGCTGGGTGATAGAACAGCACGGATAAGGCGAGCGGAAGAACTGCTGGGCTGCCAAGATCAGTCCGCACGGGCCACCTGGTTCTTCTCGAACTGCGATTCCGCCGCAGCTCGCGATCTTCTTCATCTGCTCAAACGTCTCTTCCCCGCCGATCAGACGAGGATTACGCTCTCTTATACGGGCGAATCTTTAATCTGAACCGAGTCAACTTTTGATATAACCCCCCTTTCTCTAATTCCACGACTACTCAGATTTTTCCGGTACCTGGGGACGTCTTTGATCAATCGCTATTGAAGCTGCGATTCCGTCGCAATGTATAATCCTTACCAGCGTACGTCTCTCACCTCGTTGAATGGCATTCTTTGCACCCTTACGGACATGAAAAATGTATTCTAACTTCTATAGCTCCCGGTCTCTATGGCAGGCCTCCAGACTTTGGCGCCTATCCTGGTGCGCCCCCGGGCATGGGTGAGTCCATCACTTCTTCGATACCCCATTTGCTATCTGTTACTAACTTTATAGCTCCTCCTCCCGGTATGGTAGCCCCCGGAACCACTCCGCCCCCTGGGATGCAGTCAGCAAACGCCCAACAGCCTGGTCGACCGGCAGGCTTCCCTCCCAACTTCCAACCCCCTCCGAACATGCCCAACATCAACTTCTCCGCCCCCGTCATTCGACTTGGTACGTCCGGACCGAAATCTGCCACTCCAGATACGAGCAAGGAACGCGGTAGTGAGGCCCCGGGAAGACGGGCAGGTCTGGGTTCGACCAGTTTGGAATCCCAGCGTCAGAACGTTCGGGATGCGATGATGCAGCTGCAGCCCCCTACGCGCGAGGAAATTGTGCGGACTCTCTTCGTTGGTGGAATTACTGAGGGCGTTGGTGGCGATGAGGGTGTGGAGAAGATCCTCCGTTCGGCCGGCAATCTCAGGCGCTGGATCCGCGCTACGGATGCGGACGAAAAGCCATGCAAGTTCGGTTTCGCAGAGTACGAGGACCCCGAAAGTCTAGGTACCGCGGTGGAAGTGCTAAAGGACGTGCAAGTGCCTGTGAAGAGACAGACACCGTCCGAAGGCGATGACAAGGAAGAGCGTGAGGTGGAGAAGAGCACACTACTGGTATGCCAGACCCTGGATTTTAGACATGACTATGCTAATTAGATCAGGTTGTCGTCGATGAAAGCTCCTTGACTTATCTGGAGCAGTACGAAGCCACCAGAGGCGAGCAAGACCCTGCTGAGCGCCAGTCGCGGTTAGATGCTGCACGCAGTACTCTTGCGAACGTCCTGTCTGACTTGTGCCATCCTACCTCCCCCACTCAAAAGGAAGATGTCTCAGCAATCGATCGTGAGGGAGACACCGCCATGAAGGATTCAGAAGGCCAGGCCGACGGTACGGGAGCGGAGGTTGTTACCATTCCCATCACAGTCGAAGATGAACTTTCCGATATTCCTCCCGAGATGAGAGAGACCGTCGCCAAAGAGATCGCCGCTTTCCGTGAGCGCAGCAACCGTCGGGATATTGAGCGTTTGAAGAGGGAGGAAGAGATCGAGTCTATGGAGAGAGCCCGTAATGCAGGCACACGGTTCAACCGACTGGCATCCCCTCCGCCTTCCGCCCCGAGTGGACCTGCTGCCGGTGCCAATGGAGTCCCGCTGGGCCCTCGGGATCGCAGCGTGTCTACCGCGCCTTCTGGCCCCAAGGGCTTTGGCGTGCAGGTTCCTAAAGACTACCAAAAGGGTGTGTCTTTCGTCAACGGTGGTTCTATAAACGGGGCTACTACTGTTTACATTGATCGTGAGGAAGAAGAATCAGATGCTAGCGATGAGGAGCTGGAGCGTCGCCGTCAGGAGAAGAAGGAAGCGGAGCTCGAGAAGCAGTTCCTCGATCAGGAACGACGCTGGCTGAACCGCGAACGCAGTCGAACTGCTGCTTTGGAGCGTGAAAAGAAGAGAGACAAGGAAGAGGAGGCCAAGATGCAGGAAGTTCGTGAGGAAATGGACAAGCGGTACAGAGACTGGAACGACGATAACGAGGCTGCGCGTAAGGTGGACGACTACTATGCCGACCGCGGTGCATGGCTACGTAGCCGGGCAGGATTCCGAGCCCGCGAGATCAGCATGGACGAGGCAGACCGTGCGGCGGAAGAACGCGAACGGGCCCGGTCTGTCCAGCAACGGGAGCAGGCCCGTGGTATGGCCGACGACTTCCTTGCGCGCCAGGCGGAAGAGCTGGAAACTCGGAACCAGGCCCCTCGGGAACCGCAGCGCTTCAAGCTCTCTCTCGGAGCTGCGGCACAGAAGGCCCAGGCTGCTACATCCCGTCGGACGGTGGCCGAGGTGGAAGGCCTGCTGGAGGACGAGGAGGAGCCTCAGGCCACGGCCCGACGACCCCTTATCCCGATCAAGTTCGACAGTGCCGCCGAAGCGGCCGGTCTCTCCGACGAGGAGCGGGCGCAAGCAGCCCGGCAACTGGCCGCGGAGATCCCGACGGACAAGGAGGGACTCTGGGGCTGGGAGGTCAAGTGGGAGTTTGTGGACGAAACGGTGGTCAGCGAGCAACTCAAGCCGTTCGTCGAGAAGAAGATTGTGGAGTACTTGGGAGTCCAGGAGCAGATGCTTGTGGACGTGGTGGAAGAACATGTTCGCAAGCATGGTCATCCCCAGGAGCTGGTGGAGCAGCTGGAGGAGGTAAGCTCAATCTGCAATTTACTGCTGTTTTTACTTGTCTGTCTAGATATCATGCTAACTCTTTTACTTAGGCGCTCGACGAAGAAGCCGAGGTGCTGGTCCGCAAGCTGTGGCGGATGATCATTTTCTTCTCGGAGAGCGAGAAGCGAGGTCTTTCGGGATAAATAGTGTATATGTGCTGTTGGGGTTCAGCATCACACGAACGCTGTCTCTACACCCATGCATTCCGAAGATTGATTGTCTGTACCTAACGCCAGCGATAGTGATTGAATCGATATCCGCTCCTAGGAGCAACTGTATCTTCTCTTGTACCTCAGTCCAGTCCCTTATCACCCTCATGTAAATCGCGCAAATGACCAAGTCATTTCTGCCGGTAGAAACCCTGCAGACGTTTATAAGACGCGGATTTATTCTGGCCGGGCAGCGCTGGCCTCTGACTGGCGGAGAAACCCAACCCACGCGCTGGAGCAATTCCTCCGCCAATGAGGGGAAGTTCCCCACACTGCGTGGAGGGGGAGGGGTGGCTGCCCGCCTTGTATAAGTAACTTCCCCAGCCCAGTTTCACTTCTGGTCGCTTCAGTTTTGTCGTCGTTCTTCTCAATTGTCTTTCGCTTCTTTGCAGCTGTCTTCTGTAGCATCCAATTGCTTCGTTTTGCGTGGTAATAGCCTGTGTTGACAGCCCGGAGCTTATACTGTGTCTGCCGACGGCCCCGCATTGCAACTAGATTGCGATTACCTGGAAAGACATCTCTTTCCAACTCCAATTCCTTTTCAGATCAATTGAACAGAAACAACCGACACCATGGTCAAGATCACAAGTTTCACCACGAGGGACGTGAGGTTTCCCGTAAGTCGCGCACCTATCCTCTCAAGTTCACCCATGTATCTTGCATACCTGCTCACCAAATGACAGACCTCCCTCGATAAGACCGGCTCAGATGCCATGAACGCTGCAGGCGACTACTCCTCCGCCTACTGCATCATCTACACTGACTCCGACTACACCGGCCACGGCATGGTACGCACATGACCAACCCTACCTCCACCTTCTCAGAAACATTCACTAACAACCCTAGACCTTCACCATCGGCCGCGGCAATGAAATCGTCTGCTCCGCCATCTCCCTCCTCGCTCCCCTCGTGGTCGGCAAAGACCTTGACGAACTTACCGCCGACTGGGGCAAGACCTGGCGCTACCTCGTCTCCGACAGCCAACTGCGCTGGATCGGACCCGAGAAGGGTGTCATCCACCTGGCCCTTGGTGCCGTCGTCAACGCTCTCTGGGATCTCTGGGCCAAGACCCTGAACAAGCCTGTCTGGCGCATTGTCGCGGACATGACCCCCGAGGAGTTTGTTCGCTGCATTGACTTCCGCTACATCACGGACGCCATTACACCCGAGGAGGCAATTGCCCTCCTCAAGGAGGTCGAGGCCGGCAAGCAGGACCGTATCAAGGAGGCAGAGCAGAGCCAGGCTGTACCGGCCTACACCACCAGTGCGGGTTGGCTGGGATACAGTGAGGAAAAGCTGAAGGTCCTTCTCAAGGAGAGCGTCGAGCAGGGATACAAGCACTTTAAGCTGAAGGTTGGCGGAAACGTCGAGGAAGACCGGAGGAGGCTGGCTATTGCTCGTGAAGCTATTGGTTATGACAAGGGCAACATTCTTATGGTTGATGCCAACCAGGTACCTACCTCCCCACTTCCATCCCTACCACCCACAATGCTAACACCTCATGTGAAAAAACAGGTCTGGTCCGTCCCCGAAGCCATCACCTGGATGCAACAACTCGCCGAATTCAAGCCTTGGTTCATCGAAGAGCCCACCTCCCCCGACGACATCCTCGGCCACGCCGCCATCAAGAAGGCCCTCCAAGACACCCCCTACGGCCCCATCGGCGTCGCCACCGGCGAAATGTGCCAGAACCGCGTTGTCTTCAAGCAGCTCCTGCAGGCAGGAGCCCTGACCGTCCTGCAAGCCGATGCCTGCCGTGTCGGCGGTGTCAATGAAGTTCTGGCCATCTTGCTGCTTGCGCGCAAGTTCGGCGTGCCGATTGTGCCACACTCCGGTGGTGTCGGGTTGCCTGAGTACACTCAGCATCTGAGCACGATCGACTACGTGGTGGTCAGTGGAAAGAAGAGTGTGTTGGAGTATGTGGATCACTTGCACGAGCACTTCGTGCACCCGTCTAGTGTCAAGGATGGATACTATGTTACTCCGATGGAGCCGGGGTATAGTGTTGAGATGAAGGCGGAGAGCATGGATGCGTTTTCGTTCCCTGGTGAGGAGGGCAAGAGTTGGTGGAGGTCGGAGGAGGCGAAGACCATTCTGGAGGGGCCCCGGATAGTATAGTGGGGAGATAAAAAAATATGTGTTGTATATATGTGATATGAGTTTTGTTTTTATATGATGTTTAAAATTTATGAGATGCATGCATTACATTGGTTATGTGGGGTATTATGAAACAAGGTCGCCAGTATCGACCTGTCTGGATTCAGTTCTCCTATGGTATATTTTACACTCATAATCGGTTCACGTATATAATACAGTATTCATATCCGGGAACACCGCAATCCCTTCGGTGCCGATCCAGATGGTGCTTCCCATCTACCGCCACTTAATACCAAAGATCTTCAGTGCTTGCCCAACGCCAGGCTTCTCGCGCGCTTCTTCAAGCACAACTCGGGAATGTCCTACACAAGTCAGTCCAACCCCAAGGATAACCGAAGCAAAGGGTGCTATATGGATCAAACTAACCCGGCACTTCCAAAGCAAGAAGCTGATACTCCCAGTGATGCTCATTCAACGGCTTCATCATGTGCACAAACACGGTTCCGGAATTAAGAGGACCTTCGACCTATACCACCAACCAATCAGTATACCACACACAACCCAGAGGAAGAAGAGAGCATCGCATACGTGGAAGTTCATCTTCAGGTGTTCCCGACCCACTCTGTCCTGATAGACAGACGTCCTATATCCCAGTCAGCATCACCCCGTTCCCTCACACCAGTAGACAATGGCAAAGAAAATTAACGTACGCAATAGGCCTATTCCTCGCCCATCTACTCCACGTATTCTCCCCATAAGCCTTGATCTCCCTCCGATCACCCAGGAGGTTCGTACACCGAACATCATCCTTGATGCGCTCGACAGCTTTTTCAAACTGCCATGTCTTGCTATTCGGGGAAAAGACCTCCGTGAAGAGAAGGTAGAAGACCCCGCCCTACTCAATAACACACATCAGCAATCACACCCCAACGGTCCGGATTATATATAGCTTGAACGAACCGTCAAAACCGCCCCCGCAATAATCACCACGAAATTCACCGACTGCTGCGTCGCCCTCGCAACTTTCTCCCTCCCGCTCAATTCTCCCCACTCGTATCGTCCATCGTCCGATAGAACAGTCACGTTTCGCCGTTTCGGGGCGGCGCCTTGCGTTGTGGCATATTTTCGTACTAGTGATGATGATGCTGTTGTTCCTGTGATTGTTGTTGTGCTGCGGGGAAGAAGACCGATGTGTTGTAGTTGTAGCCGGCGCAAAGCGGCACGGTTACTAGTAGGTCGTAGTAGGTAGGGCGCTGCTGATGGAAGCATTGTCGGTGTTGCTGTGTTGATTGTCGTCCGTTGTATTAGGTGTTATTAACCATTACCCAATATGTCGTCCGCGTCGAACCCAGCTGTTGATCACCGCAGTAAATTGATTTGATGGTGAGGTAGTTTCCATAAAATTATTGTCGGATGGGACTTTAGCAGAGAGCCGTGGATGATGGGCGTGTGGGGAATGGAGTGGGTCACGTGTTAATCCACTTCCGGCGGTGTTTCAGCCGCTGATGTTTGCAAAGTTTCGGGTATGGTTGGAGTGGGTGGGTGTATTTGTAGTACAGGAGGGGAGGGAGGGTCAGGGACCAGGACGGTTTTCTATTGTTAAGACTATTAGTTCTCGAGGATTAATGTCTGACATGGTATGTATATTGACTTATTAGATGAGATAGAGTATTATGATAGAGCCAGAATAATACTTCATAGTTCATTTTCAATTGCAATGGCAGCGTGAATATTCTCGCCACTAGCGCTGTTCTAGATGTGCCACCCCCGAAATCCAGACCTGAAGTTTAAAAATACCGGATCATCCTGCAAATCTGGCAGGGTCACAAAACGGGGCACTTCCAATCCCAATCCGACCACGTTCGCTCTCCCGCTTCGCTTTTCGGATCTCCCTCTCCCTCTCTCTCCCTCCCCGACCTCTCCGTGTGTCATAATCCTATTCCGCCTGCTGGCCCGTTCCTCTTCCTCTTCCTGGGGTCCATTCTATCATATTCAATCCGCCATCATGAGTGCCTCCAAAACGGAGTCTCAGAAGATCTTTGAGAAGCTAAAACTCAAGCCCGCAAACAAGGCGCGCAGTGCCCCTCCCCGCCAGACTTATTATTATCACTATTACACCGACCAGCCATTCTGACTCTTGCTTTTTTTTCCCTCCACAGATCTGCTTCGATTGCGGCTCCAAGAACCCAACATGGTCGTCCGTGCCTTTCGGTATCTACCTGTGCCTTGACTGCTCGGCCAACCACCGTAACCTGGGCGTGCACATCTCCTTCGTCCGCTCCACCAACCTCGACCGTATGCTGCATCGCATCTCCTCCTGACTTCACTGCCCGTTAGTGCTAATGTGATACTTGCAGAATGGCAATGGGAACAGCTCCGGGTTATGAAGGTCGGCGGTAACGAGTCCGCTACCAAGTACTTCCAATCGCACGGCGGCTCTGCCGCTCTCGCTAGCAAGGACGTCAAAGTCAAGTACACCTGCAATGCCGCCGTCAAGTACAAGGAAGAGCTCAAGAGACGCGCGGCGCAGGATGCGCAACAGTTAGTGGTCCCGGGTGTTCTGAATACTTATAGGTCTAATGGTTCATGTTACGCATAGGTACCCCGAAGAGGTTGTGATTACCGATATCCCCGCTGGCACTCCGTCCAACGGCTCTAGTACCCCCGCCGCTGAGGATGACGACTTCTTCTCCTCCTGGGACAAGCCTTCCATCAAGCGCCCCAGCAACCCCCCTTCCCGTACCGGCACCCCTCCGGTTGTCAGCCGCACTGGCTCGCCCTTCCTGAACTCCGGCGCAAACGGTTCCCGCTCCAAGTCGCCTTTGTCCGCTTCCGACAAGGACAGCTCTTTGCCTGCCCCTACTGCCATCCGGGCCAGCGCTGCTGTTCGTAAGACACCCTCGACCACCACTGCGAAGAAGGGCAGCGTGTTGGGCGCCAAGAAGGCCCCCAAGCTGGGGGCTAAGAAGATCGGTGCCGCGGAAATCATCGATTTCGATGAGGCTGAGAGAAAGGCCAAGGAGGAGGCTGAGCGCATTGAGAAGCTGGGCTATGACCCTGAAGCCGAGCAGGCTGAGGCTGATGCTAAGGCTAAGACGACCACCGCTGCCACGACGATCGCCTCGCCCACTCCTATCAGCCCTAGCAAGAACACCCAAGAACGCAGTTCGGGTGATGTGGAGCGTCTTGGCATGGGAATTGGAAGACTCGGATTTGGACAGACTGTCAGCGCGAAGCCGGCTGCCCCGAAGAAGCTGGGCTTCGGTGCTGTTGCCCCTCGGTCTGCAGCTGATGGTATGCAGACTTTGCTATCCTATTCAGTGGTTTGAATCATGGCTAACAATGTCTACAGAGGAAGAGCTGAAGCAGGCCAAGTCTCGCTTCGGTAGCCAGAAGGGTATTTCTTCCGACGAGTTTTTCGGACGCGATCGCTTCGACCCCAATGCCCAGGCTGAGGCCAAGGAGCGCCTTCGTCAATTCGACGGCGCTCAGGCTATCTCGAGCAACTCCTACTTTGGACGTCCTGAGGACGATCTTCCTGTTGCTGATGATACCTATGGTGATCTTGAAAATGCTGCCAAGGACTTTGTGCGTCGGTTCGGTATCACCGCGGGCGATGACCTTGAGAACCTGACGCAGCTCGTCGGGGAGGGTGCAACCAAGCTGCAAGGTCAGTATGCCCCCTTCATCTTCATGCCGGACTCTTACTAACAGGATATTCAGGCGCTATACGCAGCTACCTGAACAGCTAAATATGTGCGCGACAACTCTCTGATAATCTTTCGATTCTTACCTCCGGCTTATCCTGACCCTTGTTAGCCAGCTTTCTCCTCGATCTCCTTCATCTGTGGCGTTTCTGTCTCCTTCTATTCCCCTGATTAGTACCCTCATAAACAGAACCTTTCCAACACATGGCTGGCGCGGTGCTCTCCATTTGCTTAGGTTAGCTGGGTGCGCCACGTTCCGTCTACTGAATAAACGGTCCAGGTCGGTATCTCGCATCCATGCTGCTCTTCTGCGTTAGTTGAAATCATTAATCGCCTTCCGCTGAACATGTTTGGCTGCTTTGAATCCTTGTATATTCGTCGTTGAACTTAGTAGGTTACGAGTCTAGAACTGAATTAGTGAATGAAAAGCCAACTCCATTGCTTCAGCATGCACACAATAAGTATGTTATACATGTCGAGATCCTGTCAAGTATACAGCACAGGCGCACCTTCCCTAACCGCCTCTCTTCCTTCCATCTATACTCCGCCAATGCCTCCAAATATAATCTCTCCATCTCGAAGATGTCTACCAGCTCCCATCCCTACTCGCCGCCTCATCACCCTAATATTCCTACCTACCGCACATCTTTAACATCTTCATTCTTAACCATCGCCAACCCCATACAAAACCATGTCCAGCCAGCCCCCCTTCGACACCGAAATCCGATCCACCCCTTACACGGACAGAAAAGTCCCTATCCAAACCGAAGTCCCCCTTCGAACAAAAACACCACCTCCTCCTCCTCCACCACCACCCGACGAACCTACCACAACCACCACCCCCAAGCCCAAAGCCCCCTACCCATCCTGGAAAATCAGTCACGTCTGGTTCCACGTCCCCCCCGGCGGGGAAGACTTCCACGACAACTCCTGGCCACATTACCGCCACGGGCTGTGGCTCGAGCACGGGCCCAATGGCCGCGGCCATCTGCACCACGCCATCGGCAACGTCTCCAATAGGGAAGGCTTAATATACGCAGTCAAACACTTCAAGTACCCCATTACCAACGAACCTACGTATGCCGGCGAAACGGTCATCGGCTACCTCAGCCCAGATCGCTATCCCGAGCTCAAACAGAAGTTCATGAAATGCCAGCCTCCGTCGCAGCAGAAGAAGTACAACCGGCGCACGGATGTCACAGAACCGTTCCGGATTAATGAGGATGATCATATCGCCTTTTATAGTCAGTATAGGCTGGAGAGGTTCATGTTTCCGCCGCTGAAGACGGATCGGTATTTTGTTAAGTTGCAGTTGCTGGAGAAGGTTAGGGAGATGCCTCTGAGTAGGGCTGGAAATGGGGAGCATGTGGTCCTTAGTGGGTTTTTTCCGATAGCGGAGTGGGATGCGCCTGAGGAGCCGAGATATGGTTCTGCTGGTAAGGGGAGTGGGTGATGGGTTGGTGGATATGTGGGCTGGATATTAGTGTGTGATGTTCTTGCTTCAGTTTGGGTTGTTGGTTATCTATCTTTGGCTTTGGGTGATGCTCTTGTTTGGGTTGGGTAATACCCATATAATTCACTCTTTTGCTGTTTTGCTTCATTAGATGACAATCTTTCATATCTGCTTTGCTTTGCTCATAGCGTTGCCAAATCAAATTGCTGAACAGTGAGTTAGTATATCGTCGTCTATCCACCTGCTTCTCATGGCTTTTCAATATATGGGGAGTATATATAAACCAGACGATATAGTGACTACTACATACCAACTGGATAATTGACTCAATTCTTGTCAATAATATCTACAATTAATATCCGGGGTTGAACCCTTCCCAACGCCCAAACATGCTGGGAAACCAATGCGCCAGCCCTTGCCCCCCTATACACAGTATATCTCTATCCCATCCACAATCTTATAGTTGAATATACAAAACACAGAATCCTCACTTTTCACATCCTCATCAAACAACCCCCCTATAAATCGCATCCGCGACCCTCCCAACCTGCCACATCTCCTTCACATCATGCACCCTGACAATATCCGCGCCCCCAGCAACACTCGCCGTCACCGTCGCCGCCGTTCCCCAAGTCCTATCCTTCGCCTCCTTCACCCCTGTCAACCTCCCCACGAACCTCTTCCGACTCGGCCCCATCAACCACGGGAAATATTCCAACCCCTCCACTCCTGTCCTCAACTTCTCCAACTCCCTCAAGATAGTCAAATCATGCGGCTCGTTCTTCGCGAACCCCAGCCCCGGATCTAATATGATCCTCCACCGCCGGATCCCCGCCGCCTCTGCGGCTGCAACCCGCTCAAGGAGTTCACTGCCCACATCCTGGATAACCCCGTTGGGGTAATCCGTCAGCTTGGTCATCGTGGCAGGCGTGCCGCGCATGTGCATCAATATGACTGATTTCCCGGTCCTCGCCATAGTGGGCAGCATTTCGGGGTCGAGGAGGCCCGCGGAGACGTCGTTGATGATGTCCGCGCCGGCGGCGCAGGCGGCTTCAGCGACTCGCGCGCGGTACGTGTCGATGCTGATGGCGATGTGGGCGGCCTCGGGGATGGTGGTCCGGATGTGCCGGATTGCGGGGATCACCCGGGATAATTCCTCGGATTCGCTGACGGGCTTGGAGCCCGGACGGGTGCTTTCGCCGCCGATGTCGATTATTGTTGCGCCGGAGCGGATCATGTTGTGTACTGTTGTGGTTAGGGTTGCCAGGTCTGTGGGGGAGTGCGTGCCGCCGTCGGAGAAGGAGTCAGGGGTTAGGTTCAGGATTGCCATAATGTGGGTTGGACGGGAGGGGTTGGTGCTGTGGATTGGGGGGAAGAGGGGGGATATGGGGGTTGTTGGGTGGGGGGTTGGAGATGGGGGTGGGAGGGTTTTGAGGTGGTTGAGGTAGCTTTGGGAGTGGCCCAGGAAGGGAGGGCGTTCGTGAGGGATTAGTCTGTTGGTGGTTAGTGGTGGTGGTTTGCAGGGATGGGAGGGGGAGGGACGTACTGGCAGAGGGGTCGGAGGACAAAGTCGCGCTCGAGCATCAATTTGTGCGGGATGTCGAGACGCTCGTGCGTGAAGATTTGCTCGTCGTAGAGGAGGATGTCCAGGTCGATTGAGCGTGGTCCCTTGTCGATGAGTTTCTTCCGGCCGAGGCCTAACTCGATGGCTTGGAGCGTGTCGAGCAGGTCCATGGGGGAGAGGCTGGTTTCCACCTGCTTAAGGTTAGGATTTGAGACGTTTGGAAATGGGGTTTGGGACGTACCTCGCACACTCCGTTGATGAAGGGATCCTGGTCGAGGACGTACATCGGGGCGGTTTCGAAGAGGGAGCTCGTCCGCTTGATTCGGATGTTGGCCCGCTCCATTTCGCGGCAAGCAGCCTCGATCATATCAATGCGGTCCCCGACATTGCTGCCAAAGGCAATGAACGCACGATGGGTCGAGGGATGTACTCGATCCATGCTGGGGTTGAAGAGATGTGCTCGGCTAGTTGTAAGCTTGCGGGTGTGGCACAGTGGCTTTAAGATTTCATGGCTGGACCTCTTTGCACTGATGCCGCTCAAGGTGCCTCTGTTGAGACGACTGATGTGCAGTGGCTCTGAGAGTGAATTAGCCCAGTTCTAGATGTTATACCCCTAGAGCTTATGATCCAGATCCTATCTACATAGAATCACTGTTGTCCAGGGATAGGACTGGACCAATGACGGGATATAACGAAGCAATTTTTATCAATCGCATCTAGGAAGAACCGTACCAGATACAGATGAGTTTCTATAGAAGTTAGACTGTGATACCCCTAATCTTATCAACGAAGACCTGCCTTGCTATCAAACTGCCAAATGATCTGCTAGGGAATAATCCGCCTCTACATGGCTGAGAATGCAGCAGACTTGTGCTGGGAAACCGACAAGCGCGGACAGCTGATGTCAAGGCGACAGCATTGCTATGCCAGGTCACCGTTGGCCTTGGTCTCATACTTTCTGCAGCAGCCACGGAGCTCAGAAACGAAGTGCAGAGGCGAGATCTACAGCGAATCCGGAATGAAAATACGTCATGCGCGGGCCGTGCTACTCGTGTCACCTGACGTCGGCTGTGACAGCCTGAGGCGCTAACTGGTTTACTCACTAGCCACACTCACCAGCCACCAGACACCCCGACTAACTCATAGGCTAACCGATATTGGGAAAGGCGGGTAACCCCGCAGCGGGAGTCAGGTGGTTCGGCAGGAAGCTCGGGGTAGCAGCCTTCAATAGCCTGATCCATCACGCGCCCTGGACCGAGGCTCATGCTGGGCATTCATTGTCCTCGGCTCCTCCGGCCTGCACATTCGCTCACTTATAACGGTGTTTGCCTACCCTTAATCTCCGCATCCCTTGTTACTTGCTAACTGACATATTATTACTTTGTACCAAATTTCAGGTCTTTGATCCACCTGTCACTCTTCTAACCCCCCTTCATATACACAAAGATGGCTTCTCCGCGTGAGTTCCCTTGCCACCGCCTCTTCACATGCACTATGTAGTCCGCCGACATCTCCAGTGCTTTTGAATGCTAACGACAAATTGTTCTTGTAGAGAAGATCCGCACTACCCTTACTGATCTACTCAAGATCAACCACCCCGTCTTCCTGGCGGGTATGAACGTGGCCGCCGGTCCCAAATTGGCTGCCGCGGTCACCAACGCCGGTGGTCTGGGAGTTATCGGAGGTGTTGGATACACCCCCGACATGCTCCGTGAGCAGATTGCAGAGCTCAAGAGCTTTTTGAATGACAAAAACGCTCCCTTTGGTGTTGACTTGCTGCTCCCCCAGGTCGGTGGAAGCGCCCGCAAGACCAAGTGAGACACCCATGTGATTGTTTGACAAACGGAAACTCGAGATACTAATGCGCCTTCTGTGCATCAGCTACGACTACACCAAGGGCAAGCTCAATGAACTCGTGGATATCATCATCGAAAGCGGTGCAAAGCTCTTCGTCTCTGCCGTCGGTATCCCCCCCAAAGCTGTCGTGGACAAACTCCATGCTGCAGGCATCCTGTACATGAACATGATCGGTCACCCCAAGCACGTCCAGAAGTCCCTCGATGCCGGTGCGGATATCATTTGCGCTCAGGGTGGTGAAGGAGGTGGTCACACTGGCGATGTTCCCACCACGATTCTCATTCCTACCGTGGCCAAGCTCTGCCAGGGCAAGAAGAGTCCCCTGACCGGTCTGCCCGTGCAGGTGGTTGCTGCCGGTGGCTTGTACAATGGCAACTCGGTGGCTGCTGCCTTGATGCTTGGTGCTTCGGCCGTGTGGATTGGTACTCGTTTCATCCTGGCTGATGAGGCTGGTGCTCCCAAGGCTCACCAGGAGGCTGTCCGTACCGCTGGCTTTGATGACACAATCCGCACTATCATCTTCACGGTAAGTTCAACCAAACACTACTCCTATATCATGTTCTAAATCTGCCCAGGGCCGCCCACTCCGTGTCCGTAACAACGAATACATCAAAAACTGGGAGGAGAACCGCCAAGATGAGATCAAGAAGCTCACCTCCCAGGGAATTATTCCGGCTGAGCACGACATGGAGAACCTCCCTGATGATGTTGACGACGAGACCCTTGAAAACGCTCGCCCCTTCTTGATGGGCAAGGTTGCTGCTGTTGTAAACGAAAAGAAGCCTGCCAAGGCTATTGTTGATGAGCTCGTGGACGATGCTGCTGCACTGTTGCAGAAGGGCAACAAGATGTTGGCGAAGTTGTAAATTTTCATTCCAGATACCATTTGCATGCATATTGTCAATGCCAGTTTAAGACAGTTGAACTGCTCATGATTTCTCTCTTTCATGCTTCTACCGAATACCAGTGAAACTGTTTTGGCAATGCTTGCTCCACCATCTAATTATATATAAGATCAAAATTCATATACTTAGCGCTCCTATAGCCAATGGGTACCTATATTCCTATTTCGATCAAACCTACTACCATCAAAAATCTCATCATTTTCCCGAGAGACCATCCCTTCTGTCCCCTTCATACTAGCCCCTCGTATGACTCCACGAAACCATGAAGTCTCCCAATACCTACACGTAGCCGATATCTGCAACTGATTGTCTACTCTCAGCGATACACAGACGATCTTAACATCTATCGCCCCAGATGGAAATACAAGGCAAGGGAGTACCCCCCACATAGATACCAGTGACACCTTCGGTAAGACCGGGTATACAAGATATGGATTTGATGTTGTACATGTGTTCAGATGCGAGATCGTAATATTAACCTAGTCGGGCCAGCATTGCAGCTCGGGGTGGAATCGGTATGGGGGTGTTAGACTGCGCGTGGATTCGGGCTATAGGACATGTGGCAGGATTTAGATGGGTTTTAGCGTTAGTTGTGTTATTGTGGAAAGGCTTAATAGATTAGTGAGAAGATTCGCTGCAAGAATTTGAGTATTTAATATATGAGTTCTTGTTTAATTTTGCTAAGAATGGGCGTTGGAATGCTTTTTAACTAGAAGTAGAAGCTGTAATGAAGTTGATCTAAGCTCGGCATAATACTAGGCTATCGAGGCCGTCATGTGGGGAGAGCGGGTCTTACTCGTAGTACTACCACTACCAGTCCACAACACATCCGACACTCTTGACAACTACATACTATTGTTAAATTTGACTCCACATCTACCTTTGGAACTCCTCCTTGCCATGGCCTGATCCGCAATTCCAGCTTTAGGTACCACCCTGCAAGAGTACGTGGCTCGGCAACCAAGGAAACCCCGTATGACAGCCGCTACCAAGATCCCCAATGAAAGGAAGCGGCACCTTGACAGAAAGTATAATCCAGCTGCCCATTGAACCTTAAGCGTCCTGTCTGAGCTTCATAATAACCAGTTTCGAGCGACTGCATTCCGGGTTTGTCGATCAATATGCGGCGCCGGGCCTTTCTAAACCTGCACATCCAAGGGGCACTCTCAAGTTCGAAATTGCAAGCCCAGATAGCACCCTTGGGACTACTATTCATTTTCCCTGAAATCACAGTAGCTGCTTTTGAGTCTATGTGATAGTTACACCCAAGGGGAAACCGCGTCACTATGAGTGCGCCGGTCATGACGTTTTCGGATGTACGTCGCCACTACCGGTAGGGAGTACAATCGGGTCATTTGAAAGTGATCGAAGTCAATCCTGAGGGTCTATTTATTCCTAGGACTCGTCCACTACCTCATGCTGCCTTCATTGCCAACGAACTGGCATTCACTATACCATACCCACTTGCAAAATTCGAGAATACACAGCTACGATGAGCGGCATGGGCCAATCGGAGAAAATCCCCTCGAGCGGGAAACCTGCACTTTTCAAAGTACCCGACAAAGGCGATTATGGTCTGGGTGCTGAGCCCCCTTCTGCATCAAACCGTCTAACGTACAACACCGATAACGCTTCTACTCTGGAGCGGTTCAAAATCCGCGAGATCTGCGAAGGCTGGCCTCTTCATCGCGATGCCTGTGAATGGTCAGATCTGAGGGAAATATTTGATCCAAAGGCATTTATCAATATCAGCTGGCAGCAAAATTATCGAGACAAGGCCATTGATACCTGGGCTGAAGGATGGGCTAAAGGTGAATTCATTTGTCATCGGGTTCTAGGCCATGCAGTAGACATCAAGGGTGATAGGGCTATCGATAAGATGAAGTGTACGATTTCCTGGCGTTTTGCCGATGAAAACGGTGTTGAATGGGATAGCGACTGGTAATTCTCTCCCGTGTCAGATATGAGCCTACTAACATAGATGATTTTAGTGACTGTCGTTTTGGATACTTCCTGAAGAAGCAGCCGGAAGGATGGAAAATCTTCTGCAATCATCCCATCTATGAGAAGGACAAATGTGTACCAGTGGACCCCACTCGACCACCACATATTGACCATGAATCTCTAGCAAAGGAGCCCAAAGGCTACCAGTTTCTGGCTTACGGTATGCGCCGGCTAGGCTCCCCAATCAAGCAGAATCTGCCCCAGTTGTTCGGCAGAGAGCGTGACATGGTATATGAGAACATGGCTGAGTGGCTGGATGGTAAGGATATCGATTTCTCTAAAGATGACTTCTGAAGTATCTATTCTGCGCGTCATGCCATTCGGCTTTCTTTCGAGCGTACGTTTATAGTAAGTTGTTGAACATCCTGGAGGGTGCATGTCGCTTCAATTGCTGGCGAATTGTATCAGAATCTCCTGTCCCTTGACTTTGGAATTGAACCATTCTTTTATCTCAATTCGGTCCCCAACAATTGATGCCCCACGCAGCACATCTGCTTTGACCACTGTGAAGATGGCCATGGTGACTTCATACATTGCCAACGACTGGGCAATGCATGCTCTGGTACCTTTACCAAACGCAAAGAACGCCGTGAGCATCTCGTCGTCGGCATTATCCCAACGTTCAGGGTGAAATTGTTGCGGCTCAGGGAACACGCTGCTATCTTGATGCAGCTGAAAGGCCGCAACACCAACACTTGTACCAGCCGGAAAATAGTAGTCACGATACTTCCAACCTCCAGCCGGAACCGCACGAGGCAAGCGAATTGGATTCGCCCAGGAGAGACGAAGGCCTTCCCGGACGACGCCGCGCAAGTACGCGCACGCGGTTGGGTCCTCATCGTTATTGATACTCTCCATAACTGCCTGTCTGAGACGATCATAACTGCAAGAACACACGCTTAGTAAAAGAAAATACAATGCTGCCATCATAGTCACTCACATTTCTGGGTGCTTTGCCAGGTACCATAAGATCGTTGCAGTGTTCATTCCAGTTGAATCAGTTCCCGCAAAACATACATCTTTGAGCTCGATCTGCGACTGTGTTATGGTCGACTTCTCCAATAGACGGCTCTGATAGCTTCCATTTTTAGGTATCGCTGTTTGGATAAGCCTCCGGGTGTACTGGTCGATCAGTCCGTGGGACTGCTCTACATTCTTGGTCGTGCTCCAGCGCTCAATGACCTCCATGACAAAATCACCAATCTTTCCAGGCACAATGTTAAAGAAGGCACCTACTCCAGCGAATGAATCCACAAACGGCGATGCCGACATTGACTCTGTCTTCTCCGTGATGGCGCCGTACCTCTCGTGGAACAGGTAAGTACTCACGGCGTCAATCGCCATGGCGCGCGTCACATTAAGCACGTTTACTGGCCTACCTGTGCGCGCCTCGGCCTGCAGTCTTTTCGCGAAGTCGTCGAAGACCTCGCGTAAGGCTTCTTGAGAGCTGCGGATTGATGCCGTAGAGAAAAGGGGCGCTACAGCTTTGGCTCGTGTTGCTCGCTCAGGTAAAGTCAAACTGGAGAATATGGTCGTGTGTCCGTCGATGTCGAATTTGGAATATGCTGGTGTCTTGGGGAAACCGCCGCGAGCAATGTAGATTGGCTCCAGCGCATCTTTATCGGCAATGTCGACATCATTGGGGGCGACTCTTAAAACGGCACCGTATTTGCGGTGCAGATCATATACTACTGTACATTCGTCGCCAATATAGGTGTGGTATGCTAACCATAGCGAAGTGCAGGCGGCAAGCTTAGGACCAGGTACCGACGATAGAGGGTGGAGGTAGATGCGATAGAAGCATCTGCAGAATATAGCGCTAACAATTGCGAAGGCCGCTAATAATAGCGATTGGGCTATAAGCCCTTGTAAATTCTCGATATGAGCCATTGCGAGGGTCAAAAAGCGAGCCTCGAATCATGTGGGCGCTGATTGTGATTGACAGAATATATAGCAAGGGATTGGGTACCCCGCAAGTTAACCAACGATCGGAGTCACAGATGAGTCATGCTCCGATCGCGCTGGCGACTTAATCAGACAAAAATTGCAGCTTGAAGGCATGTCGGAGGGTCCGAAAAAGCAATGAAGCTAATCCTCTGATAGGTCCAATGCCCCTTGCTGAAGATGCGCGTCCTGCCAATGGCGGATTTCCAACTCGGTATGCCACCGGTCGATCCGCTGATAAGCACCACTTGGCAAGCTGAACTGCAGAGCCAGCCGACGCGCACGGTACATTATCGACAAGAGCTTATCATGCTGGTTCAAACTGGATATATAGCAGATATGTCGTCAATCTGATCGGCCTCGAGACCCTTCAAGGACAGATCCACCATCGACACCATGTCTGTGGCGCCCAAAGATGTTTTCGGCCATGGCACCGAAGAAGACCTCACGCTTGAGCACTTGGGTTACCAGCAAGGTATAACTGGGATTGCTATGAATCCTAGATAAATAGTGTACTTACTAACGTTATTATCTCTAGAATTCAAGCGGTCGTTCGGCCTCTTGGATATGATAGGTTTCAGTTTTAGCATCGTTACTTGGTTGTCCACACCAACCCTACTATGTCGAACGATTGACTGACATATACGAATAGCTGGAGTGCATTGAGCGGTGTATTCATCATTGGAGTAGATGCCGGTGGTCCACCGGTTATGCTCTTCGGATGGTTAGGCGTGTGTGTAATTACTTTTGCGGTTGCCCTATCCATGGCAGAATGGTGCTCAAGGTGGCCCGTGGCCGGAGGGCAGTATTCATGGGTCTTTCTGCTGGCTCCACCAAAGATCGCTCGAGAGATGTCGTACATAACGGGGTGGTTCATGCTAATGGGTAAGCGACAGTATACCTCCAGACCTATATTGCACGATGCTCAGTCGAGACAGGTATCCTTGCCATGGGCTCTGCGAACAACTCATTTGCGGCCAATTTCATCCTGGGACAAGCAAATCTGGTATATCCTGAGTATGTGATTGAACGATGGCATACTGTCTTGGTCACTTATGCCGTCGCGATCTGGGCTCTCCTGGTCAATACATTCATACCCCACCTGCTCAACCGCCTATCCCGGGCTATCCTGCTGTGGAACGTTTGCTCGTTCGTCATCATCGTCGTAGTTCTACTAGCAGCCAACAAAGACAAACAAGATGCCGCATTCGTATTTCAGGATTTTCAGAACACAACCGGCTTCGGATCCGCAATGGCAACAATGGTCGGGATTCTTCAAAGCTTCTTCGGCATGTGCTGCTACGATACCCCAAGCCACATGACAGAAGAAATGACACATGCCTCGCGAGATGCACCCAAAGCCATGGTCATGTCTGTTGGTATGGGCGCTGTAACGGGGTTCATTTTTCTATTGACGCTCTGCTTCTGCATCGGCGACATCGATGCCACTGCAAACTCCTCCACAGGCGTCCCCGTGCTGCAGATCTTCTACGACTCAACCCATAGCAAAGTCGCCGCCTGCTTCATGACCAGTATGATGACGGTAATTATGATGGTAGCTTCAGTAAGTCTTGTCGCAGAGGGCTCTCGAGCACTATTCGCATTCGCACGAGACCGGGGAATGCCATTCTCAGGGATCTTATCCCAAGTGGAGAAGAGGAGAAAGATCCCGATATATGCGATATTGTTCACCGTTGTGGTGCAAATGGCTTTCAACTCGATTTATTTTGGGACCGTTACTGGTTTTAATACGGTTGTGTCCATCGCGACCACGGGGTTCTGTAAGACATTCCTATTGGGAATCTGGATTTAAGGACAGAGCTAACAGTGTCACCCTTTCAGACGTCTCCTACGCACTGGTCCTCCTTGCTCGACTTCTCGGGTATTTCTTTGGCCATGACATCGCCCCAGTCGACGGACCTTACTCCTTCCCGTTGCCCATATCGCTCGGCCTGCACGGCCTAGGGTTTCTATTCCTGTTGTTTGCGTTTATTACCTTCAACTTCCCTTCAGATGCACCAGTCACTCCGAATTCGATGAACTACACTAGTGCGGCGATCGGGTTGATTGCGTTGCTGAGCATTTTCACTTGGCTCATTACGGCCCGGAAGCAATTCAAGGGACCGGCTGATGTGCAGAACTTGGTTGTAGATGGAGTGGAGCAGGTAGGTGAGGCAGGAGAGGGGAGTGCCAGTTGTTCGGAGAAGGGCAAACCAGATACTTGATGGGCTTGTTAATGTTTTCTGAGATATATAGTGTAGCGATATGAGGTAAATGGATTTCAATCAGAGTGTTGTATGTTCCGATAAGCGTGGGTTATATTATCATCCTGTGACATGCATATTAAGATTTGAGCTTATACGCACTATTCATCCATCGCTGGTTTCCGAGTATATTTCTACATAGAGACACACCTGTCGTTAATCCCGCTAACCATATGTCCACAATTAATACGACCGAGTAGAAGCTATCCCCATGATATCCATAATAGAACCGCAGATCACGGAAAGATGCCGAAGACACTATATATATATCCATGCAGCAGCAGCAGCACAATAGTCTCTAAATCCGAACGTTTAAAGCAGCAATTACTAGTATGTTGAAGCATCACTCACCAAGTACTTCTAAAATGCACACCTCATATGACAATAACTTACTACAAAGAAATAATCTACACCTTTCCCCTAACCTCTTACACAATGGAAGCAGCATACAGAGACGAGAGCATAGAACGCTCCCCACGTCATCCACCTCCTTGGCGACTCACCTAACCCAATCTCCGAACCCACATTTCAACGCCCCAGCGTTCTACGGCGAATAGCCACAACCTTTTACCTACAAGCAGTCTAGTGCACAGTTACAAAGTCACTCAGTCAAAACAGGCACCCGTATTCGACGTTTCGACTTTCGAACCATATATGCTAGCAAGCAAGCTAGTTCCTAAGTAGTTAGCCAGTGAGGCATGTCTGTACCTGCATATCCTTATCCAGAAGGAGTCTAGGTATCGGTGTGTCTAGTTTGCTTTTGTAGTTAGTGTGAATGTAGTAACTAGACTATGTATCTGCCCCAGAGGATGAAGGGAGATAGTATCGACGGGCAGGAAAAGAAAAAGCCTCAACCCCCAACTTAAACCCGATCCATTCCATCCGATCCAATCCATCCAGTCTAGCTAGGTAGTTTACCGCGGAGTTCATATAGGGAGTTTAAAAAATCTCTGACTCACCAACACACAATAACTAATTAACTAACTGACTACACAGTCTAGCCCAGTCCAAATCCAGGAAGGCAAGAAAAGAAAACCCCGAAGAATAGTTGGAATATACCTTCGGCTCGGCAAAAACCCCCGCTTAGTAACCTGACTTGACTTGTCTACCGTTTATTGAACGAGTTTAACGTTAACTGGTTGGTGAATTGGTTGGCTGGTCCTTGGCAACCTGTTCTACAAAGTATCCTATCGAGTCCACGGTAGCATAAAAAAAAGGTAATGCTCGGCAGACTCGGGAAACCGACCCGATAGTTAGAGCTGAATCGGGACTGGTGAGACTGCGTTGGGATTGGCGGGTCGAACCGTCCCAGTCATTCATTGATTAGTAGTAAGTTGGTATGGAAGGGAAAATGAAAATTTTTTTCTATCGAGGCACTAGAACGGGTTATCCGACGCGTAGTTCGGATTCTTCATTTGAGGTTGGGAGACGCGTTCGGTACCGTTCTTTTCTGTGTGATCTTGTTATAGATTTGGGTATAATGGGTTGCTAATTAATACGAGTTTTATTGTGTTGGGGAATTATGTGCAGTTATGTATAGATAACTAGTATTAATGAAAGTGATGATGGATGGGTCTATCTCAACATCATTGAAATAACTTCCGTGTCTCAGCTTGAAAGGAGGGGCTGAAAGCGATTGTCCGCGTTGGTGGCTGGGCACGCAGGTACATGCCTACCTTGGTATTGTCTACTACAAAGTAAGTAGCAGCATGCGACGACGGGAAAGACGTTGCATTCTTTTTTTCTAGGTTACTTTCCCGAAAGTTACTGTTGGAGTCACCCTTCAGATCCCGAAAGTTTCCTCGGTGGGGTCGTCATGCGGATTGCAGTTGTGGAGCGGCAGGGTGGAGGTTCCACAGAGGGTCGTCGGAGTACTGTGTACTGTGTAGGGTATGTAGATACTAGATAGATTACAGTTAGAAACGTCACGTCTTGGTTGGGTGTTGCATTGTCTCTGCTGCTTGCACACTGTGGATGGTTGTGGTATATGAAGTGAAGAGGAAAGAAAGAAAGAAGAATCGGGGCTAGGCAACAGGAGAGGGTAAAATATTTAATGCAGGGTTGCATGTGCAGGGCACTGGCGGGTTTAATTAACTGCTAAACGGGGAGGAAAAGGAAGCCGGCGGAAGGTAGTTGATTAGGCGGGAAGGGAAAGGAGGGCTCTTGATAAGGAAGTCCAGTTCGGCTGGTATCAGAGACAAGCGGCCTGAGGTACTATCTTTGTTCTAGAATGTGTGTAGCATTCCATGACAATAGGTGTCAGGTGCCAGGTGGAGGATAGATACACTCCATCCTCCAGACTCGACCTAGAATCATCGCTCAATCTGATGATGGCTGTGGCCAGAACAGGCAGACATTCCGGGGTTGATGCTACTATGAACTGGCAGTAATCTAAGGGCTCCCGCGCTAAGGGGTTCGTATCATGCAACTATTGCATCCCAGAGATATGGACGAGAAGGCCCTTATCTGGGCTGCATAGCGTCCAATCAGGGCCTATGCATGGTTAACTGTGAGCTCATGTCTCCTCCCCAATCAACAGCATCCAACTTCACATGTCTGCTTGCCAAGTCTACATCGCTCGGCGCAGATATGCTTAGCTGAAGCTTCGCGGACGGGCTGGCACATGGCAGAACTTGGTGATAGCGATTAGAGGCAGCGATAGAGGCGGCGGCGATCACCGCTTCCCTGTCAGCCCGAAGCACAACTCTTCGTAGGTTTCCGATGACGCGGGGTATCAGCAAAGTCTGGGGAAAGATAGCTGCTTCTGTCATTGTTGATTTTGATGATGTTTCTGAATTTGAATGCCTCAGGCTGGTATTTGACTTCTTTCTTACAAACTGGCGATCGTGGCATAATTATTGCGTTGATCAGCCCAGTGCCTGTGGCCCCATGACTACACAACGGAGTAATAAATGTGCGATGAGGCAACGGTGGCAAGTCTACATGCAGTAAGCAGGGCAACGATAGAGTTCCTGCGCCTTTCGGCGTTGACCGACTGCAGGAATGATATCAACACCCCCTAGCATTCTAATTGACAGTCCGGGGTGATGATAATCAACACCATGAGATAGGTGGCTATCGGGCCTGACAGAGATGGCCAGCCTTGGGGGGAGACCAGCTGCAGGCATCGCGGTAAGCCGTACAAACCGAAATACCTAACGAACCTGAGGTGTTATCATTATCAAATCTCTCAGGGTTACGGGCGCAGGTGTGCCTATCACCAGGCGAGACCTTATCAGCGTGGGCTCCTTCGCCACCAGACCCACTCGGTCCTGGCAAGATAGGTATCCAATCAGAGACGGGCTGCTGATAATTTCTGCGATCTATGTGGTGCTTAACCATGTGCCCAGCCTTATATCCTCCAATGAAAATGAAGAAGATGGGGCTATGCTGCATCTCTTTGGTAGCGGCATAAGCTTGTGCGCACTAGGGCTAAGCTAAGACAAGTTGGCGGCGGTGGAGCCCGTAAGAAAAAAGTAAACGTGAGAGTTTTTTCTCGAAACAAGAAAGGCGGACCAGGCCAGGGCTGGGACCTCCGCCGGAACACGCGACAGGAGCTGAGCCCATGGGAAGCTGTTACGCGGTCGCGGCGGCGTTTCTCCGTCGGTGCAGAAGCGATCAATCATCGTGCCTGATACTGGTTCGGATCTCGTGGGGTGGGCCTCGTCACGGTGGGTGTGAGAAGAAATTCTCGTTGCCTCCGAACACATATTAGGAGCTCTCCTCCCACGCTCTCCTGCAGAGAAAGAAAGAAAGAAAAAAGAAAGATGTGGTTTCCGTCTCCTCCTTTCCCTTCCCTTCCCCTCCCTCCTTGAACTATACTTGGTACCTGAGCTTTACAGCTCTCGTATTCAAGAGTTCCAAAAGACTTTATTATCAAGTCTACTTGATTCCTGGCTGAGGGTTTCTTTCCCGACGTCGGTACAACTTTAAATTTTGCGCCGTTGAGATATACGCGTACCTCTTTCCATTCCCAACACCATGTTCGGAGGAGTCGAGTCCGATCTCGAAAAAGCCCCCCAGGTGGGCAAAACGCCCATGGATGACAGCAGCGATGGCGCTGTCCCTGGGGAGAGTTTTATGTACGGCAATTCGCTGTACGCTAAGCTGCAACGGTTGGCGGGGAAGCTCAATATTGAGCAGCGAGGTGTCGAACGTGTCCCGGACAATGAACGGACTGACACGTCGTACTTCAATATCAGCAGCATGGTGTGTTCCTAACTCTTGTTTGCCTTGTGCTTTCGTCTTCGTCGGCTCTCTCGTCGGCTGCTCCAAGACCGCCCTCCCAAACTGACCCGTCGCAGTGGCTGGCGGCCAACATGGTGAGCAGTTCTTTCGCTATCGGCGTGCTTGGTTACTCCACCTTCGCTCTCGGCTTCGTCGATGCCATCCTCGTCTGCTTCTTCTTCAACCTGCTGGGTGTCTTGACTGTCTGCTGGTTCTCCTGCTTTGGTCCCGCCTTCGGTCTGCGCCAGATGGTGCTTTCCCGGTTCTGGTTTGGTTACTGGCCTACCAAGATCAGTAAGTTTCTCTGTGACAATATTGATATCATAACCAGATGCTTATATCCTCTGCTACAGTTGCTCTTCTGAACGTTCTCTCCTGTTTGGGCTGGTCCGCCGCCAACTCCATCGTCGGCGCCCAGCTTCTCAATGCTGTGAACTCCGACGTTCCTGGATTTGCAGGCATCTTGATCATCGCCATCTGCACCCTCTTCGTCACCTTCGCCGGATACAAGGTCGTCCACTTGTACGAATACTACAGCTGGATCCCCACCTTCATTGTCTTCATGATCGTGTTCGGATTGTTCGCCCACTCCGGTGACTTCAGAAACCTCCCCATGGGAACTGGAACCTCTGAGCTCGGCTCTTGCCTGTCTTACGGTGCGACTGTCTATGGTTTCGCCACTGGCTGGACCAGTTACGCCGCCGATTACACCGTCTACCAGCCCGCGAACCGCAGCCGCCGTAAGATCTTCTTCGCCGCCTGGGGAGGTCTGATCCCCCCTCTTCTCTTCACCCAGTTCCTGGGTATTGCCGTCATGACCGCCACTTCCATCAATGGCGGAGACAACAAGTACGCCCGTGGTTATAGCGAGTCTGGAAACGGAGGTCTTCTGGGCGCTGTCCTTGACCCCGTTGGCGGATTCGGCAAGTTCTGTCTGGTGATTCTGTCTCTGTCCATCATCGCCAACAACTGCCCCAACATCTACTCCGTCTCCTTGACCCTCCAGGTCCTGAGTCGCTACTCCCAGCGCGTTCCCCGTTTCATCTGGGTCCTCCTCGCCTCTGGTGTCTCCATCGCCGTCGCCATCCCCGGTTATTCCCACTTCGAAGAGGTTCTGGAAAACCTGATGGACTTCATCGCCTATTGGCTGGCCATCTACTCCGGTGTCGCTCTTGCCGACCACATCGTTCGCCGTGGTTTCTCCGGATATCGCCCCGAGACATATGACAAGCCCAACAAGCTGCCCTATGGTATCGCCGCTTGCATCTCCTTTGCTTTCGGTGTCGCAGGTATGGTCACGGGCATGAGTGAGACGTGGTACACTGGTCCCATCGCCAAGCATGCTGGTAATGGTGATGTCGGTTTCGAGTTGGCTCTTCTCTTTTCTTTCGTCGTGCATTCCGTTCTGAGACCCATTGAGCTGAAAATGCTGGGTCGGTAAATGCGTTTCTTTTTCTTCATGTCGATTTTTCTACCTTTTCTTTATCTTGTTGGTTAAAAACAAGGGTATGTGTTTGGGATACAGATTTTTGGGTTGGACTTGGTTGTTATGCATGTCTCCTTTGGGAATCGACGATGGATGATGATGTCGGTTCCGTGGTACGGAACCTGTCTGGCTGCTTTCCATGATGTTGGCTGGACTTTTATGTATATAGATGTAATCCTTGATCTTAATATACCATTCCGTGCAGATGTGCCGGAGATGAATGAAATATGCAGAAGTGTGTCTGAAAGATATCGTGATCTATTTGTTACCATAAACTGAAAAGTACTACCATGTTTTCTTCAACTATGTGACTAACTACTCCGGATTCTTGTATGATTTCGCATGGAATGTCCTCCCGAATGACAGTGCACATTATTCTCTTCTCCTTTCGCCTCCAATCCGCTCCTTCCCCAAGTTCCAACGAGAAAGCTCAATTTGCGCGTGCTAGCGCAGAATCCCCAAATTATGAAGACTAGCTCAGAAGGCTTCTCAGGATCTCTTTTCCGATATCTTCTGACTTGGAACTTCCTCGACCACACGGGTCAGAATAACAGCTTTCTCAAGTAGGAGGTGCTCGTGTCCATTATTTGCACAACGAAATAGTGCCGGAAAAATGACGATGAGGAGCTCACCCACCGGGGTTTCATCTGGCAAAGATTCAAAATTCGCCACACGAATTCGATGATGGGTGCGGGAATCTTGCACGATAAACTGTTCCAGGTGGTACTTGCGTACAACTCGCTCAGGAAAGAACGCCTCGCCGTACCATTGCCATCCGTAATACGCCGATGAATTGCTTATCTGCGTTACGAGGCCGACAACGGGTTTTAAAATGTCCTCGATAAATCTGGCCATTTTATTTGCCCAATTGACCTGGCCTCCAAAGTCGAACCACGAAAAGAGGTTGTGCAAATCATCAATGATGTTTATACACTCCTCATTCATCCGCTTTTCATACCTTTGGCAGGCAACGTAAGCCCTTCTGGTGCTCCACTTCCAAATTTTGGCACTCTCAGAATCTATCAACATTAGGGATTCTCATCTATCCGTGTTATATCGATTCATATAGATCACCTACCTTCCCCAGACTGTTGTGATAACAGCCCCGCATAGAGCTCACGCAAGAGAGCTTCATCCGATGAAGATATCCCAGGGATCAATGTCTGAAGGAACCCTCTCCAGAGACGACAGAATGTTATGTGCATCAAAAGTTCGGACTGCGCTTCAAGAAGCATTTGTGCATGGGTATCCAGATCTTGAGTTATCTGAAGGCAGCATTTGAAACCCTCCAGCGCTCCTCTCAAGTCGGAATCAGAGTAGTAGATAATATCTGGAAGCCCCTCACACCAGTTGGAGAGGTTGTCTCTAATCCTAACGAACTCCTGTATGACCGTGGTATCACTCAAGTCATTCGCAAAGGTGAGTTTCAGAATCCTTGCCTGACATTCTTGCAGCTGTTCTTCTAATTCTTGGTTCTGATGCCTCAACTCGCTGAGCTTCTGCTGCAGTGAATCTATAGAATTTTGTTTCCTTATAGAAACACGCCTGAGGGTCGATAGCTCTTGATGTAACGAGTTTGATAAATCTTCCAAGCGGTCACAGTGCTGTACCAGGCCATGGTTATCTTCAACTTGCCTGCCTTTACTGTCCGATGCTTGATTATCGCTGGATGGTCTTTTTTGAGCCATACTGATCTCTCCCTAGACAATAGTCAGGAACTGGGGCAAGATAGAAGGCCACTTTCAACCTTTGTTTCTTTAGGTCGCGATGCCTACCTCATCCATTTCTAATTCTGTTTCCTAAGAAATGGAAAGAGTCCCAACTGAATGTGATGGAGCGACGCGGGTGGCATGAGAGAGTACAAAAGGAGGTTGCGAACCCTGAAACCTTCGTATGGGAAAAGTTTATTAGAGATGAAGGTGCATGTGACCTAATAGTGAATTGTCGAAGACTTTTCTCCTCAGGGCTCGTGGACCATTGTACTTCGGTAAATGAGGTTTCCAGCCACTGTGCTTACTAGGTAACCCCTAAACGAAGACCACAAGGCAAACCATTCCAATCCAGAATTACCACGTGCTCATCTCTATCTTACTGTCACTTTTTTCTCGCAGGGAACCTGGGCCAAGTGCATTTGGTTCGTCATACTGTGCTTGGGACCGTCCTGTCGTAAGAACCAGTCATTCTGCACCAGTCAAAGGAGCTACATACACTGGAGAAATGGCCGGTTCTTCCAATAAGCGAACCATCGTCATCGCGGTGGATTTTGGTACCACATACTCTGGGATAGCATGGGGTCAAATGAGTAACGTCTGTCAAACGCACTGCTACCGTACTTAGGTTCATATTACTGATGCCTTCCTCAGCCGGATACCCAATATATTATCAATCAATGGCCGCAAAATGCTTCTGATACATGTGATGGGCTGACTAGTGAAAAGGTACCCAGCGAGGTCACCTATGAGTACACTAAGTCCGGAAAGAAATGTCTATGGGGATTTCAAATTCTCGACAGCATGCCCCGAATCCAATGGATCAAACTCGGCTTTGTTTCTGACCGCAAGCTTGGGCTAGGATCTCGATTGTCTTCGACATACAGCGATTGTCGTCGTATTCCAGTCCCTTATCATTCATCACCAGAAGATGTTGTGACGGATTACCTCCGATGCCTCCGTGAACATGCTGTTGACACCTTGAAGTTGAAGCTCGGTAGTTCGATGGACAGTACGGGCCTTGAGTTCGTCATCACAGTCCCAGCAATTTGGCCAGACAAAGCGAAAATGACTACAATGGTCTGCGCAGAAAAGGCAGGCTTTGGGGAAGCTTCCGCAGTACGCATAATATCTGAACCTGAAGCTGCTGCTATACATTCGCTTCGTGCTTCTAATCCTCATGGACTGAAGGTCGGAGAGACCATCGTTCTTTGTGATGCAGGAGGGGGCACTGTCGATCTTATCACATTTACAATCATTGAGCTATCACCTAATACGCGTCTAAAGGAGGAAGCACCGGGCACTGGGTCATTGTGTGGTAGCACCTTTCTAAACAGGCGCTTTGAAGAGCTGCTGAACGATCGCCTCTCTTCCCTTCCTGGGTGGGAAAGGGACACGCTGGATGAAGCAATGCATCGATTCGAGACTGTCGCCAAAAGAACATTCAATGGAAATACAGACGATGACTTCATGTTTCCTGTTCCAGGTATAGCAGACAACCAGGAAGTCGGGGTTCGTCGCGGCCGATTCCGAGTAACGGGACAAGAGATGCAGCAACTGTTTCTGCCTGTAATACGGGACATTGAAAACCTTGTCCGCCAGCAGATTGAGGCTTCTACCGCACATGTCGGGGCGATTTTCTTAGTTGGAGGCTTTGGACAGAGTCCATATCTTCGCACCCATCTTCGCGATTGCTTTTCTCCGGAAGTGCAAGTGATAGCACCAGTTGACGGCTGGACTGCTGTTGTCAGAGGCGCGCTGACAAAGACTCTTGGGGAAGCATCTGACGCAGAGGCCAAAAATTCTGTTGAATCCCGCAAAGCAAGGGAAAGTTATGGATTGATTTCTTCGACCAAATTTATTGAGGGGGTGCATGATGCGAAGAAGAAGTAAGTGGTGAACATCCCCATAAGTTGTTTCGGCATCTGCTCTCATTTCTTTGTCACTGTGGTCTAATGATTCCAGATACTGGAGTGACAGGGAAGGAACTTTTAAAATCCATGTCATGCATTGGGTTATTTGCGAGGTATGAACCTGCAGTCGAACACATTCATGGTCTCTGATAGCATGTTCAGGGGGACGATATCGAAGAAGCGAAGGCCATTGAGATAGAGTGGGTTAAGCATAAGCCCGTCAAGCACGGTCCATTCGACTCAATTTCTTTCACCCTCTATAAGTTCGATACTCCTCTGGGTGAGAAGCCACCTTTGTACTTCAATCGTCGTGAGTACTCCCGTATAGCTGAATATGGATGGCTATGAGTTATTGATCCATCACTCTTAGGCATGAAGCCACATGTCACATTGAATCCGGTTCTCGATCTAATTGAAAAAGGACACATTCCAGTCCGTCGTGGTGCAGATAATGAGCTATACTACAAACTCGCCTACAAAATCCATGCGGTGTACTATTCCGCTCACAGTGAATACACGCTCTGGTATGAAGGCCGCAACTATGGAAGCGTCAAAGCCGACTACGTCTGAACGTACAGCTTCTACGCTATTCTTATTAGATCTAGTGACCCGGAATAGTCACTCATCTGCCATGGTATTGACAAGCAAAGCAGAAAAGAGCAGGGTTAGCAATTGGGGGAAAACACTTGCATTTGGGGCGTTGTCATCTTGATCTATTTTTGCATATAAACTGAGGCAGTTTCTAAGCTGGTTCCACGACAAATATACCACTTACACTTTAATTAATGCTAATGAAACTAAAGAAACCTGCTTGATGATAATATAATGTTCGATGCATCCATACCAACCGTAGCCATCGTCCCATGTATCACGTGATCCAGGCACCGAAGCACCAGCCACAGATTGCATGCGCCACAGGCCATTTGCCGCGCCGAACAAATCCACAACGGATCTTGCATCTTTCGCTGAAATCCAGAAATTCAGCAACAATCGGCGACATCATCAACCCCCCCATCACACGCACAATGTCGAAGCTTGGAAAGTAAGCGGAAACTCCCCACCCCCAAAAATCCAGGGCCATGAAGCGACAAAAAAGAAGAAAAAGAAAGAAAGAAAATCTGACCAGGACCTTTTTCCACTTTCCAGCCGCGCCGACTGGGCCGACGACGAGGAGTTCGACGACCCCTCCGCTCTCCCCCCGCAGCAAATCACGACCAACAAAGATGGCACGAAGACGATCGTCTCCTACCGATTCAACGACGAAGGCAAGAAGGTGAAGGTGACCCGCCGGATCAAAACGACCGTTGTGCGCGAACATGTCAACCCGCAGGTCGCGGAGCGGAGGTCCTGGGCCAAGTTCGGTCTGGAGAAGGGCAACGCGCCCGGACCTTCGTTCGATACGACCTCCGTGGGTGAGAACATTGTTTTCCGGCCCAGCGTCAACTGGAAGCTTCAGGCGGCTGAGGCGGAGAAGAACGGTGGCGAGAAGGGCAGTGTGAAGGATCAGCTGAAGGACAAGAAGGTCAAGTGTCGTATTTGCAGTGGCGAGCACTTTACTGCTCGCTGTCCCTTCAAGGATACTATGGCTCCTGTCGACGAGCCCACTGCTGGTGGAGAGGCTGGTGATGAGGATTCTCCGGCTGCTGGCGCTTTGGGTGCTGGTACTTCTAGCTACGTGCCCCCTCATCTGCGGAAGGGTGCTGCTGGTGGCGGAGAGAGAATGGCTGGCAAGTATGAGAAGGATGATTTGGCGACTCTGAGAGTTACGAACGTGAGTTTTCCCATCCCCTCCTTGTTTTGGTTTACTGTTCTGTGTTTGGCTATTTGCTGGTCTCCCCGGAGGGGTTGGGGGAGGGGTCGAGGGACAGGGGATGCTAGTTTTCCTCTTTCTGTCTCTTTCTCTCCTCCTTTCCCTTGCCTGCTCTGCCCTCCCTTTGCCCTCTAAACACTCCTATTGGTGTTGTTCAGAGAGAGAAAGAAAGAGGCAGCAGCCCTTTCGGGCAGACACATGGATGTCATGAGAACAGCAATCAGCTTCCTCTAATTTCCTTGCTTCTATTGCATTTGCTTCCCACGGACACATCACTGACTGACAATAAACCCAAACAGGTGAGCGAGTTGGCAGAGGAAGGAGAACTGCGGGATCTGTTCGAACGCTTCGGTCGTGTCACCAGAGTCTTCCTTGCCAGAGACAGAGAAACCCAGAGAGCCAAGGGCTTCGCTTTCATCAGCTTTGCGGATCGGAGCGATGCTGCACGTGCTTGCGAGAAGATGGATGGCTGTAAGTTATCCCTCCCGATTACATTTCCATTTTTCGTCATATTTTGTTTTTTTCCGCCATCGTTGCAATGTCAGCAGCAAAGCAAGTTATCGGAATCGCAACTAATATTTCCTCTTCATCTAGTCGGTTACCGTCACCTTATCCTGCGCGTCGAATTCGCCAAGCGTGCCACTTAGATTTCTCCAATTTCCAATTCCCATTTTTTCTTCCCATTTTATTCTCCTCCTTATTAACTTCTTCTTTTGCTTCTTGGTTTTCCGTACGTATCATGACATGACACCCTTGGGTCTCTTTTCGTCTGGCAGGCGGGTTCTCCATCCATCCACACTTTCCATGGCTGAAGAAGATCTTCATCTCATCTATTGACTACTTTTCTTTGTACTGTATGATCCGATCGATAATGATGATTACTGAAGAAAAAAAATGGGGGAGGACATCCCAATGTGTGTGCGTGTGTCGTCTTCTCTTTGCTTTTTGGGTCGATTTGATACGAAGAAAAGCAGCGTGGTCTATTTGTCTTATTCACGCACTACTCTTTTCCGGTTCTATGTGTCTATTTGTCATGCTGAGTTGCAAGTCAAGGCAAGGCAAGGCAAACTTGCTTGCAAGCCCTCTTTTCCTTGTTCACTTTTCCGTGCATTGATCGATCGCCGGTGGAAGTATTCTTAGATCGAGGGAGAAGGTTCAAACCCAAAAAACAAAAGTATTTCAATTTGCTCGTTTGAGTCACACTACATAGAGTAGAGTAGTTAGGTAAAGGTTCGGTCCTGCTTACTTGGGAACCTAGTAGTGCTGTCCAGGTTCTAGGACGGGGAGGAACAGGTTTTATTGGCTATTGGGGTAATGCTCCGTATTATCGTCCGTTCAGTACTGACAGCCTGGCTGGAATCTACATATCAATCATATGGTGGGTGTTGTAGAGCCTCCTGCTTGGTATATCTCGGGTAATTGGTTATTAGATCCTTGCTAAGATGACTCGATGCGTATTAGCTGACAAGCTCCTCTGATTTGGCGGCATGTGTCAGGAAGGCCTGGATTTGAGCCACCCGGGACGCGACAAGGCAGCATTGACTGTGCTGATCAGGCTTTGCAGAGACGAGATGCATGGTGGATAATGACCATGGGTCTACAGAGTGCGGACCAACGAGCCAAGATCACGGTCAGTGTGTAGGTGGTTCGGGGGTCAACAGCTAGCTGTCTAGGGACGTCAGGGATGCCGGGACACTGATCATGACAATACCGAAGGGTGCCTGTGTAGTCGTTTGGTAAAGATGGAAGGTTGGCTAGTAGCGTGTTTGTATGAGCTTCGTCATGAGTGTCATCGGCAAGGCAGCTCTGCATGTGTGTCTGGCTAGGGAAGAAAATCGGCATAGCAAGCGGGAACGACGCATTGCTCGAGTAGACGACTCAACCTTGTATGGAGAGCATGACCAGATGTGAGATCGATATCGAGCCGCCCATGACCTCCGGGCTAGAGGACGGCTTCTCCTAGCATACAGATGGATGCACGGGACTAATCAGAGCGTGGCGCCAGGCCAGTGGTTTCGATCTCCAGTCAAAATCAATTCGGCTTCGTGTAATCCTCGTTCACAGCCCGGAGCTTTCGCTGCTCGGAAGGATTGTGGATGGTTCCGTGTGTCCAGATGACTGGTTACATTGCATGAAAACGGGTATGGAACGGGAAGTTGTCAACAATGGTTTTGTGTATCGTTGGGGGAGTCTCCAGCAAGTCCTGAAACTAGCCTTTCTTGGCTCTGAGACAGACCCTCTGGCTTCATTCTGTGCAACTCAAGGAGCGTACAGGACTGGCAGATGGGCTTCCACTGCCCGCTCTGTGTCCTCGTGCACTTGGACATGCCAGTCCGTTGGCTGAAGCTCCATCAACGTCACCATTGCCACTACCGCTTAATCAGGCATGACGGCCGCCCTTCCATCACATTCTGTTTGGCACATCCAATTCTATGGCTGGTCCATCATCAGACTTCATGCAGGCATATGCCTCACAGCCACCGGCGAATTTCTCGGTTCTTTTTCGTTGCTAGATTTATTCGTGCCGCTCTCCGTACGCTGCATACCAGGGGATACTGCTAAGGCTGGGAACACGTCAGTCATGGCCTGAGAATAGTATACAGCTTACCTGTCAAGCCATACCACCATGGACAGGCAAAAGGGATCAAGAAAGATAGGGCATCATTATTCAATGCATCCTAGCACCACTCGCATCAATTTTGCAACTGGGCTGTACTATGCACGGATGAAGGACACCAGCATAGATCATTGATCGACTGACTAATAGCCTGACAAGTTGCACAGACAGGCTGGATGTGGTAAAGATGCCCCGGCTTGCGAGCGCACCCACAGAGAGGTATGTAGGCCTATTCGTAGTTACAGCGTGCTTTGTCGAACAATCAGATGCATATTGCAATTAGTAAGGAAGAGACATATCGCGGAAATTAAGAACGAAATCCCTTGTAGCTGACAAGTAGCAGGGCGATATCCCTAACAAGGCCAGCATCTCACTACAGGTGATGGCAAGGCCAAAGAAAGCCATACTCACCAAGCAAAGGGTCCCTTACAATAGGACTACACCTGACCTTGCCTGACAAAGAATCCTAGTTGAAGGCAATCAAAAAATCGTACAATTGGCTGACCACAGCCTATGCAGACCGCATGAATTCTTTCGGGTCCGAGGTTACAGCGAATTTAGCGCAAGTTGTCGGCTATGACACGCGTTGCAGTGATACTTGTGCACCCATTATAGTAGTTCATGAGAATATATTGGACAGCTTGTGCTCTGGGACGCCAAGAACAATCGTATCTATCTGAAATGTCCTGTACCTGCACATTAGCAGAAGGAACAGGGTCGACCTCGTCGAGACCATCTTCTCGATGTGATGGTCGGTTGAGAGCAATTGAATGAATGGGGCCGGATGCAAAGTGAAAATCACAATTCGTCGGGCAGCTGAAGTTGGGGCACTAAAGGCCCGCCAAGGGTTCATTCAAACGTGGGAACATTAGGGGATCCCGGAAATTAAAGCCGACTGTTCTGGACTCTAGATGAGCTCAGCTGCTTTAATTGACATGACAACCGATGTGCGGACTATCTTGATGGTCCAAACCGTAATATCGGCCAGCTGCAGATCAAAGCATGCCATAGCTATCCCTTCGCTCTATTATGGGTTATAAAGGTAATTATTCGATTGTCGTACAGGAGTGCCGTCCGCAGAGAGTATCAGCCACCAGTGCGGTAGTAAAGTCAGCAGGTGAGAAGAAGAGTGTGTCGCAGCTATTGCTCCTGGAACACTGAGGATGCGAGTCAATCGGAAGTACTCCAGCTGCACAAAATGTTAGCACGGGCAACCCTAGGACAGGTCCAACACATTCCCGGATAGGCTAGAAGCCACGGTCTTGAATGGGACCTTGCTCGAACTCTAATAGGGATGGGTTTCCGGACGGACGGGCCTCTCTTAACCAAGAAAAGGCTGGAGCCAGTTGAGACAAAGAAAAAGAAATTACTTTAAAGAAGTTTACTCACTATAGACATCGGTAGTGGAGAAGGGTTCCTTCGGAGTGGGAGCAGGCCTGCTTCCCACGAGTCACGGTAACTTGTGTCTCCATAAGATGATACCCTGTGATTCGCTGATCAGTCCCCACGGGTAAGAGTGGACTCTAGATCAAGCTGTGAATGGCGGCCAAGACAGCAAGCAATAAACTTTTTGCTATTGTGTAGGCGGCCATCGTGGATGGCATCAATCTGGGCATGCCTATTATAGACGGGAGGGAGGAGAATCATCATGCATGGCCGAGGACCGTTTCCTAAACAAGGTTTTCTGGTGGCCCCAACAGCAAGACTACTAGTCATTTAGATGCCATAACAATAAGAATGGATGGATGGAGGAGACAAGGACAAGGACGATAACGGGGTGGATGGTCGAAGACTCAATTGTTGTAAGAAGAAGGTCCATACAGGTATGCCGCTATACTCTTTGGGGTAGACCCCATGCGGGGCACGTGCCTTCGGTCGGGTTGGGTTTAGCGTCACGATGCGGATCCCGATTCATGTTTTGGTGTGGCCGCCGAACCAGGCGCACGAAATTCAAAGGGGAAAGAATAAGCAGGGAAATCAAGCACTCCACAAACAGATTCCAGAGATGTTCACCATTTGGAAAGAAATTCATTTTATGGCAGACTTCTCTCTGTTTCTGATATCTTCTGAAGAAAGTTCGCCCCTTTGCCGATATCACCAATACCTCAGCCATCATGGCCGATCAGCAGTATCCTGTCTAGGAAGAAATTTGGATCTTATGGGTCTTTGACGCCCTACCCTTGGACATCAAACCCCCCCGACAGGCTCCATTCAACGTGCTAATGGGGCTTACCCTGGCTTGAAATGCAACCTCCGCCTCTAGGCCCCCCTGGTTCAAGGTTACTATGGGATTCGCGCCGCATCCCGCGGACACATCCTGCACGACATTCGCCCTCCGTCCATTAGGGACTTCATACCCTTATACAGGCCTCCAACAAATGGCCCCCAAATAAAAACCTAGCACTGGTTCTCCACCAATTATACATCCTTGGCTACTTTTTTCAGCACGGTGCATATCACATCTCAACCAACTAGCTTCCTGCAAGCCTGGATGATCATGCAGCCACATATTAATCCTTCACCGGATCAGGAAAGGAAGTCAGAAAATAAGAGGAAAAAGGAAAAGGGGAAAATAAAGCCAATTAAAATTAAGGAAAGAAAAAGGAAAGAAGAGAGAAAGAAGATACTCACGCCCACCCCCACTGGCTGGGATACCAGAGACCACTCTTCCGTATCTACCAAGTATTTTTTTTTTCCCGCTTCAGTTTCGGCGGTCTCCTTTGCCCTCTCACCAATCAGTGAATCCTCTCGATTCTAGAAAACAATGCCGTGTGCTCCCTACAGCAAATGTTACTTCCTCCGTATCGGGCAAGGGTGGTGTGACTGGAAGAAGGTATCATTGTTGCTAGAGCATATTTCCTAACTACCTAACTATTACTAGTACAGCCAAAAGTTCCAACAGATTCGTGTGTATGGGGCGGGCCATGACTACGCACTGCTCTTTGTATTGGCCGCATTTCGGATTCGAATCGTTTCCAAAGCGTTCAAACCCATGTCGGTGAGTGAACAAACCACCATACGGTAATGAGAAAAAAAATAAATAAAATAAAATAAAAAATAACAAGAATAAATTAAAACAACCGTTGGATCGAACATGTCGATCGCCTGATCTCTCATTCATGCAAGAGCTACTGCTGCTCGTGCCTCAAGCACCCGAGATCCTCTTGAGAGCATCCAAGGCCGGAGCTCATGCCTAGAACATGGATTCTTTTTTTGGGTCCACAGTCCCTGTCTGGGACTGTACAAATTTTTACGGAGTACATCAACCGTTCTTCAATGGCCTTGAAAGCTATTGGTTGTCTGCATCTGCCCAAGCTCAGTAGTTATCAACAGTCTCCGTCATGCGACTGGGGTCTGCACGATTCCCGGAGTGATGATCGTCGCTACTAATCCGTTCTAGCACCATTCTAATTTGTTTTGCTGCACTTTGCCGTTCGCCGGGTGTTCACACTAAGGACAGCTGACTTTGCTGGTGATGTTCTGTATGGAGTATGGACAGTTCACCAATCATGCCGCCAGCTGAACCATGTCCAGGTTGGTCTCCATTCTGCTCTTGAGTTTGTGCAGCCTTGAAGTCTGCCTAGACGTGGACCATGGGGATGTAACATGGATTTCAACGAATGCCGTGTCTCTCCAACGGTTTCGACAGGGTCCAAAACTCTTTTTTATTCCTTTCGCGCGCCATTTAGTTGATACACCCATTATCAGCCAGGAAGGCAGTTGCCCACTCCACCCACCAAAACAATTCAAAATATAACAAATAGAGAAAAAAAAAAAAAAAAAAAAAAAAAAAAAAAAAAAAAAAAAAAAAAAAAAAAAAAAAAAAAAGAGAAGAAGAAAGAAAAAAAAGAGTATTCAAAAAAGAGCGAAGCATTTTTATTTTTCTGAAATGAACGGAGAGAGGAGGGGAGGAGTGCGCCGCAGGGACGAAAATGGAAAACGGAAGAAAAACAAAAGAGCGCCTTTTCTATTCGCGCAAGCGTATCCCAAAGGCAGCACCCATTGTAGTCCGTTTCTTTTCTTTTTCTTCTGTTCAGTCATGGATCGGAAACAACAAATGTCTTTGACCCTGGCTTCGACGAAACTCAACAGCAAACTCGTGGCGAAAGTGGTATTCGCTTTCAAGCTTAAATTGGCAACCTGAAGCTCTCAGGGCTTGTGCACAACGAGCTTCTGCAGACATTTCCGCCGCATCTTACCAGGATCGCTCATTGGTCGCCGCAAAGGGGCCAGGCTAGGTAGACAGCGGAGAAAGTGGGCGTCGTGTTGGTGTGAGCAGGAGAAAATACCATGACATGAAGGAAGTGGTTTTTCATCCAACACCCGGGAAACAGATATCAAGCGACCAGATCCCTCGATTGCCGGTCCAGGGCCATTTTACCAGTCAACTGCTCGTTCTGCAGCGCGGCTAACAGGCCTCTGCGACCCATTTCTCCATCTTCTTTGTCAGAATTCCTGATTAATCCACCGAGAGGCCAAATTGGAGCCCTGAGCCCAACAATTATCTCCTTGACGTGGACAAGCGGAACATTGGGATAACCGATATACATACATATAGGGTTGCATCTCAAAATTGAAAGCTGCAGTGGTAGATGCAAAATAACCTTCCTCACTCTTCACTCAACTTGCTCATCATCTGCCAATTGATACATGTGAGTCTGCCATTTTTCATAACATTTTGGATTCTGCACCAAGCCTATGGCACATGCATATCTATCTTCTCTCTGCCCTTGTCTCGCTTCTGACCTCATCCATATTCATCGCTTCTTTTCTTCTTCTTGTACCCTGTTGAGTGCCCCCATCACTATTCCGTTGTTTGAAATGCTTCCGCTGCCACTTGCTCCTTCAAAGGTTCTTGTCTTGAACCCTACATCTTTTTTTCAACCAAGCCACTTATCACCGATCACTACACCGTGGTGTCGGTAAGCTTATGCCTTGACAGCACTTGCTACACTCTATCTTCATTGTAAGGTTTACCTAGCAAGCCGTTGAGAGATCTTCTTCGGCATGGTTGGTGTGGCGAACATGGAACGCTGAGAACCAGTACTTACGGATGCTTGCTATGTTTTTTTTTTTGATCATTTCCTTTCTTTCTTTTCTTTTACCCCCTTCTCTCAACCCCACGGAATTTCCTCTTTTGTTTGGCTTCTTCTATTCTGTCATAGATGAGTTCCGTCTACCCCTCTCTGTCCGCCCCTTTAACATGAACATGCCGTCTACCTCACTGGGACCAAATACCTGATCAGCTACAAGAGCATCGAAGCAGATTTACTTAGTGCACTACTCAGCCTTCGTCATTCTTTAGGGGATTTTGGAAGGTCCACACTCGCCTGTGTTGGATTCCTTTTAGCGGTTACTTGAGTCACTGACGGTGTTATAGAAGCGCGTCGCTATACCAGGGATCATACTATTTTCCATTACCTCCGAACAAGAGCGATAGTGTATGTCAAGGCGCGCGGTTGCAGGTCCAATAGACTACCTCACTAACACATTTCGCTAGCTCTCGCCTTTTCAGCTTCTAGCATACCCCTGTTGGGGCGCCGCCCAAGCCTAGCGCTCGCCGGGCGTACTTTTAGTGCTTTAGTTTGCGTTGATTTCAAGGGTCCCAGACGCGAATCGGTCTCCTGCGTCTAGCTTGCTAAGCCAAGATACCCTGGTTCACTGATCTACCTTGTCTTTGAAAATCTTTTTTACCGGCAGCTTGCTAGTTGACTGTCGCAAGTTTGCAAATGAATCACTGTGAGTGGGCTCGCTTCATTTTAGTACTGTTGGGGACTGGGTTTTGTCACGGGTATGGTTTTCTTTATTACCGCCATTCTTTCCAAGATACGATCTGAGGAGCGGGCTTTGCACTCGTGACCTGATTGCGATTTGCTTCTGACAGGCGATCTACATCCGGGGTGACGTTTATTTCTTCCTTTTCGCATCTCAAGCTCTTCTACTTGGTTACACCATTTCAGGCGCTTCGTTCCTCTGGTATTATAATGACATCAGGAGATACTGTTTCCTTGGTCGACAGGGATGGGGGTCCCTATTTCATACCGGTCTGATCAGATAATTTGCATCCTTTCTTTTTTCGTTCTTTTCGGCTTCCTTTCTTCTTCGCATTGTTATTGATACGTGCATCTGATACTTTCGTTCTACATCTTTCTTTCCTTCACTCAAGTATTGCGCTTTGATTCTCTTCGCTCTCGAATGGGACCTGGCAATGCATTCTAATGATGAGCTCTTTCTTAGCAACGCTCCTGCAGAGCACCTTTCCACTGGACGGCCCGATAAACACCGACGGGGACTATACAGGGACGTCAAGACCTTTTTCAAGTTCGACAGGCTTTTCCATGGATGAGGAGGAAAATATCCGAAGGGGCGGTGCTGTTGGCCACCCGCTGGCGCAGCCAGTGTCAATACCAGCTACCAACGGCCTGCGATACAACACACAGCAGCCTGCGATGCAGGAGGTACCGTAAGTTGTCTTTCAATTCGGACTGCCCTTGTGCTCCACTTGGCCCGCTTGCAGCCACTAGTCACAGCTTCTCCCTTCTAGTCCGAATAACCTGAATAGTTGGCCCAACGCCCTCGATTGATTTATTATTCTTTATTAGTATTGCTGTTATTATTATTATAATTCTTATTTTTTTTTGGCTATTCCTTTTTCTTTTGTTTTTCTTTTTTATTTCTTCCTTTTTATTAATTTCTTCTCACCTCTCACCTCCTACCACCCCCTACCCTTAATTATTATCAAGATGATTTTATTATGTGTTGTTGACGCTAATGATAGTGACGGCAATCTTGATTATTTCTGAATATTTCTGATTTACTTGCTTTGGCCCTGGGGATGTCAAGTGGCTCTACATTCTTATTCATGTTTTCCTTATTTGATTTTGTTTCCCTATTTCCCTTTTTTCTCTTTTTTCTTTTCCGTTTGAGCGCCTATTTCTCATCATCCATTTTCGTCATTGCTCCCTTCTTTCTTTTTTTGAATTTATTTTATTCCTACTTTCCCTATCCCTTTCTGTGAAAGTGCCATCCTTAATGGTCTATACCAAACTGCTGCTTGCATGCGTCTACCAGCTGCTCCCTGGTCGCATTACCGAATCTTTAGCATACCCTCTCGCAAATGATGGCCGCACAGCTCGTCGCTGGTTCATTTATACATGCTGTATGGTCGTGATGCGTTGGGATCCAAGCGTTCTATATCTTGTTTTTCTTCTGCTGTCACCCTCGATGATTATTTTCGGCATAGACCCAGCAGATGCAACAACATACTGACCTGGGTCCGTTCTTCTAGCTTTCCGACGTCTCCTACCTCCATCCTCATGAGCCCTACTGACACATGCTCTGGTTCGTTTTCATTTATCTCTCGGCATTCCCAACTTCGGCTAATATGCGCCCTCCATCATTATGGTGCGGTGTATTACAGAAACATTCTCTCCTTCGTCGAACTCACTGTTTACGCATTCTTCAGGAATGTCATACGATAGGATGTCCGATTACAGATCCCATCGGGTGCCCCCACTGTAAGTCTGTCTCGATCTTTGATCCTTGGTTGACATGCACCGATTGATAAGAAAACTTTGGGACCTGTACAGCCAGCCGCCCGCCAACATGTCACCCAGCCTGCAATCACAGGGGACAACCGTTCCTGGAAGTACCTCCATTATGGGGCGAAATGAAGGGTATCCGGGAGCGTACACTCTCCATCGAGGACCGTTCCAAGGGCCTCTGACAGGTCTTGGGGAAATCAATAGGATCACACCCTTTGGAACAACGCCTCGAGGTGTTATCGAGGGCACTATGGATCGACCTCCGAGTGTGTACATTGGATCGGGAAGTATGTTGATGGATGCCGTCCAACAACGCTTGCCACAACCAGTTGCCGATGCTCCTCCGTTCGGCGAAACTATGGTGATTCAACCGGTCATCTCCGGTGCCCAAACAATCAATCCTGAAATACAAGCCAAGATACATAAAGGTTTCTTCCAGGTCGATGATAAGTGGACGTGCTATAGACGCAACTATTTCTCAGTCTCGTGTTCGTTCACGTTGCAGCCGTGGGCAAACGCTCCACTGTATGTGAAGCTGTCCGAGCACGGCCCAGATCGCATTATAAAATTTGCTATGTCTATTTCCGCTGTAGTGAATCAACAAGTCGGGGAAGTTCGAGAATTGGTTCAACACACCCCCAAGCGGGACAAGCAATCGGAAAGAAAACCGGGGAAGGTCATATTGCAACCCTCTCAACCTACGCCTTTGGTTCTGGGCCATGGTGCATCACCAAACAGCAGTCAACATGGGTTTTCGTTGGCCTCGCAGTCGGCTGGGTTGTCGCTGGATTACAATAGCTACCCAGGAGCGGGCCAACCTTCACAACCGCCAACCCAGCACACGTTTGAGCGGATTCAATTTCAAAAGGCGACGGCGAACAATGGGAAACGGCGAGCCCAACAGCAGTACTACAACCTAGTCGTTGAACTCTACGCTGAGGTCGCCAGTTCCGTTCCAGGTACCGAGACCCAATGGGTCAGGATTGCCAGGCGACTTTCGCATCCAATGGTAGTCCGGGGCCGGTCTCCGGGCCATTACAAAGACGGCCGCCGCGATAGTTCGACAAGCATGGGCCCCGATGGAGGGAGCGGTGGCTCTGGCGATGGAAGTGGAGGGGCTGTCCTACCTCCGGGATTAGGACAAGGTGCACGGTCTCACTTGGCCCTCATGCCGTACGACCACTCTCAGCGCGGTGGGCCACATTACGGTCGAACAGATTACCATCAAATGACCGCACCAGACCAGTCACCGCTAAGCGAGAGTCCGCACATATCGTCGTCCTCGTCATCGGCGTTTGATATTGGGCTCATGAATGACAACACCATGGATCCCATGGACTCGATGAAAAGCTCGTCCAGCATGGATACCTATCAGGACTCTAACTACAGCGTTATGAACAACCGAAAGCCGGAAAGCCATTTTCGCCATCAACCGCCCTCGTTCGAGTACGATTCCGTATCCAAAACCAGCGAAGAGACGGGCCATGGGTTCCCCCAGCCGTATGAGTCGATGGTATCTCTGGTGACGAGTAATGACCAGCATGAATCTCCGCATTACCTGAAACATCCCCCTCGGCTGGCTTCTCACCTGTACCAGCACTCTAACAGTAGTGGCTTTGACCCCGTCTATTCGACTCGCACCGCTGATGGTAGCTCTTATGGTCGATTTTCCAACTCCCAAAGTCTGTGCGCTTAGCAGGTCTTTGGTCGTTTCCTTTCCCTCTCAGTCCCTGTGAGCCCTTCACGCATTTCTCTCGTGCTGTGTGTCTGTCACTGTCCATTTCTTTCCTCACTTACTTTACATTCTTTACTTTCTATCATCTTTTTGTCATTTCTTCTATTTCCCTACCTTCTCTTTTTCTCTTTTCCTATTCCGTTGTTTCTGCAATTCTTTCTCTATGTGATCCAAACGCTTTTGGGACGCTTTCCTTTCATTTTCTCGTTTTACCTGTTTATGAAGCAGGAAAAACTTGCCCCAGATGAATTGTTCTGTCCGGAGCGCCTGACCCTACGTTTGCCGAACTGCGTTGGTAGCTCTCGACGGACATCCGATGATTTATGCGTGCCTATAGACTGCGAAGCTGAGCTGACTTGCCCTCACTCCCATGTTGACAGAAAGTTGAAATGGCATTACCACGGTGATGACTCCTTTTGGGGATCCTTGTACACCGGGTCTTGTTTCATTCCCTTTGCTTTTCCTTCGCCCCACTTTTATTTACTTTCTTGTTTCCAGCCTGTCAATTTCCCTTTTCTCCCCTCCCCTATCGCAACCCCCTATTGATGCTGCCTCCGGAAGGACCAAAGGGAGGATGCATTGCTTCCATTCCCCGTTTACCAACAGACGAGGCCCAAAACATTTGAGTTTCTACATGTAGACGAGACCTGAATTTTCCTATTCGAGCAGGCGAAAAAAGCAAAAATAAATACCATTGACTATTTTCTTGGATTAAGCAAGTCTTTGATGTTAGAACAAAGTACCAGAGAATTGTCTTTGCAGAGATAAGGACCGGCAGGGAGGCTGAGATCGAGCGTCTCTCCTAGAGTGGAGAATTTCATGACCAGTCGAGACACAACACAATACAATACGACTAATAGGAGAGATCCAAGATAAGTAATAATTCGCATGCAAGACCCAGCCTGCCAGGGAGAAGGATTATGGTTCGCCGGGGAGGGGGTAATAATTGGTTACTGCCGGGGTAGAATTTTCTCCGATATGCTGCCCTACTTGGCCCAGCCAGGTATGCCGCTGTCAGGTCAATCCAATCTAACTAACTAACCCTGTTCGCTGCATGCGGAGTGGGCGTCTTGGACCAGAACAAGACCCCCCCCCCCCCCCCCCCCCCCCCCAATGCTAAGAAAAAAGTAATATGGAAGGGTACGAAGGAACCCAACGAAGCAGATCTCTCATATTCTTCCTAAACGGGAATTGAAAGTACAGATAGCATATTCAATGTATTAATGAGAGAGGGGGTCGGAGAAAGAGGGTGTTGGAGGGTAGGAGTAAGACCGGGTAAGGGACAACCGATTGAGACCCGAGACTCTTAGTTATGCAGTATGCCGTAATTGATAGATGATCGATAGTACCAAGATTAGTAGATGATCATCATCATGCTTCCAGCTCACAGCCGTGGCAAATACCGCGGCAAACAAGAGAACATTTACTTATACCTACTTGAGTGAGAATCATCAGGGAGAGGATCGGAGGGAGGGGGAGGGTGGAAGGGGAGACTGGTAGTGGTGTGAGAGAGAGCAAGCCATTAACGACCCCCGAGCTGCCTGGATCTGATCTCAGGCCAGATGACGAGGGAAGATCGACGGAGACCCCGAAGCTCTCCCATCCGTTTCATTTGTTCTTGCCGAGTTTGGCGGTCGGTCACCGGCAGTCATTGGGGTGTTGGTCCCTAGTAAGTAAATTGGTGGCAGACATGCCTAATCGGTACATACTACTAGTCGTAGTAGTAAGTAAGTAGTAAGTAGTGGATGAATGCTGAGATGGAAGATCGATGGATGGATCGATCGTTTAGTTTACGGTTAGTTTCACTTTTAGTTTACTTTTAGTGGACTTTTAGTTTACGGGGAAAGTTTTCCTGGGGGTGGAGTTACTATCGGTACTACCAAATACTCTTACCGTACAGACGCGCTTGCCCCGAAACCAACCCACCAACACACACTTACTTCCACTTGCTGGCTCACTCCATACATACTCCAGAAACTCACATACCCCCTCCTGTACTTCCTCCTCCTCCTCCTCCTATCCCACATACGCCGCCAGACCCAGCAGGAATTAGAAATTAAAGAACGGAAGAATAATAAAGGACTGCAATAACTGACAACATGCTAGAAGCAATAGAGCGAGAAAAGGGAAAGAAGATATGGCCAATCACCCCCTTCTCCTTTTTCCCGCGGCTTTTCCTTTGTTGCCGATGTGCCGGGGAGGGAAATGGGATCATTTTTCCGTCTCACCGGCACCATCCTGGCTGGCTACTGCTACTAGACAGCAGACTCACTAGCTCCTGCTCTTGACTACTGCCTAGTCACGAACTAACTAACTATCTATCCATCTACTAGGTGAGCTCACTACTGACTTGCTAGTTGGGTGGCCAGTTCATCCACTATACATACAGCACGCAAAGGTGCCCCGCAGAGAATAAGTAATTGTCCCTGAGCATGGCTCTTCCTGCGAACATCATCATCAGCCGGTGTCCACCTCAACATCTCATCCATGTCTCTCTGTTGCTTCCCGCCTTTTTTCGTGGGCTCCATATTGTCGCGCCACCCCCCCCCCCCCCCAAAAACGTCAGAAGTCCCTGGTCCTTCCATGGCTGCAAGTGACGGCACTCGAGCGACGTCAAAAGGAAGATGCAACTAACGCGACGATCATCCCACCAATGCGTTCCATGATCGACCGGGCATACATTAGGCCGCTGATTTAATCTCGTTAGTGAGCGTGCATGGTTCTCTCTCCCCTTTTAGCGCCTCCCATCGATGCTCCCCCATCGCGGCGGCAAGTGTAACTAGTCAACTGGGCTCTATCCAGGATATCCAGCCTCCAAGCCTTCGGGTACAACTCCTTCGCCATGCGGCATGACCACTCACTCTAGCGCTGACGGGCGCGTCTGTCTGGTTGAGCCACTCCTTCCAAACCCTTGGGCCTCTCGGCACGTTCCGGAGTCATCCTAGGCCGACTATTGTTTCCCTTGGGTCCGGATATCAGCCTGCAAGGACTACACCGTCGCCGTTCTTTCGGACCCGATAAATTCTAATCTGCCGGTCCTTATCTCTCTCACTCTCTCTAGTGATGCATCTGCATCCATCTCATCGGGAAAAAGAAACGCGAAAATCATTTAATTCATACTACACAACATGTCTCCTTCCGTCGACCATCAAGGCGCCATAAGCAGCAGCCCTCACCCCCAACAGATCTCGGCAGCTTGGAAATCTTGTCCGTCCCAATAGGCTATGCAGGATTTAAGCAATGATAGACCATCTCACATTAACCGGACACGCTTCACCTTTCCAGTGGTTTCCGACCTCTGTAATTCCCGCAGGCGGGGCCCCGATGGCTACCAAATACTCAAGCATTGCTGAGGCAATATTGGCTTCCCTAGAATGGCCCACCATGCACGTCGTACAAGGGAGGGGGGTGAATGACCCGGGCAAAACTGATGGGGCCAAAGCCTTGCAAGCCACAGAAGGCCTGGTAATTTTGACCGACAGAAGTACGGTCTGGTAGGGGGCGGCCAACGAGAACGCCGCAATGTCCCTTTGGACAACTCTCCGGGTCGTTGTGCAACCGTTGCATCCAATCTGCGTCAGTTTCACCGCACCAACGTCAGCGCCCAACGCAATGTATGAAACTTGTCGACTTGCCCTTTTCAACGGCCAGGGCTCCAGTCGCTGCCACTTCCATGCACGCCCCCTACTCTTCCCACGGGCGAGTCGGTGGGATGCAACCCGCCCCACCCATCTTCCTGGAGCAGTCGATGTCGCAGATTGGGGCCTTCGGAGTCTTGCATGCAATAGCCGAGCAGTATCTGAGTCAAATAGGGCCCCCATGCTCGTCTGTATACGTCAAATGATCCTGGGTTGCTGATCTCACTCCGTTTGGATTCTGCTCGGAACCTGAGACCATGGTCCCAATTTCGATTTTAATTTCTGGAAACAGAAGTTTACCAGCCATGCGAGCCCTCTGTTGAGTGTTGACAAGGCTGTATTGTCGTGTCAACATTGGTCTTCCATGGCCGACCCCCTTTACGAGCTGGTGAAGATTCTGACCCAGACAAACCTTCTTGCTTTCCGTAAACTATACCCGGTCCCATCACCCTGCACTGAGCTGTGTGGAGATTGTCTCATTTCCTTCTCTCGCCCTTTACTCGCTCAATTGCTTGCCTCGACCCCTACAAGCATCGGCTAACTGCCAGCGCAACTCTCTGGGTTCTTCATGGGCTCGTCAGCTAGTCATCTCGAGACCTCTCCCGACATTGCATGCATGAAAATTCTGTTCCACGAAACGGCCTCCGGATGTTGTGTCCCGCCAACAAACTTCTGACAAGGCTAGACACACGACAAGAAATGAGATCTGGCCCCCCCCCCATCTCCTGCTGCAACTCGCCTAACTCTCCTTTTGAATCAAATCCGCGCCTATCTGCTTCTGCCTATTTTTATTCTGGCTTATTCCTGTCCCCAGCTTCAACTCGCAAGAACATGTGAATGTCGCCTATTGGTGTTTCAAAGTAACCGGTCAAGGCGGCCTGCACCTGCGATAACCAAATGTTGGGCTGCTGACGTCTCAATTCAGACCCCCAACCTCACTGCCGTAGCCGACGGTACCCGCCTCCATCTGCATCTCCTACTTTGCATCTTTCTCGACTCTCGATATCCGGACAGCCAATTTCCGATCCAACTCCTCCTGCTCCTCCTTCGTAGGCGCCATACCCATAGCATTTTCCACTTGCGGCGAGACCCAGAGCCCAATAGACGCCCAGGCCATCACGCCGATTCCGAACAGAGCTCTCGTTTTAGGCGAGAGGGACCGATATGAGCTGTGAGGTGCGTATTTCCCGGTCAGCGTAAATCTATTTCCTCATTAGATACGTAAAAGATTACCCACCTCCAGAACGACATCCTTGTAAGTGTGAAACAAAAATGGTAAGTACACGAGAAATAGATGTTATAGGAATGTAATTAGGCACCAGGTAAGAGTTTCACTCGACTGTTCTTTCCAGTCCGGAAGGTTGCGAATCGAGCTCTCCGGCAGTAACTTGATTTGAATACGAACTAGTCTCGAAGCGGTTTAGTCAATTTACGTCCGATTCCGCCTTCCTATTATGTCTCAATCAATATAGCGCCAGGAACCATCGAATTAACGAAATGACCTGTATCTTCTTCCCCCTCTTTGAGACACATCAGAAAAAAAAAAATAAAAGAAAGAAAGAAGAAAAGAGTCGATCTGACATGTTACCCATCACAAGAAGCATGCACTGCATGTATATCACTCATCAGGGTAGAAACTAAGATTTCGGCAAAGAGACGTATATCATAGATCAACTCTACATACTGTAGTTCTCTCAGCAGATAAATACTACTTAGTTAAGTTAATCAAGTAAGTAGTACTTGAGTCATATCATATACCATGATGATTCAAGAAGTCATTAATTGATTCATGCGTGCAATAGCCAATAGTAACTACCGGCTCTGTGATATCTACCTAGGTATCTACCTATATACTATCTTGCATTAGGGGGAAAATTGGCTATTAGTACTAGCAGATATTAGAAGAACTTTCTATATCTGCAGAGGATATACTCCGTACTATGTAGCAGATAGGGACTTTTTTTATTGTTATGGAATATGGAATGTTCTATAGAGGATAGATACATAATACTGGTATGTATGGTACGAGTCAATCAATGGTTTGAAAAGTAATATGCTTTTAGCGAAGCTATTATAGCAAGTAGATAGAATGAGTACTAAGCTAGAGTGTTTTGAAGATAAGGAAAGTGGTAGAGATAAGAGACAGTGTGAATAGGGGATGAAGCTAGGACATACCCATCTATCTATTGACTGATCGTTTGGATTTGGGCTTTTTGTCTGCCCGTACAGCTGCTACCAGTAACTTACGGAGGAGGCACGCATGAATGAAATGATGAATTTTATATGGCATAGACACCGGGATGAGTATCACATCGAGCGTTAGCTAAGCTGAGAAATACACAAAGAAAGGAGAGAACATGATACATGTATATCATAGAACAGAAAGAGAAAAGAACATCGAATTAGCAGGATCAAAACATAATGCGAGCACAACAGTTGCTGAGGGATATAGAGGATATACTATTAAAGCAGGCATAAGATATGCGGCTGATCGAGATGAGATGAGGGTTCGCTGTCGCGGACTTGGATGATTGGTGGCGTTTATTTCTTGCCGTAGGCACGGTCGATGTCCTCCTGGAAGCGGTTGAGGATCTTCTTGCGCTGGAGCTTTTGAGCGGCGGTCATGAAGCCCTGTCATTTTGTCAATACATCATTCATTAAGGGGGGATATGTATAGACTCACGTTTTGAGGGGTCCACTCCTCGTCGGAGAGGACAACACCGTTGATGATCTCAATACCCTTCAGACCACCGGCCTTACCAGCGGTCTGGAGCTGCTTGAGAACAATAGACTTCAGCTTCTCGTTGTGAACGAGAGACTCCAAAGAGTCGCCCTCGATACCGTTGTCTTTAGCCACCTTCTTCAGGGTGGCTTCAACGGGGACAATGATAGCGACAGGCTTGTCCTGATCTTGGGCGGCGTAGACGCAGATGTTGCCGACCACGGGAGAAGAGCGGTAGATGGACTCGAGCTTCTCCAAAGCAATGTATTCACCGTTGAGAGTCTTGACCAGGTTCTTCTTGCGATCGATGATCTTGAGATGGCCGTAGCTGTCGAACTCGCCAATGTCACCGGTCTTGAACCATCCATCATCGGTGTAGGCCTCCTTGGTCTCGTCCTCGTTCTGCCAGTAGTTGCTGCTGACACTGCCTCCGCGAATGTAGATTTCTCCCTGAGGGGGAGTGTTCTTCGTAAAGTACCCAGCATCCGGGAAATCAACAAGCTTAACCTCGATAGAGGCGGGGATTTCACCGAGCGCGTCAGGGTTCCAGGCCATGGGGTCGTTCAGGGCACCCATGGCGGAGGTTTCGGTCAAACCGTAGCCGCTGATCATGGGGGCAACGGCCATCGACAGGAACTTTTGCGTGTCCTTTGAGACAGGACCACCACCGTTCATCATGATCCGTAACCGGCCACCAGTGGCTTCCTTGAGCTTGCGGAAGGCCACAGAGTCCAGGAACCAGGCACCCGTGTCAGCGCCCGGGAATCCAGCAGTCATGAGGAAGTTCTTGGCAGACATGGCACCCCAGAAAATGCTCTTGATGAGGAAGTTGTTCTTGTTCAGGTTGTTGAGCACACCCTTCTTCACGGACTCCCACACAGCCGGGACACCGACCAGGATGGTGGGCTTGAATTCGCGGATATCACCCTTGCAGTTGCGCATGGAAGCGTCAGACAAGGTGCGAGGGTTGCCGTAACCCATGGTACCACCCCAGAAAAGACAGAGGTTCTCGAACATGAATTCCAGAATGTGCGCTTGGGGGAGGTAGGTGAGGAGAGCATCCGAGGGACCAATGTAAGGGCCGACAATCTCGTGGATACCGGCAGCTAGATAGAAACTTGGCGTTAGCGGCGACTTGTCAGGGGCATTCCATATAGCAACTTACTTGCGGCGATAACGTTCGCATGTGTCAAAGAGACACCCTTCGGGGGACCGGTAGAACCAGAGGTGTACATGATACAGCAAAGGTCTTCAGGAGCCGGGGGGACAGGATCAACGGGGTTCTCTTCACCCAGCTTCCGCAGCTCCTCGAGGCTCATGACGTTCAGGTAGTCATACTCGGACTTGAGACGATCCAAGTGTTCCTTCTTGGGCTCCTGGTCGGTGTTGTAGATGACGTGCTTGATGGACTTGACATCCTTCAGAACGTTGGCCACGGAAGGAATGAGAACGGGATCGCAGAAGATGGCGGCGCTAGACGTCTGGACCAAAGAGTGCTTCAATCCCTCCTCACCCAGGGTATCATATGCGGTGACAATAGTCAAGGACTGAGATGCGGAACCTGTTTACCAAGGATTGCGATTAGTTGCAGACCAATGAGCCAGGGTAGAAGTTTGGGCACAAACCGTGTGACATGGCCAGCCAATTTGCACTGCGGAAAAAGAAAAGAAGCAACGTCAGCATTCCTCAGGTACTCCAGCGAACCTCAACTGAAGACTCACCTAGTTGCGCCGTAAAGGTGAATCTTGTCGGGCTTCTCCAGACCGAGCTTTCGCAATCCACAGCCGAGCTCAAGGGCCAGCTTCTCGTATTCGACAAAGCTCTTGTAGCTGTAGCCACTCATCTCAAAGTAGGTCCACTGCTTATCGATCTCCTTCTCGACACCATCAACGATCTTCTTGACCTTCTTGTTCTCGACATGGGTCTTAATCAGGTGACGGGTTCCAACTGCCTTCGCATTGCCGTAAACACGCGCGGAGCGGCGGAAAACATCGTAGGTGGTTCCGACATCCTCAGCCGGGCGTAGGATGAGGCCATCCTTGGCGGCGGGCAGTCGACGAGGAATGGTCTCGCCCTCAACCGGCTCGTATCCAGGAGCCTCTACGGAGAACGGAGGCTTCTTGTACATGCGCGGTTGGATGCGAAGCTCCTGGAGCTCCTTCTTAGACATCGGCATCTTGGTGGGACAGGACTTCTAGACGGATGAAACGGAAGGCAGGATCTGTAGGGGACTTGGTCTGTCCAACAAAGAACGGGGTGTGGTGGTCAGTCGATGTTGGAGAATTTGAGTTCGGTCTGATCGAATACGGTAATGGAAAAAGCAACAGCACAAGGAGGCGGGAGCCAAAGGAAGAGGGACGGAGCGCAGAACTCAAAAAGGACTCACGGGAGTGCACAACCACACTGACGAACTCCAAACCGGGGGATGAGGTTGCAGGTGGAGCCTTAGCAAGAAACACAAGAACCTTTCAAGGCGGGCGAGATTGCGGGGAGGAAACACGGGCGGCAGTTGAAAAGGGACCCGGATGAGATGGGGTAAAAAGGGAGGAAGAAGAAGAGGGGGATAGAAAGGGAAGATGGAGAAGAGGAGGTAGCGGAGGAGGAGGAGAAGAAGAAGCAGCGCCAGAAGAGGAGAAGATGAAGCTGCAGATCGGCAATGAAGTCAGAGTATTTGTTGTGGCTGGACGGGAGGTCAAGGCGGTCCCAAGTTGCTTTCTGGCTCTACCAAAGCTCGGGCGTCTCGTCCGCCACCTCCGACTACGATGACGGATAGTATGAGTCCCTTTTTGCGATCCTTCCCCTGCACATCGTGTTCCTTGGTTCTATCTATTGTCTTATTTTTACTTGCGGTTCGGTCTGACTTCTCCGCTCTCGCAATGCGCTATAATGGTTGCGATCGTGACAACACCCTACCTTGAGGCCACGACTACTGTCCGTACTAGCACCTCCTCTAGGCTCATGCATCGTCTAGATCGGTCGGGAACTTGAATGCAACATCAGAAGTACTAGCCGCGGTCCAGCACAGCCGACAGCTTCAAGGTTCTGACACACGGGGAGAGGAGATCATGGCGACAGGAACGGGGCAACAGCAACGATGGAGCTTGTCATTGCTGCCACGACATGACAGTAAGCAGACTATCTACGTACTAGATCACTACCTATAGCCAAGGAGAGATATATGATCTAATTGAATCCACAATTCAGAGATTCCCGCCCAGGATGACGGCATAAGAAGCCTCTTGAGTCAAAGAGATTCGCATTTCATGATTCAAGAAAAGCGATCGGAAAGTCTCGGTCGCGGGCTAAGCCCAGTTCCGCTTTTGTTGGGATTTCCACCACTCACTATGACTATCTATTAACGAGCTATCTAGGAAGTACTCAGGCGCCAGACATCCAAATCAGAGACTATTGACAATTAACTTTGATCAGTTCTACTGCAGACACACCTCCACGACCTCCTTCATCCACTTATGCATCCACCCCCTTATGCAGTCGCAAGCATACATGAATAACGTTAAGGATCTCTACGGTGTGACTGAACTTCTTCCCGCCAACCAATCAGACTGCCGGCCGTTACAATGCTGGAAAACTTCCCGCCGACCAGAACCACCGCAAATTCGGTATCATCGCCAATCCTTCACCCATTGCAAGCCCTTGTGCAGTCAAAACCTCAACTGGAGCTGAAACAGTCTCCCCTCTTTCCACATCCTGGTTGATCTCTGTTGCACAACGCCCGCCACTGCAGAGGAAATATTCCGATCGACAGAGTACATCGCTACACAGACTAACCGGGACAGCCAATATCAGAAGCAAACAGGCCTCTTCAAGGAAGTGGCAACTGAAACACAAAACATATACCCTCTGTATACCTAGTAGACGCTAGACAGACAGACACACATATCTTATCCCAAGATACCATGGATTCAATTACAAACTTCCTCGCCACCATCGGCGAAGAAGTCGAAGATGCAGAAGAGGGTATGTCCCATGCTCGATTGATAGTACCATCATTCATGAGCGTGTATACCTATAAGCAACCATAAACCCGTATACTACATATAATAACCATTGGCACCAAAATAAAACATAGAATCCTTCCTCCTCTTCTCCCAAGACATCCCCTCCGCCAACCTAGGCTTCGTCGACTCGCGCGCCACAACCATCGACCTCACCATCCACGACCAAGACTATACCATCCACCAATCCCCTACTCTGTTATCATCTTCCAGAGCAGGCGGCACAACCGGTGCAGGTGAGCCCGTGTCCATAAATCCAATGATATCCCCTCCCCAGGATTATAATGATGACATGAAAAGCATCAAACTAACCAAAAGAATGATATGACATACAACAGTCCTCTGGAAAATCACTCCCCTCATCGCAGAATGGCTCTCCAACAACACCACAACCACCACCAACACCAACAAACCCAACCCCCTCTGGACACACAACATCCTAACCCCGACCTCCACAATCGTCGAACTCGGCAGCGGCATCTCCGCCCTCCTGGCCCTATCCCTCTCCCCCAAGATAGCGCACTACATCGCCACAGACCAGGAATACGTGCAGAGACTATTCCGGCAGAATCTGGACGAGAACGCCAACACCATCACCACTAGGGGAAGTAAGTCCAAGTCGGGGAAGAAATCCAGCAAAGCTTCTTCATCCTCAGCAGCACGGAGATCTCAACAGGGAAATGGGAATGGAAATAGCAGTAATGTGGTTTTCACATCCCTAGATTGGGAACTAGATGTTGCGGACTCACTTAAAGAGAGTTTGGGGCTGTGCACAGCCACCGCTAGCAGCGGTAATGATGGTGAAGAGGAGGAGGACGAGGACGATAAAGGCTTCGACGTGGTTGTGTCTTGCGACTGTATCTATAACGAGGCGTTGGTTGCGCCGTTTGTGCGCACGTGTGCGGATTTGTGTCGGTTGAGGCCGGTGTATGCCCCTCCTGTTGATGGGGAGAGGTCTAGTGGGACGGGGAGGACGCCGACGGTGTGTGTGATTGCGCAGCAGCAGCGGTCGCCGGAGGTGTTTGAGGCGTGGTTGCGGGAGACGCTGAGGGTATTTCGGGTGTTTCGGGTGAGTGATGAGATGTTGGGGGACAAGTTGATGTCGGGGTCGGGGTATTTGGTGCATGTGTTGGTTTTGAGGTAGATGTCATCTGCGTCTAGGTTAGGACTATGGGGATGATATCTACCTGAATATGAAGGTGTAGGAGGATAAAGATGAGCTGAGTGATATGTCTTTCATTGACTATGGACATGGCCTGAATTGTGGAACTTCTTGAACAAGAGCTTCGTGTCTCTCAACTGCATACGTCCCCGGCCAGAAGCTGAAGATCAGCTGTGCGTGTATAAACATCCCAAAGCAGTATGGACATTCTTGTGGGAAGCAAGAGCAAGAAAATAACAGACACAATAACTGTGTACCCGGGGATAAAAGATATCTTTCCTTGACTGCGGGGGTTGTAAAGGGTATAAAATGAGCTAGTGATCGGAGACATCCGGTGTGAATATGTGATCGGGATGGGCATGTGTAGAAGAGAAAATCCCCATCAACCCAAGCATACATGGAAAGAGGGCCAATCATTGAAACAATTGTAAGACATTACATTATTAATGAACGTGCACAAGGGCCACCCACGAATAGAAAAGAGGGTATTGACGCAAGAGCTGCATATAAACAGAATCTGAAAGCATGCTCGTACTATGCAAGGTGAGAAAATGCAAGTTTTGCCTCGTCACAGGCCAACGCAATGAAATAACCAGTAATTATGTATTTGTATATATTACTTTGCCTCGGTTGTATCTTTAGGTTGAGTATTTTCTTTCTCGTTCTCATGTGGCCGAGGGAACTCGGCCTCGTCCTTGATCGAGGGCTTTTGATCCGGGGACGCCTGAATGGGTGCCTCAGCCGGCCGAGGCGGGATTGAGCTTAGTCGCCCCCGGGGTTCATCCTCCGGGTCGCGATCGATGATCGATGAAATGGATTGTTTAGTTGAACCGTTCGTTCTCGGCACTGGTATTTGCTCCGGCGCCGGAGGCATAGTCGCCGGCGGCGCGGGCAGTGTCCTCTCTGAGGCCTCCGTTTTCACGGGGACCTCCCGACTCTCCTCCTCATCCGATGCAGAAGAATATTCCATCTCCTGCTGATATCCTTCACCGTCTGCGGGACCCGATTCCAGGCGACTTTCTTCAGTAGATGCCCGGTTCACGGTAGCTACTGGCGGTAGAGGAGCGTTGGGATCGAACACAATTCCGCATACCTCGAGTGCCCGGGACTGACTGCCGAGGCTACGATCCTTGTGCTTTTTGGTCAAGTGGCACATGAAGCCATGCAGCGTCACAAAATCGGCCTTGCCGCAGCCCGTAACAGGGCATGTGAGATACACCAAGCTCCCATCCGACGGCCGCTTCCAGAGCGCCCGTCCAGAAGGATCATGCGCCGCCGGACGTCCGTGTCGCTCCCCCCAAGCTTCAACGTTCTTTATGGTATATTTTTGCTTCCGCCTAATCGACGTGGCACCGGTAGGATCATGGTGAATGTGTTGCGGTGGAGGATGGGGCGGTGCCGCTTGTGCTGGCGGGGGAATTGGACGAGGCTCCGGAGGGCTCTGTTGCTTGAAGAATGCAAGGGTGGTCGCTGCATTGGTTTCCGATAATCGGCGAGGCGGCGTTGGTCGAAGCGGCGGAGAGTCCAGGCTTGCATTGAACCCCAGTCCCATCGACTCGCGCTTAATTCGTTTCCGTTGCCTACGCAGTTCCTGATTTGTAGGCAAAGAAGTCCATGTCAGAGTTGAAACGGGTGGGAAATTTTATATCACAACCTAATAACCATACCTCTTCTTCGGCTTCAGCATTTTCAGTCATCCTACGAAACTCCTCGTCCTCTCGCTTCCGGATGGCGAGAAGATGACTACGGGCCGCCATGCGAGCCGCCTCTTCATGTTCCAGTTGCCTGAGGCGAGCCTCAATATGATCTATCTGAAATGGTTGACCTGGCGGAGCAGGTGCAGGCGGCCCCTGTTCCTGCAGTGGAGGGGGATGGAAAGGACGAAATTGATGATGGGCAGGCATCATATGTTCTGGCGGGATTGGTTGCGGCGGATTCATTGCGATTGGATGGAAACGGGGGAGGCTCATGGTGTTGACATGATGCCCGGGGGCACCTCCGTTCATGCCATTTTCGTGCACAGATGCTACAGGAGGTGCTGCAACTGTCATGGTAGAGGGGACTGAAGAAGAAAAATCCAGTCAGAGAATTAGTTGATCGAATCTACCGCTTTTGAGTTCTGGCATGCACATGGAAACTTTGTTGAAGAGTGCAGATGATATGACTCCGAGGGGGGGGGAGAGCGGAAGAAAAAGCAGCAGGAAATGAGATCTGAGGAATAGCTGAATAAGATGAAAGAGGGGAAAGAGAGAGGAACGAAGGAGTACAAGTGTAAGGCAGGGTGAAAAAGGGAGATGCGAGAAGGAGTCGAAGGAGAGAGGACCAAAAGGGAAGAAGTTTATGACTGGATGATAAGAAGAGGATACAATGGGCTAGTTGGCAGAGGGAGGGAAAGGCCAAGGCTTCGCGGAGATGGAACAGAATGCGTGGCAGATGTAGAGTTTGGGGTATTGACGAGAGCAAGTAGCAACAGAGAAGAGAGGGACTTACACTTGCAGCAAATAATCAGAAGAATAGAATGTCAAACGCAGCCAAGGACTACTTCCACCAAGCAGAGAAGAAAAAGAGGCCGCTAGTGCGATGCACCTTGCCCGTTTTTTTGTGTTTTCTCTCACCAGGAAATTTCCCGCGGGTTTTCCCTCGAATGTCGATGGCGATGGTTGTCAACCCACTAGAGTTGAGGGACAAATGCAAAGTGGTTAACGGCTAAGCAAGGGATCCAATGGATTGAAGGAGGAAGGCAGGCAAGACTGGTGTCAGAGTGGTGCCTGTTGAGAAGCGCGCGCAAAAGAGATAGTCTAGCGGGCAGCGATCCTAATGGAAGGTTTGCATGAAAGTTTAATCCAAGGGGGAAAGTAAAAGAAAAAGAAAAGGAAGAGGGAAAATAGAGTAAAAAGGAAAAGAAAAAGAAAAAGGAACAAAAATAATAAATTTAAGACAAGCAAGAGAGAAAGAGGGAGAGAGAGAGGGAGAGATACTAGTCAGAAGAGCGAGCGAAGGCGAGAGCAAGATTGGAATCACTGGTCAAAGTAATTAAACCAGATCGAATGGGACAGCTCTAGACAACCACTAGAGAGGTACGCTAGCAGCTAATAAAACTAGTCAATAGATAGTAAGTAGTGACTTTACGGTCAGTTGGACCTTGGAAACAAACAAGTCCATGGATAAAGTCTGGGACCTGCAACAGCACTAGTGAGCTCCAGTGTCAGATGTAGTAATAATTGACAATAATGCCCATAGTACGATGTAGTACAGACTGCACAACTTGTCTGGTTCATTGCCCGTTTCTGCAACCTGAATGGAATTCCGACTTGTGGGATGGCCGATTGAGATCCATCTCTTCTCTGTTAGTTTTCTTTTCTGTTCTTTTCTTTCTGTTTATTGTTTTACTTCTCTTTTCTATCATGCTTCCACAATCTCTCTTTTCTTTTCTTTTCTTTTCTTTTATTTATTTGTTCATTTATTTAGTCACTCTGAAATTAATTGGTATCTTGCTTGAAATAGATAGATCGATCTCAGATGAGGAGTAGTACCAAAAGTAAGTGGTGGTCTTCGCGCCATCCCTGAAAATGATCCATGGGCATCATTGTAATTACTCACTCACTTCCTCACTGACTTATTAATATTATTATTATTCTGTGCCAAAATCCTTCAGTCCCCCGAAAATCATGTCTCTGTGTTGTACACTAGCCTGCCCCTCCGATAGAAATCCACTACTGTCACACTAGTGACAAACACAAACCAACCCAGTAATCTATATTAAATTCTATTATTTATCGGATCCCCCCCGGTCCATCTGGGATCTGAGATGTGTACTTTTTAGTTGTCTGCCGGAGCAGAAGCAAAAATGTTCTGTTTAGACCAGGGTCGATATGTACCTTGACCATAAAGGTAATGCGCCAACATATTAACTTTGACATGATCTCAACAATCCATAAAGAAACCTGGACGATGGCATATACTGTAGAAGTTTTTTCCCCATTTACTAGGGAATTATCGAGTTAAATGTACCAAAAACATTCTGTGGCCTTTTCGTGTCATCAGTCCAAGAAACAGTTCGTAAATTTTTTTTTCTCATCCCCTTTAGTTTCCCTTTGTTCACTTCCAGTTTTGTCTGGAGTTGGTAATGTTTATTTTTAGCTACTAAAGGGAGTGACCAATGAGGACCGGCTGATCTACTACTTGTTTGTAACACAATTAAATGAGAAGGAAAGTAGAAGATCATGGAAGATCGGGGGTTTTGTGCTCATGGCCAGAGTGGATTACAAGGGTATTACAGCGTGTCAAGGTTATCAATTTCTTTTCGCACTGAAGATGCCGAAGTTCCCCAACCAGCTACGTAGACAGGGGGGAAGTTAATTGGAAAAGAGCAATGAGAATGGTGGGAAAAAAGAAAAAGGTCCCCGCCCTGAATACGGGAGAAAATGAAGACGAAAGGAGGACACGGGTTGGGAAAGGGCAAAGATTGGTTCGCTGGGTTGAGTGTTCCAAGGGGCAAATGTGAAGGAAAGTGGGAAGATACCCGCCTTTCCAGTGGAAAAAGACACACACACACTACTGTGGATTCCTGTGGGATTGGATCCATGAGGGCCAGCCAGGGCAGTTCAGTCCTTCATCCACACCCACTACACAATAGTAACAACTACTAATAAATAATGATAATAATTATAACAACAATAAATAATCAACCGAGCGGGGCATCCCTCTCATCCTCCCTCCCACCCACAAACACTTGACTGGATCATTCCTGGAACAGGTACGTTATTAGTCAACACGGTGATCGACAAATGATGGAAGGGGAGATTTTTCGCAGCCAGACGCAATTAATCCAGTCTAAATAAATAGACTCGTTCCAAGTGGTTCTCAAATTAGGCTGGACGTGAGGAGTGCCCGTTTGGTCCAAGTCAGGGCAGAAAAATGGGGCGTTCCAGCAAGAGAGATCCAGGCTTTTGAGCCTTTTGGTACCAGCCGAAACAAAGCAGAAAATAACAGCTCTCATCAGAGGATGTTTTGCCAGAATCATCTGTGACACAGATTGATTCATTAGTCACAAGTTATCCTGGAGACGAGGAATGACTCCGTATGAATCCACCTCATGGTCTGTCAGATTGGCGAGCGTTGTTACCAGCCATGTCAGACCACAACTGCCAGGATCGTCATCTTCTTCTTCATTGACCAAAGAACTGCAAAGGATTTACTTACTTGCGTTCTAACCCCCCCCTTCGTCTCGTCCACTTACCCTCCATTCAGTCCACTTGCCAACCTCCATAATAATTTATTTCTTGCGCCCACCCTACTGTGTAGAAGAATGAGAGATTCCTTGGCCAGAGCTCCTCACTGCATGTGTGTACATCGATGATTTGTTCCTTCAGCTGCAACGCTCCTGCAAGTCTCCCAGCGGCGATTGGTTGCAGCTGGGGCTTACTGCCGATAAGAACCAAAGTACGTCCTGCACTTTCTCCCCATGCCTACTACTAGTACTTACTCCTATAACTATTAAGTACCCAGTAAGTAATTAAGTAGTAAGTTGTACCGACCTCATCGCTGTCAATCTGATTCGACCATCCGTCGATGTGGTGTGTTGATTGGGGGCTCGATCGCACATCCTGATAGGGAGAGACAACAAACCAGTTTCTTAAACTCTTAACAACCCCTACTATAGTCCCCTTACCCCATACTACTGTGTGTGTTCAGAACTTGTGATGTTCTGGCCTGCCGTCACCATTGAACTATATTAGATCAATATGATGATAAGTCCAAAGGCTTTTTTCTCTGTCCATCCTGCATATCACTAGCTCCACTTCTGGAACGCTGCTTCCTGCTCCCCGGTTGTTTCGTCGTCCCTTAATGGATGGATGAGTAGGCCCCTAAGCACACCATCTCTCTATGTCTCTTTGCTCACATTCCAGTCAGAAGGAAGGAAAAATGAATATTATGTTTTTTTTTTCTTTTTCTTTTTCCTGCTCATGGACTCTGGAAGTCACTTCCGCCCCTCTCTCCCCTCTTTTGCTTTCTCTCTGTCTCTCTCTCTCGCCCTTGTGAAATCTGTGCGTGCTAGAAGCTTCGATTAGCGAAAGGATCGTCAGAACAAGGAAAAATAACTGAACCCAGAACATGTCCTCTCAAGGCATCGGAATCTTTGCGGGACTCGTGGCAGGTTTTCATTCCTCGTTCGATCTATCCACCCTTTTCTCTTACTCTTTCCTTTCTCTCTGTAAAAGCCAATGCAAGGTTCATCACTGTATCACTCCTGGCGAGAATCCATCTAACCCTTTCGTTGCAAAGCAGTAGCAGAAATACCAAATACTTTCAACAATTCTCCTAGAAGATGGAGATCTATCAAAACACTTACAAGAATGTATACCAAACAAGAACAATAATAACAAGTACAGAATAGATAGTAGTCAATCCCAAACAAAGATGCACTACGTATGCTTCACACCACACCTTCAACCTGATTCACAGCAGCCACTTATTACTGCCAATTAATTAATTAATCACATCATCTAGTAATGACCTCCCTCCCTCCTTCCCTCCATCCGTTCATCCCTCCTTCCCTCCCTCCTGCGATCATCATCACATCACAACACAACAAATGACCGAATGAACGAACAGCTGGCAAGCCAAAGCCAAATCCTCTACTTACAGACTACTACTTATTCAAATCCATCTAGTAACTATACACCATCTACAAACAACCAAAGTACCTCCTGTTCCAGATAAATGTTCTCCAAGAACCACTCCATCCAGCCACTACTTACTATCTAGTATTAATCCACTCCTAGACTGGCCAGCCTGGCAACGAGGCTATCGACAAAGTATCTCTCTAACCACAACAACTCAGTACTAAATTCCACTATGTACCAAACACAACGCTAACGATAACTAACCCAATTCCTGGAACACCTGTTTAAATCAACCGTGGTTTCTAGTTAGACTGGTGGGCGAGCGAGTGGCTTCGAGCACTGGTTGATTGGATTACCATTACATGCGGTCTGGGGACGAATGAATATCCACACAGAACAGAATAGTTGACTAGTCAGTCAGTCCACTAGATAACTAACTAATTAGTTAGTTAATGAGTCCCAGAGTGTGCCTGCCAGGTTCAGTCAATCTAGTCTACTATCTAGCTAGTCTAAACAGTCAGACTTGTTTTGTGTGTACGCGGCGTCTTTTTGCCCTGTCTGGCCCACTCTTGCCTGGTTTTTCGGGCCGATTACAGAATGCTGGCTGGCTGGCTTGGTGGTAGTGCCGACCCGGTCTTGCTTACTCTCACTAGTCATAGGAACTAAACTACTTTGTGGTAGACTAGCTAGCTGGCAGCTGGGTGAACTCGGTAGTTGTTTCACAGAAGGAATTTGGCTACGTATGTGTCTACGTATGTTTTCTCTGGTCTTTGTATACAGCCAAGTCTACACATGTATCAGGTCCAGCAATAGTTTTGAATCGAGAGGAGAATTTCATATTCTATTGTCACAGATTCCAGCCCACCACATCCTTTTTTTCGTGGTCTCCCAGCCGTAATGTCATTAAGTTACAAAGTGTAAACTCCATGCATCCGTTCCAACGGATGGCCCTCCTGTCAAAGAAGTGCAAACGCTCACCCGGCCCAAAAAAGGTATGAAGAGGGGATTGGAGAAAAGAGAAATCAGAATACAGAAGGGAAAAGGAAATGAACATGAAAGGAGTAAATAAAAACACCAATACACCGGAACAGGGATAGATCAGTCAGAGCTATCAGGTATGTATACATATCATGCGTGTTAAAACATCGGAGAGAAAAAAGAGGAAAGGCTCTAGGGAATAACGCAAAGGTGAAATACAGGTAACACCCATGGCTTGTTCAAGTCATGGGAGGTTCAGTGGTTGTACATTTAGGCCTTGTTCTCGCCCTCGCCGCTCTGCTGCTGCTGCTGCTGCTCGGACTGAGCCTTGTGCATCTTGTCAAAGAGGGTCAAGCTGGCGTTCTGGAGCTCGTCGGTCTTCTGCTTGAACTCCTCAGCAGTGGCAGTGCCCTCACCGGACTGGTTCTGGGCAATGAACTCGCGGAGAGTAGCGATCTTCTCGCGGATCTGGTCAGCCTCGGCCTTGTCAAGGCGGTCCTCGAACTCCTTGAGAGCCTTCTCAGTGTCGTTCACGACGCTGTCGGCGCGGTTGGCAGCCTCGATAGCAGCCTTGCGCTCCTTGTCCTGAGCACCGTACTTCTCGGCATCCTCAACCATGGACTGGATCTCGGAGTCGGAAAGACCGGAGCCAGAGGCGATGGTGATGGACTGGTCCTTGCCGGTGGACTTGTCCTTAGCGGCAACGTGGACGATGGAGTCGGCATCAATGTCGAAGGTGACCTCGACCTGGGGAACACCACGGTGGGCAGGAGGGATACCAACAAGCTGGAAGTTTCCGAGGAGCTTGTTGTCCTTGACAAGCTCACGCTCACCCTGGAAGACCTTGATCTCGACAGCGGTCTGGAAATCAGCGGCGGTGGAGAAGGTCTGGGACTTCTTGGTGGGGATGGTGGTGTTGCGGTTGATCAGGCGAGTGAAGACACCACCAAGGGTCTCGATACCGAGAGAGAGGGGAGTGACATCGAGCAGAAGGACGTCAGTGACCTCACCAGCAAGGACAGCACCCTGGATGGCAGCACCGATGGCGACAGCCTCATCGGGGTTGACGGACTTGGCGGGCTCACGGCCGAACATGGACTTGACGGACTCGGTGACCTTGGGCATACGGGTCATACCACCGACCAGGATGATGTCCTGGATGTCACCGGACTGGAGGTTGGCATCCTTGAGGGCCTTGCGGACGGGCTCAACGGTGCGGCTGATGAGAGGGTCAACCAGGGACTCGAGGCTGGCACGGGTCATCTTGTGGTTGATGTGCTTGGCACCGCTGGCATCAGCAGTGATGAAAGGAAGGTTGATCTCAGTCTGGAGAGAAGAAGACAGCTCAATCTTGGCCTTCTCAGCAGCCTCACGGATACGCTGGATAGCCATGCGGTCGCCGGAGAGGTCCAGGCCGGACTCCTTCTTGAACTGCTGGACAATCTGGCGGACAAGGGCAATATCGAAGTCCTCACCACCAAGGTGGGTGTCACCGTTGGTAGACTTGACCTCGAAAACACCCTTCTGGATCTCCAGAACGGAGATATCGAAAGTACCACCACCAAGATCGTAGACGGCGACAACACGGTCGGCCTCCTTCTCAAGACCGTAGGCAAGAGCGGCGGCAGTAGGCTCGTTAACGACACGGAGAACGTTCAGACCAGCGATCTGACCGGCGTCCTTGGTGGCCTGACGCTGGGAGTCGTTGAAGTAGGCGGGAACAGTGACAACAGCGTTCTTAACGGGCTTGCTGAGGTAGTTCTCGGCAGTCTCCTTCATCTTGTTGAGGACGAAACCACCAATCTGGGAAGGAGAGTACTTCTGGCCACGAGCCTCAACCCAGGCATCGCCGTTGGTGTGCTGGACGATCTTGTAGGGAACCTCCTTGATGTCACGCTGGACCTCGGCGTCGGTGAACTTGCGACCGATGAGACGCTTGGTGGCGAAGAGAGTGTTCTCGGGGTTGACAACGGCCTGACGCTTGGCGGCAATACCGACCAGACGCTCACCGTCCTGGGCGAAAGCAACAACGGAAGGAGTGGTTCTGGCACCTATTTACATCCAAGTTAGCCACTTTTTCTTCGATCTGCATGATACCAGCGAGATTCCACTGATGGCTCCGATTTCGGAGGCATGACGGAACTGGCGCGACGGGAGGGAAAAAATTTTTCGCGTACCTTCGGTGTTCTCAATGATCTTGGGGGTCTTGCCCTCCATGACGGCGACGGCGGAGTTGGTGGTACCTGTGTGCTTGTATTAGATACTGTATGGATTACATCACGAACACAAGGATTCTCAACCTACCCAAGTCAATACCGATGACCTGGCCCTTCACCTTCTCCTCACCACCCTCGGTGGAGTTCCATCTGCGAACGGCAGCACCGGGGACTCTGAAAGCAGGGGCGCGAGCGAAAGGAGTGGTGCGCGGGAGCTGAATCACAGAACGTGATGTTAGAAACAACACTCCAGCATTGACAATGATGATGAGCAGAACTTACCGCGCGGGTGAGACGAGAGGACAACATTGTGAGGTGTGATTAGAAGAACAAAATAATACAACTAATTAAAAAGGGAAAATATAGAAATGGGCCAGTCGATTCAATCGAAGGGCCGGAGGATATAGGAGGGAGGGTATAAGATGGAGACAGGAGGGAGGAGGAGAGTTGAAGGAGAACAAGAATTTTTCAGCTCTTTCTGGGGAGGAAGAAACTTGAAAAGAAGGGAGGACGCCGGCTGCCAGGACTAGTAAAAATCGTCCCGGAGAGCTTCGGCCCGTCGTCGAACTTGGTAGAATCACGGCAACACAGCGTACCATCCAATCGCAGCCCAGCGATCCTTTTGACCGCTCAAGCTGAGTTGCCGAGCCACTGCCCCGGCCGGTCTTCTTCTTCCACTGCAGCTCGCAGAAGCTACCAGTGCCCTCTACTCATTGCCACTGTGGCTTGAATACTTTTCCATCAGTTTTTCTTCTTGTTACTTGCATCCCCGAGCTGCTCAAGTATTAGTATATGTCGATTTCAATCACTCTGGATGCGATTTCACGTTAGTAGCATTGCAGAGATAAGCTTTTGCTATATAGCTATTTGTACATACGTCCAACGTTACTTGTAGCAACGCTCTGTAGAGATTTGACAGTGTCGATATCTCTTGAAATTAGTCTGCGATTATTGATTCTAAGCCATACACTATCTTGATAGCACCTCGATACCAAGGTAATATCATGTTGATTCAGCAAGTATTAGTATACTAGTTGGTCAATACTAGTAGTTGTTGTCAGTATTGTTTCTCTCGTAGATGCCTCGGCACCTTTACACCGGCCAGCTATGTGGTGGATTTATATCTTCCAGTCTTGTGTTAGTATGTCCGCGACTACACTTTCTGCATCTTCTACTACCCCTATTGTCCGAGTCAAAGCTGCAATGTACGATCAGAAAAGCTCTGAAATGTTTAACCTATACTATTGGCCAATTTGTCGAAGAAAAAAATAAGGCCAGGATAGACTTTCATCGGACATGGGCATGTCATGAGTCATCATCGCCAAGCAGAATGTGATCCGTAGCTTTAATCCGAAAAAACTATCATCCAAACTAAGTACTACATGTATTGCTGCCATCTTCAACAGTCACTATTGCATTCGACGTCATGAAGAAACCATGAAATAGAAATATATACGGGCAATTGCTGGCTGGTCCGAGTTCAAAACCATGGATGGTAGACAGTGGTTGTGTCGAAACACTGCTTCCCGTTAAGCTGTTGAACCTAGACGGGAAATCCTCACGAGACCTCGGTCTACTTAGTAGGCGTACTGCAGATAATTGAAACAATACTGGGGGTTTTTGAAAAGCATGCTGCGTGCAGGCGAAAGCGATTGTATGATCCTACAGGAACCGAATATTACCCGGATACACAAAGTAACGACTTGAGGATCTTCCTTACCGTCTAAAGAGAAGAATGTAAGGCGGGCTGGAAGCGGTGGACTCGAATTGACTCGACCGCATTCGCCGCTGGAGGTTCCCCGGATTGGGTCCGACTAAGTCTTACGTCATCCGTTCGCACCCTCCGAAATCGTCCAAAGGCAGTGAAGGGCGGATCAGTTGAGAGGGAAAGCGACGTGGGAGCAGAGCAGAGCAGACAGAGAGAGGCAGAGGAGGTATCTGGTGCTGGTGGTGTGCTCTCTACTTTACACTACTTTACTCGAACAAGCTCTAGCTTTCAACTTCCACTCTCAGGCTAGACCCTGTTGTCAATACCCTGCGACACCGGCCTCCTTTTCAGCTGTTTCCCTTCCCATTACTTCTTTTCTTTTTCGCCGTCGCTACTACTCGCCATCGACTCTTCTGTTCCCTCTGCGTTGTCCGTCCTTTTTGTCCGCAACATCGGAGCTCCGCCATAGCTGTACTTCCGACCATGTCACCTTAAAATATAATATCGACGTTCTTTCACAATGACTACGGATTCGCTCGCGTCAGTCTCCTGCTTCCCTTCCCACTCAGGTGATCCAACTGGCCGATTGCTAATGTCGTAACGATCTGCAGGCATCATCCGACGGAGTCTCTTATCCTTCCCAACAAGCGCCGCTTCTTCCCCTTCAAAATTCCCAACTTGTCTGTACATTGAGCTCGCAGAAAAGCAGACTGATCAGTGCTAATCATGAGACAGTCATCAACAACTTCGCAACTACATTAGCACCGCGGACCCGGACAGGATCTACGTTGTCGTCGAGCGAGTCATCTACTCGATTCACATTTCATCACAAAAGCGGGAGACCATTGCCGTTATTCCGTTTGAGCCAAAATGTCTTGCTGCTGGTTACGGCTGGATTGGGGTGGGGGGCGCCGATAATGGAGAATGCGCATTTGTTGGGCTATCGTCCGATCGGAGTCCGCGCGCCCGTGCCGATACACCGGCTTTCCAGCCGTCGGACGTGGACAGTGCTTTGCCAATCGATCTTGACCCTCCTGCGAGGATATCGCCGCCTTGGATGCCTGGCGACGAACCTGGACCGGCTCGCCATGGCAATAGAAGGCAGGTTCCAGAGGTGCAATTGCACAAGTTCGGAGGCAGTATCGTCAACTCAGTGACGATCCACCGTCTGCCTGGGGATGGAAAGGAGTTAGCGGAGGAAGATATAGCCATTCTGAGGTATGGGCATGGCAATTTTCCGAATCACCTGAGATGCTGATTGCTTTTGCAGTAACAACGATAAGACTGTTACCGTTTACTCCCTGGCCCGGTCGAAAGTCCTCAAGGTGCTTCATCATCCGGCGTGCATGAACTATGCGATCATGTCACCAGATTCAACTATCCTTGCTGCGGTTGGTGATGAGACTCGTGCATATTTCTATGATTTTACCCGCGACCTTGATGCTGTGACTGTAACGGATGAGGGTGACAAAGTTTGTGGGTGGAACTGGGACCTTCTTCGTTGTATAGAAATGGACATAGGCACACGCTTTGACGATGGATGCTGTTTCACTGTCGCTTTTTCTCAATTCAGTCGATTATGCGCGATCGGTTCGCAATCTGGAGTCATCACCATCTTTGATGTGGGGACCATCCGCGATATTATACGCCAGCCTCAGGGCCAGAATGCGATCATCTGTCGCTTCAACTCATCCAGAGCTTGTTGCAATGGAGGCGCTGTACGATGTATGGCGTTTGCACCTGAGCCCTGGGATCTTCTGGTATGGCTCGAAGACAAGGGGCGAGCTGGGATTGCCGATGTTCGTCGCGGTTTCGTTCGCAGGCAGATACTGGAATTGGATATGAACGAGCCCGAGTTGCAGGAAGTCCGTACGGAGCCATTGCTAGATGATTTATTATTCGAACTCGATGGTCGAGCCTCCCCAGACACACGGCATGAACTCGACGCAACACAGCGAGCGATTGACTCGTTAGAGGGAGCACTCCATAACCAAGGCGCGACGGGTTCCGGCAACTCGCCACTAAGTGAGAGCCTGGTACAGGACCTCACAGAAAGAGAGAGGCTGATTGTTGAATTTTTGAATACAGCGCGATGGACGTCGAGGATGGAAGACGGGTTAGCGGAGCGGCGAGCTAGAGCTAATGCTCATCCTCACCCTCCAGTGCGCCCCCGGTTCCACGGTCCCACAGATGAGGCCACTCGAGCCTCCGGTCCTACTTCGCCTCCACCACGCAGTCATCCAAGCCGAGAGTTGTACCAGGAAGACTCGCAATCGGGAACTGGTGATCGTAGTCAGCATGCGAGACGCCGGGGCTCTGTCCTACTGACCCCTAGCCAGAATGAAGCCAGCAGTAGAACACCCGAAATAGGACTGGCAAACCCCGATCCGCAGCCTAGTATTACACTCAGCTGGACCGCTTCGCCCTCAGAGATCTACCCTAATCGATCAGACACCCCTGCGCATGCTACAGATTCAAGCTCCAGTGAGCTTAACAGTTCTGGTAACGAGCATGGCTCCGCGGCTCGGCTTCATGGCACAATGAACCGTCCGTCCGCCAATTTTGATTATTCTAATACCACAGCAGACTTGTTGCCCCCGCCAAGAAACCACCAACGATCCCGTTCAGGCCACAGACGGCTAGAGAGTCAGGATGGCACGCCCGAGGTCCTGCAAGACACACCGCGGCTCTCGGGCACCGAATTGAGAGCCAGCGTGGCTGTGGAACGCCTTCGACGGCAACAGCGACAGAACGCCATGTTACCGCACAGCCGGCAAAGTCACCTGCGGTATCGGCAAACCCAGTGGGATTTCGAACAAGCTCGTTCCCCTCGATGGATTCGTAACGTGCTGAATGAACTTCCTGATCGTAGTCTGGGCATTGGTCGAGACCAGGAACCGGGTAGCACAGCTGGTATTGGTTGGGGTGCAGATGGCCGAACATTGTAGGTGCCATGTCTTGAACTGATTCGAGGGTACACTTCAACTGACTGATTAGATACGTCGCCACTGTGGACGGAATCTTCGAATTCCAGGTCAATGTAACGGACAGGAAGACCTTCCCTGTCATCACCTATCGTTAACAAGTAATTCATGAGCCCTGTCACGGGTAAAGTTCTGGGATAGTTGCTGAGCACGACATTTGCCTCAAGGTTGAGCGGCTCGTCCAACATCCCCATGACTCTTATTATTATTTACTATATTCTATTTGGATTTTGTGATGTGTTTTAGTTCGCGCGGGTATATGAGAGGGCGCAGGGTCTGACGGATAATTGGCATTCAGCATACAAGATTGAACGATTGGGGATAGAACACCATCTTTTGATGTTGAGGGGGAAATCGGGAATGTCCACCACGATGGATCCCTGGTTATTCCCTGGCACCCCTTTTCCAGCACGGGTATTTGCGCGTTTGTTTCGGGAGCATTCCGATTGTAACATTGGGTTCAAATCATCGTTTCGCATTTGCTTTTGGCGTTCTGGCGACTGTATATGATGAATGACTTTTTGTACAAGGACCACGCTACCTTGTATTGTTATTAGTAGGGCACATGAACAGGAATAAAAAGTTGTGATATTCTGTGCCGACTGGCTGAGTTGCCTTTTCCATTCATCACTTTGGGGAAGCAGAAACTGTGCAATAATACCACAACCCCTGGAGGAAAATCTGTGGGGAAGAAGCAAAGTCGATGAGATTTTCCGATTCCCCTCTGATTTTCTCCCAAATCGCTTTAGTTCATTCGGATGTGAATTAACATTATTCATCCCACCGGTAGGCGGAAGCTGCAGTCCCCACACGACGTCAGAGTCAGAGCTGGTTGGTTCTGGCGCCAGCCAACTTCCCGCCGCCAAACACATCGAATAACCACCGGTGCTAGCTACTCTTTCCATCCCCAAAGCTACTGTGATAGGGTCCATTGTCAATTACTACTCCTGTGAATACTGGACTTTCCCTGCAGGCTTTCCATGGGGCTTATTGAACTTGGCTTCCTGCTTTGATAAGATCTTCCGCCCTTCACGCTACCTGGTGGGGTTCTCTGTTAGATCTCTGCTCAGACGTGTCGTGCGATGCTGAAGTAGATCGCGTACCATCAGAACCCTCCTAACACCATTGGCGAGAAGTTTTAGAAAATGGCAGAGACGCTGACATCGGCGCTGGCAGAGTTAAGCCTAAACTCGCAGAACCTTAGCGGACCGGCTTTTGACGCAAGGCTGGTCGAAGAAGAGGATGGTGTCTACAAGGACTTCAAACCTCGGCAAAAGGCCCGGCAGGATGCTGCTGACCTTAAGCAGGAGCTGGAGCAGGAGTTTTTGACCCCTTCATCCACGTTTAGTCCTGAATGGCTGAACCGTTTGCAAAGGTTCGATACCCCACATTCGTTCGCAGCCTCATCTGTTTATACTGACATGGCGCAGGAAATGGGATGTCCCGACGGATTACACTGACCTATTCGAGGTCGCTGGTACGCAAACACGTACTATCGTCCGGTTTGATCGGGACGGCCTGGAAGGACGTGTTACTGGCTACCACGAAGTAACCGTTCCCGCCACTAGTGCAAATGCCAAAAATTCAACGTCCCTGCTTCGCCGGCCAGCTGGCCGTGCGGACTTTGTTAGAGGCGCCGCTGGCTTCTTTCCATTCGCTCCGGGTGGGCTGGACGGTGTCGAAGCAATTGCTGAGATGGAATCCGAAGCCCAGACGCCAGAGCACTCTAGAGCCAGCGGCAAGCAATCGGGCCTCGATCGGATCATTAACTTTGGTGCTGAAGGTGGTCTATTAGAGATTGCCCCTGGCTTCTCCCGGGGATTGAAGTTTGAGGAAGCAAAGACTAAAGAGGCCGCAGAAGGGGACGAAGAAGTGGAGCACGCGCTTCAGCAGGAAGAGACCGATCTACATGTTGAGCAAGAGGAGACAGCGTCAGATGCCGGAGGTGTCAAGATCGATGATGAGGCGGAGCTCAGCGATGAGGAAGATATTGACTCTTTGCTGCCTGTCGAATTCCCAGCGCTGGAGCCCCACGCGCCGCTGCTCGCAGGCATGCAGCAACGGAAAGCCGGTAAAGAGTGGGCTCATGTCGTCGATGTCAACAAAGAAATCCCGAACTTCCGCGATCTGGTTCCCGACATGGCTCGGGAGTGGCCGTTTGAACTGGACACTTTCCAAAAGGAGGCTGTTTATCATCTTGAATGTGGCGACTCCGTATTCGTTGCTGCTCATACGTCAGCTGGTAAAACTGTCGTCGCCGAATATGCCATTTCTCTAGCCGCGAAGCATATGACGAAGGCCATTTATACGTCACCCATCAAGGCATTGAGTAACCAGAAGTTTAGAGATTTTAGAACCGAGTTCGATGATGTTGGCATCTTGACCGGTGATGTCCAGATTAACCCAGAAGCAAGCTGCCTTATCATGACGACCGAAATCTTACGAAGCATGCTATACAGAGGCGCCGATTTAATTAGAGACGTGGAGTTTGTGATTTTCGATGAAGTGCATTATGTTAACGACCTTGAAAGAGGTGTTGTTTGGGAAGAGGTCATCATTATGCTTCCCGAACATGTTACTCTGATCCTCCTGTCTGCTACCGTTCCTAACACTTATGAATTTGCATCCTGGGTTGGTCGCACAAAGAAGAAGGACATCTACGTTATCTCAACCGCGAAGAGACCTGTTCCCCTCGAGCATTATCTCTGGGCCGGCAAAGGGAAGTACAAGATCGTCGATTCCAACAAGCGATTCCTTGAGAACGGCTGGAAAGAAGCCGATGAGATCATCTCCGGAAGAGACAAAGTCAAGGCCCAGAAAGCGGCCGAGGCTCAAGCTCAATCTCAAGCGAGCAGAGGAGGTGCTCCCCAGGGACGAGGACGTGGACAAGCCGGTGGAAGAGGTGGTGCTCGCGGCAATGGACAACGTGGAGGAGCCCCTCGTGGCCGGGGGCAGCCTGCAAATAGAGGCACTGGAAACATTGCCCGTACAGGAAGAGGTGGTGGACGGACCACAGCCGCGCAGGACAAGACCGTTTGGGTGCAGCTCGTTGGGCACCTTCGCAAAGAGAATCTGCTGCCTGGTTGTATCTTTGTCTTCTCCAAAAAGCGCTGTGAACAGAATGCCGACTCGCTGTCCAACCAAGACTTTTCCACTGCTTCCGAGAAGAGCTTGATTCATATGTTCATCGAAAAGTCCCTCACAAGACTTAAACCAGAGGATCGGACCCTTCCACAAATTCTTCGTCTTCGCGAATTGTTGAGCCGAGGAATCGCTGTTCACCATGGTGGTCTTCTGCCGATCATGAAAGAGATTGTCGAGATTCTGTTCGCTAAATCGTTGGTTAAGGTCCTTTTCGCTACCGAGACATTTGCGATGGGGCTCAACCTGCCAACCCGAACGGTTGTGTTCTCCGGATTCCGCAAGCATGATGGCAAAGGCTTCCGAGATTTGCTACCTGGAGAGTACACTCAAATGGCTGGACGTGCTGGACGTAGAGGACTTGACAATGTGGGATACGTCATTATCGTCAATGCAGGTCGAGATAAAGCTCCTCCAGCCGGCGCTTTGAGAAAGATGATCCTTGGTGATCCGACCAAACTGCGGTCTCAGTTCAGGCTTACATACAACATGATCTTGAACCTCTTGCGTGTGGAGGCCCTTAAGATTGAAGAAATGATCAAGCGAAGTTTCAGTGAGAATGCTACCCAGGCTTTGCTCCCGGAGCACGAAAAGCAGGTGCAGCTTTCGGAGGCCAGCTTGGCGAAAATCAAACGAGAGCCTTGTGACATATGTGACATTGACCTTGCGGCATGCCATGCCGCAGCTATTGAATATGAGAAACTCACAAGTGAGCTCCACGTGGGACTAGTTTCATCCCCCGTTGGCAAACGCCTCTTTGTGCCGAAGCGATTAATTGTGTACAGAAAGGTAGACATGCCCCCATCACCCATGATCAATCCCATCTAACTGTCCTACAGGAGGGTTTCCGAACCGCAGGTGTCATTGTTCGCGAAGGTGTTAGCGGAGGTCAGACACCTAGCATTCAAGTCCTCGAGATCGGAAGACTCGGACACAAGCGCCATCCTAGCGATATTCTTCCCTTCCTCCCGATGTTCAAGCATTTGTTACAGACTTTGCCTACCCGTGCTGCCGATATGGCACTAAAATCGTACAAGGTGCCCCTGTTGGACCTTGAGTGCGTCACAAATACGCTAGTTAAGCTTGGTGGTCCCACATGGTACCTCAACATCAAGAAGGGTGAGTTCTGTAGATGCCTTGTGGTGGATGGTGTTGCTAATGTCGTGGACAGAGGCGAGCAAATTCGCAGATAAGGAGCTCACCAAGCACTGCGCTTCGTGGACGAGTCCAGTCTGGGATGAAATAGACTGGGCTCGAATCAAGGAATTACAGGTCAGGGATATTTTAGAGAAGCGGCAACAGCAGGCCTCCATTGCGCAAGGGTGCAAGTGTTTGCAGTGTCCCAGCTTCCTGAAACATGTAAGTGATCTCGTTATCCCAAATCACGCCCGACACTGATGCTTACATCCGACAGTTCGAAATGCAACACGACGAATGGCAGGTTAAAGAGAATATTTCTCAATTAAAACAGCTCATGTCTGATCAGAACCTTGCTCTGCTGCCTGATTATGAGCAGCGTATCCAGGTGCTGAAGGAGCTGGGCTTCGTGGACGAGCAGTCTCGCGTGCAGCTGAAAGGAAAGGTAGCATGTGAGGTAAGTTTCTCAGTTCTCCTAGTTCCATTCCACCGCTAAATACCGAACAGATTCACTCCGCCGATGAGCTTGTTCTGACCGAGTTGATCCTCGAGAACGTTCTGGCTGAATATGAGCCCGAGGAGATCGTTGCACTGCTATCCGCCTTTGTCTTCCAAGAGAAGACAGAAAACGTTCCCACATTGACTCCTCGTCTTGAGAAAGGCAAGGAAGCCATTGTGAGGATCTCCGACCGCGTGAATGATTTCCAGATTCAGCACCAGGTAATCCAAACCAGCGAAGATAGTAACGATTTCGCTAGTCAGCCACGGTTTGGTCTGGCCGAGGTTGTCTACGAATGGGCGAAGGGAATGTCGTTCAACCGCATCACCGACCTTACTGATGTGATGGAAGGCACTATTGTACGGACCATTACTCGTTTAGATGAGACATGCCGGGAGGTGAAGAATGCGGCCAAGTTGGTGGGTGATCCGACGTTGTATACGAAGATGCAACAGGCACAGGAGCAGATCAAGAGAGATGTGATCTTTGCAGCCTCTTTGTACATGTGAAGTTATTACTAGCAGTAGTGGGCAGCAGGGCAACTGGTCAGTGCTGGAGGGGTGGTTGTTTTTTTGGGGGTGAAGAGGGGAAACCACGTGGGGAATTACTCTTTTCCTTTCTTTTCCCATTAAATACTATCTATACTCTTTATTTTGCCTTTTGTTTTGATTGTTTCCAGTGCGTTTCATTAGTTCCCCTTCTCCTTGCCTCAGACGGCTAGAAGAAGCACACATATAAAGGAACCAAACCCCGGACTCGAATCAATAGACCCTCTTTTGTAAGAATTGAAAGTCGAGCTTGGACCAGGAAAAATTCCGCCTAGATTGCCCCCATTCCCGAGGCCTCAGGCTCAGGAGAAAGCAAAATTCTGTTACCGCGCGTGGCGGCGAGGCCTCTGATTAGCTGCCATAGGCGCGGGGCGGGCCACGCTTATTGGAAAAACCACGACAGAAAACCAAACCCAACAAACCCAAAGGGCACTTTTGCTGTCTCTCTGCACACTACTTTGACTATCAATCCCTCCTCCTCCTTCTCCTCCCCCCCGCTACTTTATCGCCCTCTCTCGCCCCCTCCTCCTCCCCTCACATCTCCCGGCTCACTCACCGCGTAACGGGGTCTTTTTATTCTTCCAGCTTAATCTTTCTTTTTTTTTTATTACCGGGGGCCCTTGCTGGTGCGAGATGGATGTTGCCGCTTTACGAGACCGCATACAGTCTACTCTCGACGTCAATGCGGACAATCGACGCCAAGCTGAATTGGATCTGAAATATGTATGTGTGGGAATAGAGGTTCGGAGTCACTCAGTGTGGCATCATACTTATTTTATATTTCTCTCTAGGCCGAGACGCAACCCGGATTTATAAATGCGCTCTTGGATATTTTGCAGGGGGAACAGAACAATGCCGTTCAACTGTCGGGTAGGTTTTTTTTTTTTTTGTGGTGACCGTCCGGGCGATCACCCACCGCCCTTTCTTTTTTACCTCCGCCCTCATACAACAAAAAGAAAGTAAATGATCTAACCTAACGATGATTTTGTTTAGCCGGTGTTTACCTGAAGAACCGCATTAATCGTGGTTGGTCCCCTGTCGAAGAAAGTCCGTTGCGCACACCGATTCCCGAGGAGGAGAAACCGGGGTTCCGTGAGAGGCTGATTCCCGCCCTGGCATCCACGCCGCCGAATGTTCGGGCTCAACTGGTTCCTCTTCTTCAAAAAATCCTTCAGCATGATTTCCCCGAGCAGTGGCCGGGTTTCCTGGACATCACCCTTCAGCTGCTAGGCACCAACGACGCAAACTCCGTCTACGCCGGTTTGCAGTGCCTGTTGGCCATCTGCCGTGTATACCGATTCAAGGCCGGAGAGAAGAGGGAGGAATTCGACAAGATCGTCGAGCATTCGTTCCCTCAGCTGTTGAGCATCGGTCTGAAGCTCGTTGACGAGGAGAGTCTGGAGGCGGCGGAAATGCTCCGGATCGTGGTCAAATCCTACAAGCATGCTATCTACGTGGGTGAACCAAGAAGAGATGAGAGGTTTCCAATTCGGGTGGCTTACTGAGACTAATGCGATGGTGGTATAGTTCGAACTCTCGCCGCATCTTCAAACACAACAAGCGACGGTGGATTGGTGCACGCTCTTCCTGCGTATCATCGCTAAGGAGCCTCCCGCCAGCGCCATGAACGAGTCGAAGGAGGAGAGAGAGCTCAACCACTGGTGGAAGTGCAAGAAGTGGTCGTACGCGAACCTGAACCGTCTCTTCATCAGGTATGTAATTTGCGCTCGGTGTATGCGTGGGGCATTCATCTGATCACACTTCGCAGGTACGGAAACCCTACGACGATGAGCAAGTCGAGCACTCCCGACTACACCCAGTACGGCAAGGCTTTCATCACCACTTTCGCCCCCGAAATTCTCAAGGGATACCTGCAGGAAATCGACAAGTGGGTGTCCAAGGGACAGTGGCTCAGCAACCCCGCGCTTGCTTACACCATGATTTTCCTCGAGGAGTGTGTCAAGCCGAAGGCTATGTGGGAGCACCTCAAGCCTCACATGGACAACTTGATCGCTCACTTCATCTTCCCCATCCTGTGCCAATCCGATGAGGACATTGAATTGTTCGAGACCGACCCCTCCGAGTACCTTCACCGGAAGTTGAACTTCTACGAGGAAGTCTCGGCCCCCGACGTTGCTGCTACGAACTTCCTGGTGGCCCTCACCAAGAACCGCAAGAAGCAGACCTTCTCCATCCTTACATTCGTCAACAGCGTCGTCAGCAAGTACGAGTCTGCTCCCGATGACCAGAAGCTGCCCAGAGAGAAGGAAGGTGCCCTGCGCATGATTGGTTCTCTGGCTTCTGTCATCCTTGGCAAGAAGAGTCCCATCGCGGACCAGGTGGAATATTTCTTCGTCCGCCATGTTTTCCCCGAGTTCCGCAGTCCCCACGGTTTCCTCAGGGCTCGTGCCTGTGACACTCTGGAGAAGTTCGAAGCTCTTGACTTCCAGGATCCCAACAACCTGATGATCATCTACCGTAACATCCTTGAGTCCATGACGGACTCCGAACTGCCTGTCAGAGTTGAAGCCGCGCTCGCTCTGCAGCCCCTCATTCGCCACGATATCATCAGGACTTCCATGCAGCAGAACATCCCCCAAATCATGCAGCAGCTGCTCAAGCTCGCGAACGAGGTTGACGTGGATGCTCTGGCCAATGTCATGGAGGACTTTGTTGAGGTCTTCTCCGCCGAACTCACTCCGTTCGCTGTGGCACTCAGCGAGCAGCTTCGTGACACCTACATGCGTATCGTCGGCGAGCTCTTGGAGCGCAATGCGGCCAAGGGTGACGAGGATGCGTACGGCGATTTCTTGGATGACAAGAGCATCACCGCTCTGGGTGTCTTGCAAACGATCGGAACCCTGATCCTGACCCTGGAGAGCACGCCCGATGTCCTTCTTCACCTCGAGACGATCCTCATGCCTGTTATCAGCATCACTCTTGAGAACAAGCTCTATGACCTCTACAATGAGGTCTTTGAGATCATTGACAGCTGCACTTTCGCATCCAAGTCCATTTCTCCCACGATGTGGCAGGCCTTTGAGCTCATCCACAAGACCTTTAAGGCTGGCGCTGAGCTGTACCTGGAAGACATGCTTCCCGCCCTGGACAACTATGTTGCCTACGGCTCGCAAACAATGGTTCAGACTCCCGCTTACCTCGCCGCTGTTGTTAGCATGGTTGAGGACATCTTCCAAGATGAGAAGGTCGGCGGTGTCGATCGGATATGCGGTTGCAAACTCGCGGAGACGCTGATGCTGAACCTCCGCGGTGGTATCGATCAATACATCCCCGTGTTCATTGAGCTGGCGATGCGCGTCATCGACGCCGGCGAGGCCCGGACGAAGTCTTACCGCATCCACTTGATGGAGATGGTCATCAACGCCATTTACTACAACCCTGTTCTCAGTCTCCAGGTTCTGGAAGCCAAGGGCTGGACGAATAAGTTCTTCAGCACTTGGTTCTCCAACATCGACAACTTCCGCCGAGTCCACGACAAGAAGCTGTCGATTGCTGCGATCAGCTCTTTGCTGACATTGAATGTCAATGATGTCCCGGCTAGCGTGCAGCAGGGTTGGCCCAGGTTGCTTCAGGGAGTGACCAGACTTTTCCAGACCCTGCCGGCGGCCATCAAGCGTATGTTATCTGAGCCTAGATATGTCAATATGTGTACTGACTTTGCTATAGATCGTGAAGATGCCACCAAGGAGTCTGACTTCACCTTCGACGAGGAAGATGACGAAGGTGATGAGGAGAACGACTGGGATGGCGAGGTCGAGTGGACCGAGCAGGACGAGGCTGAGGCGCTCTTGGAGGGCGATGTCCCCGATGACAGTGCCGCTTACCTCGACTTCCTGAACAAGGAGGTTAGTCAGATTGTATTGACGTTCGGTTGATCACCATTGACGCATTATATAGGCCCAGAAGTTCGGATCTTTTGCCGATGATGACGAAGATGACCTTGATGAGGAGAGCCTGCTGGAGACCCCTCTGGACAAGGTTGAGCCTTACGGCATGTTCAAGCACGTTCTCATGAGTACGTCCATTGTTCGATTATTTGAAGCATGCGGCCACTGACAATGAAATAGGTCTCCAGCAAGAACAACCTCAGCTCTACGAAAACCTTGCGAAGATCCTGAGCCCAGAGGAACAGCAAGTCCTTCAGTCCGTGTTCCACGAGGCTGAAGCCAAGGCTTTGGCGGCGGCCAACGCCGAGGCTGCTGCTGCCCAGACCAACGGGAACTAGAAACGCTACGATGAACCCGGAGGGCTGACGAAACGAGCCAGTCGGTCTCTTCGAGGCAACGAACATCGCAACGAAATCAAAAAAGAGAAAGAGAAAAATGCCATCCCAGGTTGGATGTCTGTTTTGGCAGAGCTTGTGGATCTTCACCATCTGTCGTGGCGACGGCTAGTGTTGTCGAGCGGCCTGCTGGATACGTTATAACGCCATCTATGCCTTTTCTTATTTTCTTTTCCTTTGTCATTTAGAACAATTTCTTTTTTTTCTGTCTCCTGTTCCGTTGACGTTTTTACTAACCCTCTGGTGATGTCCCCGGTTGTTTTCCCAAAAGTTCCTTTTACCCCCCAATGTTCGAGTGCAGTGGTGCTGCAAATCCGAAGAGATCGATTTTCCCCCCCACTTAATCCTGTCAATTGACTTATGGTTATAATGTCGGACAACATGAAGGCTATATCTATGCATCCTGCCAACCTACAACTGAGTATGAATGATCAGTGCTCGCTTGATGGTGGCCGATGGGCAGCGCGTGCTTTTTTTTTTGCAGTAATTTGAGTCCGTGCCTTGCGAGGCTTTTAGAAATGTGTAAATACCTGTGATACTCCTGTGAATGATTGCCATTTGCTTAGCATGAAGCAACAATTGCTCGTCTTATACTTGCGGTTTTACAGCCACGGGCTTTTCAAAGTATTGTTCATGACAACTGGAATGCCAGCCAGAGAGACATGTCAACGAACTAATCGTTCTGTTTGGAAGTCTATCTCTACTATATAGTGGCCTGAGAGGGTTCAGCTGTTAAGCTTTTACAGCCAGTGCCATACATGTGTGAACTTTTATACAAGGTAGTTGATTGCTGCACCGGGCTATGGAAAATATCAAGCGGTGTTTCATACCATTACGATATTGTTTTGGAATAGTTGTAATTGTCTCACGATCACGGTAGTACTCTACTAGTAGTACAATCTATATACAACTTAATGTTTGAATTCATGGTAGCTTTATATCAGAGGAACATAGAACTTGATATAAACAACTAGTGAAAGCTAGATCTTTGGATGTGACCTCGTAAAGTCATCAAAATGGAGTAGTTACTAGCAGTAAGTAGTAAATTAACCCTAGTAGTCACCCATAATATATTTATATCCCACCAACACCCGTTGGATACAGTAGCACGTAGACCTTACAGTCCAACCGCGGAACAATTTTCCTCATCACAAACCTAAGCGAGGTCAGCCTAGCAGAATGGCTATACTATAGGGACTTGTGACAATCGAAAACACAGACCTTGTTGCATCCTCACCATGACTATCCCAGCACCATGGACATGATTACATAAACACACAAATCACGTGACAAGGGGAAAGGAATGACATCATCGCCTCCAGCCCAGCCATCCGCATCATCAATATTCAATTCATCCATCGAAACTGCCATTCAACATACAATAGCACAGCATTGTATTCTGTTTTACTACATAGCCTCATGAAAGAGAAATTGGTTACTCATTTCTGGGTATTATCAATGATAGACATACTACAACCCACAGTTAGAACCGATCGAAGAATCTACGTAACCAACCGTTTACAAAGCATCTAGCACCTCCCACACGTCATGATGATGTTCCCAGAACCAATATCCACCCCCCAATGTCCCATACCTGCCTGGTTTATATCATAGCTGACTGAGTTAAGATTCTGGACCCTGAGCAATTGATATTTAAACCCTTTTTCTCTCCTTCTAATTCTTCCCTAGCTATCTATCTACATACACCTTTTGCTTGAACTTCATATACCTGTTATATCTACCTACCTACAGTAAGTGAATCTTCATTTTTCCTCCTCTTACTACTCTGTCCAGTTTAAAAGTTCTAACAATCCACTTCTACAGCCCTCAAACCTCCTTTAAACAATAATAAAAATGTCCGCCCCCAACGCCGGCCGCCAGTCCCCCCCTCCAGAGCGCCAAACCGGCGCCCAGCAACAAGAACCTCCCTCGCAGGGCAAAGCCCAGCCTCAATATGCGCCACCCGAACACGACGTCCAGGATCAGGCGGCCCAGACGGCCGGATTGTCGAGTAACCCTAAGCACCCGTTGGAGGATATAGAGAGTGCGAAGTTTTCGAAGGGCGGTGTGGCTTAATCTTCTCCTTTTTCCCTATCTAAGAGAGGATGGAATGGGGGTGTGTTGTGAGAATGGGAATAAATGTGATGAAATGTATTTATGATGATTTAATATGATATGATATATTGTTATAGTTACTTTTTAATGATTGGGTAGTAAGTAGAGCGGTGTAGTTTGGTGTAGTGTAGTGTAGGGAGGAGTGGGATGGGTTTCACTCTGTGAGGTTGTTTTATAGGATTTATACAGAGGGAGGAGAATGGCTGGTATCATATTGGTATTGAGGTATCGCTTGTTCCAGACAGCTAGCTATAGCAAAAAAAAGATGTTGTCACTGAAGCATTACATGAACTGAAAATAGTCAAGTCATTATCGCATAGAGACAGAAACCACACCCTCGTTGCTCATTACCCCCAATCCTAATTTTCTTTCAATTCAATTTGCTTACGCCTGCTCAGCAGGAGCAGCAGTACCCGCCGGCTGAGTAGCAGGCGCCGTGCTAGGAGCAGGAGCCTCACCACCCTCAGTAGTAGACTTGCCGCTCTTCAGATCCGCAAGTCTGCGAGCCTCGTTGTGAATATCGCGCACCTGCTTATCGGTCTGGGAGTAAAAGTCCCGCAACTTCCTGCCCGAGGGAGTGTCGAGGGCCTTCTCGAAGTAGTGGTTCAGACTACGCCAGCCAGTGGTCGCCTTGTCGCTGAGCTTGTAGTTCTCGTCCAGACCGCGAGCACGGTCCGTGGCATGGTACTTCTGGTCGAAGGAAGACAGAGCGCTGGTGAAGCGCGACGAGAACCCGTGCTTGTTGTCCAGGGCAATAGCCTTCTGGATGGCATTGTCGCTGAGGGTGTAGCCGTGGGCCAGGTACTCAGCTACAATGCGAGAACGGGGCTTGTCCTCCTGCTCGAGGTCGTGGTTGTACTCGTCCTTGGCTTGTCCGGCGCTGGCGGCCTGCTCGCCGGCGATGTCGTCGAGGCTCTGGGCAGCCTTGACGTGCACGAGAGAGGAACCCAGCTGGGTGTTGTCGAGGAGAAGAGCGGTCTTAGCAGCACTATCGCAGAGAATATTGGTTAGCTTTGATGGAGAGTGGGCGAGATGGTGTCATTTGGCAACAATGACGGGTAAGGTGCGGGGTAACTTACGCTTCCTTTTCGAAAGTAACGGTGGCCGACTTTTGGGCATCAGCTTCGCCTGAAACGGGGGTCACGGAAATGTGGGTGATCTTTCCGCTGTAAGGTTGTCAGCCGTGCAGTTCATGCAAGGGATGGTTTGAAATGCGTGCATTGCATACCAGAAGCTAAAGAAATCTTGGACCTCCTTGTCGGTGGTAGCGGAGGCAATGCCCTCGACGTGGACGGTGGAGCGTTCAGACATGATGAATGAAGTGAGTTTTGGATAAAGATAGTAGAGAGATAAATGTAGATGATATGATATTCAGAGAGTAGAGGTATAAGTCTGGAGAGAAAAGGGAGAAAGGAGGAGAAGAGGAGAGCTGTTATTTAAGAAGAGTGAATAATGTTTCGTGTTTAGGGGGCGGGCCTGGAGGCGCCACAGATGACGTCGCGAGGGGCAGCCAGTCTGGCGCACAGCCACAGTGGGCCCGGCCGCGTTGTCCATTCAATGACAACATGTGAAAGTGGGAGTGGAAGAAGTGCAAAGGGAAACTGAAACATTCCTAGTGCTACCATCCGCTAACTATCATCTATCTAGATGGTACTAGTATCTTCCCACCACACACCCCCCAGGCAGTAGCATTTTTGGTCAATAGTCGGTCTTCCCAGAGGCCCAAAGCGTCTAATCGCAGAAGCAAAAGCAATACCGGAAAAAGAAAACCGAGAGTGCGCCCGAACAACCTAACACTAATCAATAAATAGTTCTGACCCAAGAAATAGCAAAACAGAGCGAAGAAAATAACGGCTGAAAGATCCTGCTTTCCATATTTTATCCATAGCATCCAATCTATAGCCAAAGAAGCTTCGAGACATCCCCGTCTCATTCTTTAGTCTCCGTGCCGGATGGCTCTTTCAAGTCTGGGGTAGGTGTAGATGGGGAGTTGTCGTCTCTCAAATGAGAAACATTCGACTCCTGTAAATGAAGCTTTGAAATGACAGACTCAAGGTCTCGGACACGTCGGCGTAGTATTTCATTCTCGCGTTTGAGCGAATCGACTTCTCCGCGCTGCTGCAAGACCTCTTCATGGCGGCTTGTAGAACTGATAATGGGCGTCTTCTGCTGGGACAGCGAGCTGCGATGCGGATAGCCGACCGCGTGATGAGGTATGTGGTCAGTCGATTGTGTCTGATGATGGGATCCTGGTGTTGAGGGCAACGCTCCTTCCGGTTGCCGATGAGACGTGAGCGATGATTCCCTGCTTCGCCCCGGTCGCGAGGGATCAGGACGTGTCGAAGGAAGATATGTCTCTCGCGCAGGTGCGATGCCGGAAACGCTTCCCGCTCTCGACCCTTGCACAGCTGGGATGTAGGAGGAGCTCAAGCTGGAGGATGAGCGGTGTCTTCGCGATGATGTGGGGTGCGCGGAGCTGATAATATATGGCGACGCATGGAGTCCATCTACAGAGTCGTTGAGAGTGGTTGAGGTCGAGGAGGCTGTCGATGCGACCGAGTTTGTTTGTTGACGAAGGAGGGAAAGCTCTCGCGACAAGCGGTTCACCTAGAGTAGAAGATGGTAAGCACAGACTTGATAAAGGAAGGATCCATCGTGTCGTACCATTGCCTCCTGCTCTTGCTCGAGCATTGAATGAATATCGGAGGGAGTGAGCGGTTTGGGATGGCGAAGTGGACCTGGAGCTACTAGTCAGTCAAGGTGCTTTCCAGCTTTCTTTGTCTGCATGGCCATTGGCTTACCCGACGTAGACATGTTGTTTACCTGGTCGCTGACGAGTGGGATTGCATTTGTGTGAGCGCTCGGCGTAGATGCAGCGACTGAAGGAGCCATGGCCTGCGACGAGCGACGTGAAGATAATGTTGACGTGGTGGTCGGTTGCATTGTTGTGGCAGCCCGAGGCCGTAATCTGGGAGAAGAAAGAGGACCGGGGTTTAGTCCGGACGCCATATATACTAAAGTTTAGGGAAGACGCAGGACGACCAAGGGTTCTGACTGATGGGATGGACGAATGGTAGAAGGTAGCAACCGAAGGAGTCCCTGAATCGATAGGTATATTCCGGCGGAGACAGTCGTCTTTCAGGTTAGTTTCGTTAGTTTGTCGGTAGGAGGAAGTATGGATGCTGGGGGATGGCCGGAGGACACCAAGCAGCAGCACTACCACCACTCTTAACTTCTTACTACCGACAGACTAATAATACTTCTGGCAGACCACCGATGAAGCACAGGCTGCAGCATCACCCCTTGATTGGACTGACTGGAATTTTAAAGCATACCAACCACTGAGCCACCACTGACTTGTGCGCGAATTCTCCAGCTGAATGGAGCCGACATGCATGGAACCTATCATTCATCCTTTGCCAGTTCCTAGCTTTGCTTCACGCTCAGCCGGATGGACCTGGGGCCGCTCCCCGGGAGGTCCAGAGCTTAAATTATCTGTCCGAGGAAGCTTTAGCCAGCCTTTTCTGAATAGACAGCACAGGGGTGAATCGGCTGGCAGACGGGAGTTTATATTTGGATCGGAGTTCCCGCCAATGGTCAAGGGAGGCGAAGTTGGCGCAACGATCTTGGTCTTGTCCCACATCCACCGTTTCCCAGATTCTCTCATGGCACAGCCGGTTGTAATCTGAATCCATCTGACCGCATAATTATGTGCACACTAACGCTGTCTGTCTGCTTTTTTCTTTTCCCTCTCTACCGCGCTATCCTACTCTAGTAAGCTCGGTTGAGATTGGCTCGGCATTCTTCCTCACATGCATGAGTTTCTACCTACTATGTACTAAATCGTCTATACATAGAGCTAAGGCGGAGTCCCCATCCTGAGGCTAGAGTGAGGCCCACTCTAAGGCACCGCTTGAGCTGCTCTGTCAGATCCCATTCTAGGAAAAAATCACTATCAATGCTACGGCTTCTTCTTCGCTAGTAATTATTGGCACACGACTCCAAGGCCTACTTACTGTAAAAATGCACTCCTCAAGATAATCCACTAAGCCTAGCCTGGGTTTTGCAGAACTGCCAATCGTGGGCATGCACATCATACATGCCTACCAATCAGTGTGCATATGATATATATTCATCATGTACTGCGTATAGAGCATGCCGAATCATCAGTATGGAGGCAATGCTCAGAAAGACTAGTAGTCGAGATCATATGCTGGAGTAATGGCTTCAAGTGGGACTCGTTCCCCCATGCGTGTCCGGCCAATGCGCCAAAAGCGGCACCGCGTCGGGCCGAATCAACACTGTAAGGCGGAAGCTCCAGTATCCGCGTCACTGCAAAGACTAGCGCATCCTCAAGACACCGTGCCTACTCACAATCTGGTCCCAGGGCCCAGTCCAACGAATTGTGTCACGCGACACCTACCCATATCCCCTTGATTGCCAAACATCTGGAATCTTACATCAGGAGCCGCCAAGGTGCTCTCTAAATCTAACAAGCCTTGTGCCTTTATGAGCAGAGAACTGACCCTGAGCACTTTGAATTACCAGTGTTAACCCGTGTCTGATTATTAGTACTTCAGCGAAGCAGTCATTGACATTGACAGAAGCAGATCCCGCCGGAGCTGACAGGGCCGCGAAAACAATACCAGAAAGCGTTGCGAGAGAATGTGCCTGCCAGGAAGGAACATCCATTGGTTGTGGAGCAGGCCACTTCTATAGAACCGAGAAGAGTAAACTAATAGTGGAAGGATTATCGGTTGATTCACTTTTGCATCTATACCCCAGACTCCGCAACCGTCGTCGGCATGCAAAGTCCAGATCACCCAACAGGAAATGGCACAGAATGCACACTAGCTGGTGGAAGACGTATAGTTATTACACACTCAACCAAAACCAGGAGGTTTCATATGACTGGGAAGGTGAAGGGTGAGAACGATATCTGGGCGTCGGAGGCACGATAAACCGGGTCACGGACCTAAATGTGGCGGATTCAACAGCCAGCAAAGGGTCCATGGGTTGAAATACATACATGGTCAAGTGGCTGTTGGGAGTTGATCTACTATCTACGGAGTACCCCCAACTACTTAGTCTGGAAAGCGAGGACGTACATACTTAGCGACAGGTTGAGATTAACACATATTAGGCTAATATTAATGTTGAAACTACTGAATAGAGTTGAGCTGGAAGGCTCAGATGCCGGTGACTCACGGCATAAGTGCTCCTTTTATCAGGGAACCGTAGACGAGCAGTGGAAAGCGTTTGGATGGGCAGGAGGTGTATTCCGGCGCGTGGAGACCCTCCGAAAGCCGGTGTTGGACTGGTGGAAGGGGATTGGCGCAGTAGCGAGCAAAGCAGGCTGGGCGGACACTAGATAGGCATGGATCTGCTTGACGAACCATCAAAATTTCCTGGCAGATGAACGACTAGGAACAGACGACGGAGTCATGATCTGTTGAGTAGAGCACTGGTGGTCCGTTCCCTGGCAGGGAGTTGTGAGTCAGACAAGCTTTCGAGGGGGGTTGTTAATAGCAATTGAATAATGATTATCCTATAATAACGCCCTACAGGCTAGGATTGTAGCCCCTGGACAGCTGGGAAAGACTGGGACGGGCTATCAAGTCAGGAAATTAGTGATCGGTATTGCTAACCGCGGGCTCCATTTCTGCCACTACAGCCGCTAGTCACCACTTAGTCACCACTTAGACTTGGCCCCGAACCTGTTAGCCTGCAGTTCCCCATGATCTCACATTGGCTGAGAGCCCAGGCGGTGAGAGGCCGGGCCGGTCTTTTGGGGGAATTCTGGAGTCCCAGCGATCCAGAGTGCAAACTGAAAGGGGAAAAGAGGGAAAAAAGGCTCCGCACACCGGAGCTCTTATCGGCCCTCCCAAGGTTGGGGCATCATTTTTTTTCAGTGCAAAGTCGGAAGTCCCATTGGAACACTTTCTCGGTCGGCAGCCCGTTCTCCATTTTGGCTGGTTCTTGGTCTCCAGAGTAAAAGTGCCGCATTGACTCATCGCCGTTTCCCGCACCTTTTCTTTACTTCCTCGTTTCCCGTCCCCTCTCCATCTTCTTTAGCCATTTCTTCCCTCACTCTAATTCTCTCCAAGAATCCAAAACAAAGGTCCGCCTGGCCAATTCATCTCCCTTTAAGTCCTCCCCTTTGGTCGTGGGCGTGTGGCATAAAGTGGAATACACCAGGAACTCAATTCCTTGGCCTTTAAAGGGAAATTAAAAAAATTCCCACAGAGCCGGACCAAAAGCGGAGTCTCCAGATCCTCCCTCTCCGGAACTCTGCCAGGCCATAAAGTAGAGAGTGTGCATCCTCTCAATTGACTCATCCCTTTCATCTTTCCACCTTTCTCTTTATTTTCCCCGTCCTTTTCTCTACCAGCGCAGAGCGCAATGGTTCTCGCTACTCGTTGCGGGCAGGCTACGTCCGCCCTCCTGCGTCAGCGCTGTCTGGCGGAGTCTCGTCGCTCCGCCCTCGCTTTGCGCCCATTCTCCTCCCAGACCACCGCTCACTCGACGGCTTCGAGTCTCAGATTGGCCAAGGCCCCTTCTCCGTGGCGACCGCAGCAGCTGCGCTCTTTCTCTAGCGCCCTTCGTCGCTTGGCTTCTGAGACCTCCAGCGCTCCCTCCGCTGAGAGCTACCTCGCCAGCGGACTCGTCAAGCCCGGCAGCAAATTGGTCGATGTCAAGAAGGTCCTCGTTATCGGTAGTGGTGGTCTGAGCATTGGTCAGGCCGGAGAGTTCGACTATTCCGGTAAGTTGGACGAGTCGTTGAAACCTTGACGTTCCCATCATAAATCCCCCGCTCCTTTACCTGATGGTTCGCGATCAATTGAGCGATTCCTACATGGAATAAAGACGGGAACCCGGGATTACTAGGTCAAGGCATTCCTATGAAACAGTTGCTAACACTAATCTTCTCTAATAGGTTCTCAGGCTCTGAAGGCCCTGAAGGAGGCCGGTGTCCAGTCCGTCCTGATCAACCCCAACATTGCGACAATTCAGACCGATCACAAGCTTGCGGATGAAGTGTACTACCTCCCGGTTACCCCCGAGTATGTCACCTATGTCATTGAGCGGGAGAGACCCGATGGTATCTTCCTCTCTTTCGGTGGTCAGACCGCCCTGAACTTGGGTGTGCAGATGAACCGCATGGGTATCTTCGAGCGCTACGGTGTCCGCGTTCTGGGAACCAGCATCAAGACCCTGGAGACCAGTGAGGACCGTGATCTTTTCTCCAAGGCCCTCAACGAGATCAACATCCCCATCGCCGAATCCATTGCGGTCAGCACCGTCGACGAGGCCCTGAAGGCTGCTGAGACCGTTGGATACCCTATCATCGTCCGTTCTGCCTACGCCCTGGGTGGTCTGGGTTCCGGTTTCGCTGCCAACCCCGAGGAACTGAAGAACTTGTCCTCCCGCTCTCTGACCCTTTCTCCCCAGATTCTGGTCGAGAAGTCTCTCCGTGGCTGGAAGGAAGTCGAATATGAGGTTGTCCGCGATGCTGACAACAACTGCATCACTGTTTGCAACATGGAGAACTTTGACCCTCTTGGTATCCACACTGGTGACAGTATCGTCGTTGCTCCCAGTCAGACCCTGTCTGATGAGGAGTACCACATGCTCCGTACCGCTGCTATCAAGATTGTTCGCCACTTGGGTGTCGTCGGTGAATGTAACGTCCAGTACGCTCTGCAGCCCGATGGCCTTGACTACCGTGTCATTGAGGTCAACGCTCGTCTCTCTCGTTCCTCGGCTCTGGCCTCCAAGGCCACTGGTTACCCCCTGGCTTACACTGCTGCGAAGATCGGTCTGGGACACACCCTTCCCGAGCTTCCCAACGCCGTTACCAAGACCACTACTGCCAACTTCGAGCCCAGTCTGGACTACATCGTTACCAAGATTCCCCGGTGGGATCTGAGCAAGTTCCAGCATGTCAACCGCGACATTGGCAGTGCCATGAAGTCTGTCGGTGAAGTCATGGCTATTGGCCGTACTTTCGAGGAGTCTTTCCAGAAGGCTATCCGTCAGGTTGACCCCCGCTTCGTTGGCTTCCAGGGTGACCACTTCGAGAACCTCGACGAAGTCCTGAAGAACCCCACCGACCGCCGCTGGTTGGCTGTTGGCCAGGCTATGCTCCACGAGAACTACTCCGTGGACAAGGTTCACGAGCTGACCAAGATCGACAAGTGGTTCCTGTACAAGCTCCAGAACATTGTTGACTGCCACCACGAGCTTAAGGACATCGGCAGCCTCTTTGGCCTCCAGAAGGAGATCCTGCTGAAGGCCAAGAAGCTTGGTTTCTCCGACAAGCAGATCTCTCAGCTCGTTGGCGCGTCTGAGGACGATGTTCGCGCCCGCCGTAAGTCCTTCGGTATCAGGCCCTGGGTTAAGAAGATCGACACCCTCGCTGCCGAGTTCCCTGCTGACACCAACTACCTCTACACCACCTACAACGCTACCTCCCACGATGTTAGCTTCGACGACCACGGTGTCATCATTCTGGGAAGCGGTGTCTACCGTATTGGAAGCTCCGTCGAGTTCGACTGGTGTGCTGTCAACGCTACTCTCTCCCTGCGCAACATGGGCAAGAAGACTGTCATGATCAACTACAACCCTGAGACCTACTCCACCGACTTCGATACTGCTGACAAGCTCTACTTCGAAGAACTCAGCTACGAGCGTGTCATGGATATCTACGAGCTTGAGAGCGCCAGCGGTGTTGTCGTCTCTGTCGGTGGTCAGCTTCCTCAGAACATTGCTCTCCGTCTCCAGGAGACTGGTGGCGCTCACGTTCTCGGAACCGACCCCAAGGACATTGACCGCGCTGAGGACCGTCACAAGTTCTCTCAGATCCTGGACAGCATTGGTGTTGACCAGCCCGCCTGGAAGGAGCTTACCTCCGTCGCCGAGGCTGAGCGCTTCGCCGAGACTGTTGGCTACCCCGTCCTGGTTCGTCCCAGTTACGTCCTGTCTGGTGCTGCCATGAACGTCATCTACAGCGTCGACGAGCTCAAGGAGAAGCTCCTCAACGCTAGCGCCGTCTCCCCCGACCACCCCGTCGTCATCACCAAGTTCATTGAGGGTGCCCAGGAGATTGACGTTGACGCTGTCGCTTCCAACGGCAAGCTTCTGCTCCACGCCGTCAGTGAGCACGTTGAGCCTGCTGGTGTGCACTCCGGTGATGCCACTCTCGTCCTCCCCCCTGCCAACCTCGAGGAGTCTGTCATGAGCCGCGTTAAGGAGATTGCTGAGAAGGTTGCCAAGGCCTGGAACATCACTGGTCCCTTCAACATGCAGATCATCAAGGCTGACCTCGAGGGCGCTGAGCCTGAGCTGAAGGTCATTGAGTGCAACCTTCGTGCCTCCCGCTCCTTCCCCTTCGTCAGTAAGGTCCTGGGTACCAACTTCATCGATGTTGCTACCAAGGCTCTGGTCGGCCGTGATGTCCCTGAGCCCGTTGATCTCATGAGTGTCAAGCGCGACTACCTTGCCACTAAGGTTCCCCAGTTCAGCTGGACCCGTCTTGCTGGTGCCGATCCTTTCCTCGGTGTCGAGATGGCTAGTACTGGTGAGATTGCCTGCTTCGGTAAGGATGTTGTTGAGGCCTACTGGGCTTCCCTGCAGGCTACCATGAACTTCCGTTGCCCTGAGGCTGGTGAAGGTATCCTGCTCGGCGGTGATATCACCAACCCTGCCCTGGCCCAGATTGTCGAGTACCTCAAGCCCCTCGACTTCAAGTTCTTCGCTGCTAGCCCCGCTGTCAAGGAGCACCTCGAGGCTGCTACCAAGGTTCCCGTGCAGGTCATTGAGTTCCCCAAGCAGGACAAGCGTGCTCTGCGTGAAGTCTTCCAGAAGTACAACATCCGTGGTACCTTCAACCTTGCCAAGACCCGTGGCAAGTCTCTCCTCGATGAGGACTATGTCATGAGACGTAACGCCGTCGACTTCGGCGTTCCTCTCTTCATGGAGACCAAGGTATGCAAATTACCCCCTCTTCCTCCCTGCTTGCCCTGTTGCTAACTGTTCCTTTTTAGACTGCTCTCCTCTTCGCCCAGGCCATGAGCGAGAAGATGCCCCGTGCCGATGGCATTCCTTCCGAGGTCCGCACCTGGTCCGACTTCACCGGCGGCAAGCTGCTGTAAACGCAAGTTTACCCACAAAAAGGACGAAAAGTTTGATTTCATAGATATAATCACGGTTTTGTAATCGTTCATCTTTCCAGGCACAGAAAAGCCGCCGTGTTTGGCGTAGCGGATAAGGCTCCATGTTGATAGATATGTTTACTCCGCCCTGGCATTTGGGCATTCTGTCGCGTCTTCAAAAAAAAAGGCGATATGAGGAATACGGTCAAGCGCTCTGTTGGTTTTTCTTTTGTGGTTTGTTGGCCTTGTGGATGATTTCTTCTCTTACCTTTTGCTTCGCAGTCTATAGGTTTGTAGGCCGGCTTTGTGCTTGAGCGAAAGGTCAAATTTTCTATATTCTAGTTGTATGTAGTATAGCCTGTCAATTATATCCAATTTCGATTTCTGATATGATCTTGGTCAATTCTGTGCTTTGGACTTGTAGCCGCTTTAATTATGATGTGATTCTCGCTCATTAACACTATCATATACTCATTTTGCCAGCACGACGCGGTTAACTTAGGCCGCGTACCGCACAAGTTGGGGTAACACAGATCTCTGGCATCACAAACGATCTTGAGCTTGAAACAATATGCATGATTCTAGTCAGATCATACTACTTCAGATAGTATCTTTCTGTATTTTGGCCCTCTCACCCAGCAACATACACCGGTTTATCTGATTTGTAGTAGAAACGCACTGAGTAGAAACATTTTTCCATCCCGAGCACATCCACGCCAAGCTTGGACGAAAAGGGAAATTATTCTATAACTTCAATGATATAAAGCCACAAATACATTAAAAACGAGCCATTCTGCCTGTAGCTGTTCAGCAGATACTCTGTATCATCACATGGAAACAGACAAGGTCCAATGAACACAAAGACCACACCTCAGCCCGCCCCAGGTGGTCTAGGACGGGGCCTCTTCGCCTCAACAGACATTGCCGTCGGCGAAGAAGTGCTACACATTCCCGTCCCATTCGTGGCAGTCCTAGACACGGAACACCTAGGAGAGGTATGCTCCGGCTGCTTTGGCCAGAGACAGCTAGAAGAGGAAGGGATGGCTCTGAAAGGCTGCAGAGGATGCGGCATTGTGAAGTACTGTGATAAGGTCAAAAAATAGCCTCCCCACTTGCAGAAAACCTCACTAACCCTCGCAGACATGTCAAGCAAAGGACTGGAAGCTGGGACACTCTCTTGAATGCTCGATCTACCAGAATCTGAAGCCCCGCGTTCTGCCTATCAACGCGCGAGCCGTGCTGCGCATGGTCTTGCGCAGCGAACGCCAAAAGTACTCCAGCGAGGAGCTGGACCAGTTCCTCCAGCTTGGGACTCATATCAAGGACATTCGCGACCAAAGTGCCTCGCAGTGGGAGCGTATATCTCTTTCCTCGAAGGCGATCAAGGCCTACTCTGGCACGGATATGAGCGAAGAGGTCATATCTGCTATGGGAGCTAAGGTACGTACATACATACACAATGCTATACATACATACCCTCCAAAAGACAACTCACACCCTTTCTAGCTCGACCTCAACTCCTTCAACCTCACCAACGCCGTCTACGACCGTCTCGGCGTCTACCTCCACCCTTACGCCGCTATCTTCAACCACAGCTGCGACCATAACGCCGCCGTCAGCTTCGACGGCCCCAACCTGCACATCAAAGCCCTCCGACCCATCCGGAAGGACGAGCAGATCTTCATCACTTACATAGACGTAACGGACCCCTATCCTATTCGCCAAGCTAACCTCCAATCTCGATACTACTTTACCTGCCACTGCTCGAAATGCACCCGAGAAGCAGGCTCATCAGCAGCAATAACCCTACACCCAGCACAGCAAGAAGCCTACAACATCCTCCAATCCCTATCAACCTTAGAGAACCCCATCCAAACCCTCCTTCAAGCCCTCACCACCCTCCAAACCTTCTCCCTCCCCAAAACAACCCAACCCTCCATCTCCCTCCACGACGAACTCATCACCGCCCTCCTCGCCGAACAGAAATACAAATCTGCCTTCGCCCACGCCGCGGCCCGCTACCGTGCTATCGATCCGGTCGTGTACCCGCTCCAGGGCCATCCGATCCGGTTGCTGCATGCGTGGGTGTTGGCTAGGTTGGCGATTCATTTGTCACAGGGCGTTGAGGTACAGCATACTGGTGGTAATGAGGAAATTGTCTTGGAGAAGTACGAGTTGAATTTTAATTTAATTATTTGGTCGGTGTTGGCGAAGTTGGTAGGGATGGAAAGCACGGGGGGCATGGGCCCTGGGTTTTGGAGGTTAGTGAAGAGGGAGTTTCGGGCTGTGAGGGGGGAGTTTGTTGCTGCGGGGTTGGATCCGAGGGGGTCGAGGGAGTTGGAGAGGGAGATTGGGAGGGAGTGGGGGAAAGTGGATGGGGTGGTTAGGGAGTTGGGGTTTAATATAGCTTAGTATAGATATAACAGCAAGGGATGTATGTGAATGTGTAGGGAAGAGGGTTCTACATCTAGGCAAATAACGAGGGATATGAGTGAAAAGTGAAATCGTTAAATTAGACTGCCATCCTTCGTAAGCTAACCAACAAAAGGAAGAGCAAAGCCTCTGCGCCCCCTTCCATCCAGGACAAAAGGGGCTTGGATCGTGAGATTTAGAAGGATCCGGTTGGTTTCTTTCTTTTTTTCGTTCTCATATTGCCGACAAGACCTTTATATTGAGATGCAAACAGCTGACCCGCACTTGGACATACAAGGTAAGAAGATGAGAACCCAAAGAAATGCCATATGGGTATCCATCCAGTTTTGATTCTTTTTTTCCTTTATCCGTAGAGATCCTCCCAGCAACATTCCGTACGCCCGAGTTCCTCCTCCACACGACGACACTCCATCCAATAAAGCTTTTCTTCTTTACTTGAGGGGAATGAAACGGGAAGAGTGGGTGGCACCGATACCGGGACGACCGTGCTTGACGGGCTTGCTGTGTGGTTGTTAGACATACCATATTCATTTGGATTCGCTCGCGGGGGATACGGGTATGGGGGGTACGTACTAGGAGATAGAGAATTCACCCAGGTAGTGGCCAACCATCTCGGGCTTGACTTCGATCTGGTTGAACTCCTTACCGGAGTAGATACCGATGACGCTGCCGATCATCTCGGGGACAACGATCATGTCACGGAGGTGGGTCTTGACGAGGTCGGGCTTCTCGTTGGGGCGAGCCTCCTGCTTGGCCTTGCGGAGCTTCTTGATGAGACCCATGGGCTTGCGCTTCAGACCGCGGTTGAAGCGACGACGAGCGCGGGCGTGAACGACATCACGGAGCTGTTCGGAGGAGAGGTCAAGGAGCCTGTGCAGATAAACAGGTCAGATACCATTCCACATATTTCCCGTCGGTTCTTTCGATATATTGACATATTTCCTTCGGCCGTCGACTCCCACGAGGATATTCCGCAAATATCCAGAAATGTCCATATTGCTGATATCGCTCGTTCGGAGTCGAGGCCGTCGGTTCGGAGTGCAGTGTGGGTATGATAGATATTCATGGTGAAACGTACTGGTCGAGGTCAATACCGCGGTAGGTGAACTTGCGGAACTGTCTTCTCTTCTTGATCTCTGTTTCCCGGATACGTCAGCGCCTTGTGTTCCCTTCAATCACTGCTGCGTGGTTCTCGTAGTTGGTGTGCGGCAAAAGCAAGAATAGAAACGTCGACAGAGAATTCGGTCCGTTGCCCCCCCATCCCTTCCTCAAAAATTTCCAAGTGTCGCATCATCGAATTATGTCCATATCATATCGTATATCCAGCCAAAATACCGTTTCCCACAACGCGAATTCGTCTCTGTTTCCGGGGTCCAGGGCAGGAAAGGGTGGTTCAGGCAAGAAAAAATTTCAAAACGTACCGGCAGCCTCCTCGGCGTTCTGTAGGCAAAAGAACGTTAGTTCAAACTCTTCCTAGTCCTCTTCAACATGTCTTCTAATATCGGAAAACTCACGTAGTGCTCGTCAGCCATTTTTGCGGTGTTCCTCTCAAGGTCGCTTTCCGAACGGGACTCGAAAAGCGAAGGGACGATGGGTTGTCGTGTCGTGTCGCTGATGAACGTACGTCGGGCGTCTCTTGTGCCTCTGCGCTGGGTTGGGAGGTGGGCTGGAGCCTCGTCTAAGCGACCCGTCTAGGGTTGCGACCCTACCACACTAGGCCGCTTTGGGAACCAATCTATAGGGCCGCTGGTCCAGCTGCCCTAAAGATTTGTATGGGGTATCTATGGATTGTCGATGGATTAACTATCTATTGGGCTTGAAATCGTGGTTTTGCTGGAGCTCATTGGCTTGTTGTAATGATTTCAGTGGTCTCTCCTGTAAGTTTTGTCCAGCACTTACCGTATTTGGTAATCATTTATGGATGGTATCTAGTAGTTACAGAGAAACCCGCGCAAAGAATCCCATACTACGTTCTACGAGATATAGAGTCACCCAATCAATCGGGAGGTCAGAGAATCTGTATTGGCTAAAGCTCTTTCCAGCTCACTTATGCATAAATCGTAACTGCATCAGAAAAGCCTGGCAAACACCGGCTTGACTGGACCAATGGGTAATTTTCCTCCCTAGACTGAAAATAACCGCCAGATTTCTGTTCCCCCACGAACTGTTACGTTTTTCTCGGTGTTCGGAGTGAAGGCGCTTAGTCGAAGAGACCGAAGCCCATGTCCTCATCGGACTCCTCAGCAGCCTCCTCCTTCTTCTCCTCAGCGGGAGCCTCAGCAGCAGCGGCGCCACCGGCAGCGGGGGCAGCGGCAGCAGCACCGGCACCACCGGAGGGAACGGAAGCGAGCTTCTGGGTACCCTCGGAGATGAGCTGTTGTAGAAAAACCATTGTCAGTATTCCATCTTATAATCGCAAAATTTCTTGGTAGATTTTAAGGGCGGTAACTGACCTCCTGGAGGTCCTTGCCCTCAAGCTCAGCAAGGAGCTTCTGGAGGCGCTCCTCCTCAGCGTCAATGCCGACGGCGGAGAGGACGGACTTGATGTCCTCAGCGGAGGGGGTGTTGTTGCCAGCAAGGGCCAACAGAAGGTAGGCGGCGAGGTACTTCATTTTGAATCTGCAAGACAACCTGTCAGAACAACTGCGCCGAGAATGTCGTGGTCGTACTGTCGAAATTCGCAACGAGGTAATCAAGAAGGCAACGTACAGTTGTGGTGGTGAACACGAGAATCAATCGATTTAACCGCAAAGTTGGGCGGAGACTGACACGTCGAGTTCGCTGGGGGTTGAGCGATGTGATGGACGGAAAAAGAGAGAAATGGAATCCGAAGTTGAAAATCAAGAAAAGTGCGATGCGGCTGGTGGGTTGTGGCTAGTGCAGATCGTGCTAGTTCCGGTTAAGCGAGCGGCCGTGGCGCATGCGTTAACTCCCATGCCTTGGGCCCCGGTCACGTGGGGTCGCTGCTTCTAGAAGACAGGATGGCGACTTCTTGCACCGTTTTTGCCCGGCGGCTTTATCTGGTCGACCTCGTTGTATCCGGCTATCGCTTTGTTGGCATCTGCTTTGGGCCTTAATTCACGTCGTGCTTTATGTCTGGCACTAAGACGTGAATTAGGCTTATCTCTAATCTGAAAACGATTGATTTTTAGTGGTTCCGCAACGAAGTCATGAAGGTACCCCGTCATACTAACCACCGACGGTGAAACTACCCCCCTTCGTGACTACTCATATTCGATAGCTTTTGGCGCTTTCTTTGGCTACTAGGTGACAAAATGAGTGTAAGGAACCCATGAAAGCTTGCTGTTTGATGGCTTTTGCTGATCATACGACAGTTTCTCGATTCCGTTCTTTCGTCCATCGAGACGGGTAAACCGTCTCCAATCCCCCCCACCTCTGCCTCACCGTCGCCTCCTGTAACCTCTTCAAATGTCAAGACCGAGGTCCGCAAACCGGTCAGCGTCCCTCGAGATGGCGCTTCAGAGCGCAAACCTCTGGTTTCTGGAATCAAGCGAAAGGCCGAGGAGCAGCTAGCTCGTCCTGCAAAATCTGTTACCCCAGCACCTACCAGGGCAGCAGCAACAACAACAACATCATCATCAACGACCAATACCACTACCACGGCGAAGACTACCGTATCTACAGCTCCTAGACCTCGTCCAAGCGCGCCTTCTACGACAGCAACGTCTGCAGTCAAGAGCCGCTCTTCAACCCCTCAGCAGAAGGCGCCTCCAGTGTCATCGAAGCCTCCCCCTAAAGGCTCTTTCGCGGATCTCATGGCCAAGGCCAAAGCATTACAAGAGAAGGCGCCGACTCAAGTTGGCATGTTCAAACATCAATCTGCCCCCAAGGAGAAGCTTAGCAAAGTCGAACGCAAGAAGAAGGCAGTGGAGGCGCAGACCAAGGATAAAGATGTGCGGTCGGCCAAGAAGGCAGGCGTTACTGCTGGTGGAGCTGCAGGCACGAAAGCCGGTGACGGCAAAGTCGTCAAGAAGCGGGAACCTGAGCCATTATCCTACAAAGGGACCGCCAGACCGACCCCGTCTACAGGCCAGCCCGAGTACCGAGGAACCGCCGGTCTGCCTCCACGCAAAACACCTGGTGACCGGAAAGCACAGTCGCGATCCAGGCCTCGTATGGATGAGTACCTCGGTACTGATGAGGAAGACGAGGGCGAGTATGCCGATGACTACGATGATTACTATTCAGAATCTTCCGATATGGAGGCGGGCTTGTACGATGTGGAGGAAGAGGAAGCTGCTGCACTGGCGGCCGCCCGACGGGAAGACGAGGAGGAATGGCGCGCGGAGCTTGCCGCCAAGCAGCAGAAATTGGAGCGTCGCAAGAAGCTCGCTTCACTGGCATCGCGACGATAAGAAGCAGTCCTTTGCTTCCACGACATACCTACCTACCTAATCAAACCTTTTGCCAGTCCTGCAAGCCGATTCACCTGGACTTCAACAACATTTTTCCCTTGGATTTTTCCCTTTTGTTTTCATTGTTTTCTTGTTTGGTTACGGAGCATCAGCGAGGAATACCCCGAGGGTGCGTTACATACGACGTTACTGGTCTTCTTTGTTTTCATTTGTTCAATTCTGTACCAATTTTGGAAGAGCATCAGCGAGCGTCAAGGTGTCGATAGATGGAGGGCGATTTCTTCATTTTCACTTCACATATTAACATTGCTAGTTACATACAATAGCGGGCGTGTCTGTTACTGTCACTGTTCTCGTGGTAGCATTAAATGCGATTGGATAGCTGCAAATATTGACCACTCTCATCGTCATTGCTGGTAATCTAATTATATAGTAAGGATTAAGCAAAGCAATCAAGACCGGATTCTTATCGAGAAATGACCCCATCTGCCCCACCCGTAGGCGGTGACATCACTCATCCTTTTGCTGCTACTGTTGCGACAGCTTCCTCTCTGCTACTTCTCTCTTCAATTGTTGCGCAGTTGATCTGCTCTTTTTCATAGAACGCATAGTCTATCATCCTACAGTTACAATCCAGTGTACTGATTGATTGTTATCTTTCTCATCATCATGGAGTCGTCGGTTCATCACATTTCAACCTCGTCCAAGGTTTTGCTGAAGAAGGCGCGCAATCTGGTGCCTCCGATGCTTGAGAAATTCCATAAAGGTAGGCCTTGATAAGACGGTGTCAGTGTTTCGCTTCATGAGCTCTCTTCTGACAATTAACAGGACAACAGGGACGTGTTGCTGTCATCGGAGGAAGTATAGAGTACGTTCACCCCGCTCTCTGTTCATGCGGTACGGAATCTGAACGTGTCCAAGTTACACAGGGGCTCCATACTTTTCTTCAATGGCGTCGGCTAGACTGGGTAAGATACTCATCCAATGCTGGTATAGCTAGCTGTTAGCTGACATGGCACTGCAGGATGCGATATGGTAGGCTACTCACTTCACCAGAACGTTAGCCGCTGTATACACTTTCTGACAGATCACAGAGTCACGTAATTTGTGACAAGTCTGCTGCAGTTGTAAGTTTGTATTCTGCTAGTCTCAAGTATGTCTGTTGTCATTGACCGTGGCTAGGTCATCAAAACTTATTCTCCGAACCTTATGGTTCACCCGATACTGCCAAGCAGCGACAGCGTCAAAAACCCCGAGTCTATTGACGCCCCATCACTCGCTAGCCCCATCATCTCCATGCTTTCCCGCCTCCATTGCCTGGTTATTGGACCGGGTCTAGGCCGTGATGGAGTCACACTCAAGGTCGTTACGGAGGTGATGAAGGAAGCGCGGTCCCAATCGATACCATTTGTCCTGGATGCCGACGGTCTGCTCCTTGTCACGGAGAACCCGGATCTAGTGAAAGGCTACAAGGAGTGCATTCTCACTCCCAATGTAAATGAGTTTAGTCGTTTAGCGAAAGCCCTGGGCATTGACGTACCAAGCCAGGCCCAGATTGGCTCCAAGTCCGGTGGCGGAGACAAGACTAGCGAGGAGACCAGGGCTTGTGAGCAGCTTTCTCAGGCACTTGGTGGCGTTACTATCATTCAGAAGGGTCCTCATGACATTATCTCCAACGGTGTCACTAGTATCGTCTCCGACATTCAGGGCGGGCTGAAGCGGAGTGGTGGACAGGGAGATACGCTTACTGGCTCCCTGGGCACCCTCTTGGCCTGGAGAGCGGCTTACCATAATGGATTGTGGGATTCGGGAGAGCAGGATAACAAGAAGGAGGCCGAGACCAAGCAAGAGGTTCAGGCGGAGCTGGAATCCGAGGATAAGAGGATGTCCCCCGCCACGACGTTGCTTCTTGCGGCGTTTGCGGGAAGCAGTATCACGAGGGAGTGTTCCCGTCGTGCCTTTTTGGCCAAGGGACGGAGTATGCAGGCTAGCGATCTCACCGATGAAGTCCATGAAAGCTTCCTGCATCTGATTGGGGAACCAGAGGCGTCGAAGATGCGCTTGTAGGGTCTATTTACGAAGTGATCGGAATGTTCGTGTCGAGATGTATAGAAATGACATAATGAATGGTTATTTTTGGGTTTAAAGTATATCTGGGTAGCGAAGGTTCTTTGTCTACATTGCATACCACACACTTTATACTGCCTCTGCTATCGCATGGACTCGTGACTTATTTGCTCCCACGATGCGAGTACATCCTGCAAAACCGGTTAGCAAGTGATAGAACTAACCTAAGGATCCCCAGGCAGAAGGGTCCGATAAATCAGCCACATCTATACCACCTTAACTCTGGTGGACATCCAAATATAATCTTGTCTCATAGTTGGATGTCACGAGATTGAATGTGTAGACGAGCCTCTACTCGATTAGTATCCGATGCCATTGATACTGAACGTTCAATAGTCAGTCCAACCGAGACATCAAGGCCTCCACCAGATGGACATCTAAACTGTTTCGACCCTTTCTCTAACATCCACCATCGAAGACATCTACATACATACCGACCTCGTCGCCAGACTAGCCCCTGTCACTCAACTGACCGTGACGGCGATATCAAAGCCAAAAAAAATTGAGACGCTCTCAATAATGCATCCCTCTTCCTGATTAACTCTTAGCCGACTGTAGTAATAAGATTCATACTTCCAACCTTGCTAAAGAAAGCAACAATTGCCTCCCGTCAGTGCCGGGTCCACAGGGCTGCCTCGTATTCGCACTCCTCCACCGGCACAGCCCATGAGACATGAGATCTAATTGAGACTCTACGACTTCAATGGTATGTCTCAGAGGAACCGTACCATCGCCCCATACTGAACTAATCTTGGATGATACCCTCATGACGTCGTAGTCCGATAGTTAGATACCAGCCACCGGGTTTCCCGTCTTTCAACAAAGATGATCCAGATGATATGGTCCAGTCTATACGAATTGAACTTGATTAAAAGTCGGATTCCAATATTCAGTCCATACTAATAATAACATCTCAATATTTTCGCATATAGATAGATGGATATAAAATCGCCTTCCGTCCCCTCCTCCTCTTCCTCATCCGCATCATCCTCCCCATCATAACTACAATTCAACTCCACTATCATTATCATTATCATCACCAACTGCCAACCATTACCACCATTCCAACCCCCCCAAAATGCACCTCCCAACAACCACTTTTATCTTCCTCCTAACCTCCACCCTAACCCTCGCCTCCCCCAACCCATCCCCACCAACATGCGGAACCTGCAACCCTCTCTCAGGCGAAAACCACTGCGATGTGACAACCTCGTGCATCAACACCGGCACGCGATTCCACTGCGCCTGTCGCGCGGGATATAAAGCCTCCCACCAGAACAACGACATCACCAAGCAGTTCCGGTTGAATGTCCCCGGGTATCAGTTCTTGGTCTTCACGCCCGAATTTACCCAGTGTGATACGCTGTGCGATAATCCGTATGGCGCGAGTGCGCAGTTGTGCTCGGAGGTGCCGATTTATGGACGGTGTGGGGTTTAAGGGGTTTGGTTTTGGGGATGGTTTTGGGGATGGTTGAAGGGGTGTTGTTATTGTTGTTAACTTAGTATTGGGTGAAGAGTTGGATTTGAGAGAGGGAATGGAGTGATAGCTGGGGGGCAGAAATATGGAAAGGAAGAGACGTTGGTTATTATATCACGCTTGGGTATTGTGAGTATTGTGATTGGTGTGGATGTGGGTGTTGAAGATGTTGTTTGGAACTTAGGTACGTTCTTATATCAGATATAATATTATGCACGTTTGTCTTGCTTGATTATTCAATGCCATTCATTTAGATGATACCAAGAAAAATTAACACCAAACACCGGTCCGGGTTCTACCCTCCCACAGGAATCTCACATGGCCTCATGCACGTCTCTCAGATGAAGAAGAATAGTAAAAAGTTAATCGATGAAAGATAGCAGAAACATATGACTGCAGACTCGTGCTAAATTAAGTAATAGCCGTTTACATGTCCATGGCATCAACAAACACGAGACGGGTACCACCGCCCAGAACTTGCCAGACCTATAAGATAGTATGATTAGCAGATGCTCATAAAAGTGCCGGATCAAGAGGAATGAACTTACATTGCTATTCTCATACTCGTCAATCGTCACGTTGAGCTGGTCCTCCGTGAAACCCTTGGCAAGTACTCTCTCCCGGATTCTCCTCATGCTCAATTCACTTCCGTCTCCATCACCCACAGCCGCAGCGCCACTCTCCATCATGCTGCGGATGAGGTAGTAGATCTTGCTGGTGGGGCTCTGGTCCAAGCCCGACTGGCCATCGTTAGCCAAAGAGGCCTTGCTGACCTCGACCAGGCGCAGGGCCTCGTCGACATCCTCGGTGACGACCTCGTTGCTGAATCGGAGACGCGCCAAGGCCTGCGACAGACGGACAACACCAAGCAGTGTACGGGGCGTGACATGAGAGAACTGCTTCTTCTCTGCCTCGTCCTTCTTCTGCTGCTTCCTCATTCTTACATAGGCTCCAACCATGTAATCGGAGACGGCGGAGGGAACAACAGGACGGTAGGTACGCGCCTTAGCGATGTACTGGCGAACTTCCTGAGGCGTGAACATAACGCCGGCATCCTCGTGTTCAGGGTGCTTGTTGTGCATGTGGACATAGGTGACGTGGCTAGCCAGCTCCTCGTCTGCTTCGCGCGAAGGGGTATCGAGAATAAGGAACATGACATCGAAACGCGAAAGGAGAGCCGCGGGAAGGTTGATGTTCTCAACCGGAGAGACTCGGGGGTTGTAACGGCCGTACAGCGGGTTGGCTGCTGCCAAGATAGAGGTACGAGCATTGAGGGTGGTCGTGATACCCGCCTTGGAGATGGAAATGGTCTGCTGTTCCATCACTTCGTGAATGGCCGTACGATCCGAGTCATCCATCTTGTCGAATTCATCGATACAGCAGATACCGTTGTCTGCCAGGACCAGGGCACCTCCCTCCAGAACCATCTCATCCGTCACCGGGTCCCGCATCACAGCAGCAGTAAGACCAACACCACTGCTTCCTCGACCGGTCGTGTACACACCACGTGGGGCAACCTTGGCAATGTACTTCAGCAGCTGAGACTTGGCAACACCAGGATCACCCATGAGGCAGATGTTGATGTCACCACGAATGTGCAGGCCGTCGCCCATCTCTTTCGTGACACCGCCGATCAGGAGCAGAAGCAGCGCCTTCTTCACATCGAGATGTCCGTAGATCTCAGGGGCAATTGATCGCGACAAGTACTCGTACATATTTCCGGACTTCTGGTATTGGTCAATCTTGCGGAGAGTTCGGCTGTCCATGGCCGTATCGTTGTATGACTTCTTGTGCTGCGTGATATGCTGGGCTTCCATGTAAGTATCAGTCAGCAAGCCCGCACGGATGGCTCTGAATCCGGTGTAAGGAGTGGGGAGGAAGATTCCTGCGATGTCAACAACATCTCCCGGGTTGAGCTGGCGTGTGAGACTTCCATGGCAGTGGATAGTCATGGTTCGCGGGATATGGCCAACAGGCACCTGGTCTGCCATTTCTTGGATCTTCACCTCTTGGAAAGGAACGAACTTGGAGGCGCGAGTGGAGAGGAACAGCTGTCCCTTGGAGTTGTTCGTCTTGCACTCTTCGGAGACACATTCTGACATAGGCAGGAACTGCTTCGTAGTAACCGGTTGGAACACTTCACATCCACAGCGATCACAAGTGTAGGCGTTGATTTCAACAGCTGGCTTGACATCCGAGACGCGAGTTGTGATACCCCGAACGGTGATCAAGCCACCAATGTGCTCTGCACGGACGTTGCGCACTGCAAGGGCCTTGGATTGGCGGTCGCTGCTCGAGCCGGAAGGGGTGAGGGGCTTGAAGTTTATAGTGTACCGGCGTGTCAGCTCGGGAGGAAAGATAGATTGGGCGGCATCGGCGTCGGCATTGGCCTCTGCAGCCATGTTCATGGCCTCGTTGCGCTTTTCACGCTGCGACATGATAACATCGAGCACATCATCCTTGAAACTGTGCGCGATTAGCCTCAAGCCCTGAAAGATGGTATTTCCGACCTACGTAATCTCCTTGCTTTCCTTCGGCATCAAAGCATCAACCGCACGAGAGAAAAGATCGATATAATGGTAGGTGTTCTTTTGCACGGAATCGACAAGCCGCAGGTCTTCGTCCTCCGAAAGGCCTTTCTCATACTGTAGCGGGTTAATTTTGGTCGGTAGACCAGTCTGGATAAGAAAGCACTCACAGTAGCGAGATCGTCCAGCTCGATCAGAATGTTTGTGCGCTCCCGGTCAGCGACTTCCTGCAATACCTGCATGTATTTGAGCTTGGGCTCCCGACGTCTGCGACCAGCTCGCTGTGCGCCACCCTCCTGGGCGACATCGTCCATAAAGTCATACTCGTCGCTGGTACCATCCTCGTCGATGCGAAGGTCTTCAATGGCTTCTGTCGCAGCCGATTCCGAAGCAGACTCAAAACTTTTGAAGTGCTTCAGAAAATCCTTGAAGGCATCGAGCTGCGCTTCGTAGTTGACGTTGAGGGTGTAAGCGTTCAAAGCCATGATGCTGTAGGGCAACAAGCCAGTTCAATTGACCAACAGCTGGCGATGAAGCGGGTTTGTGATGGTGCTAAAATCGCCTGGGGCCGAGAAGGTAAAAGAAAGGCGGCGGTTCGGCCAAAGCGTCCCTTGGCGGAGTTTCTTCCCAGTTGGCGGATTGCTTTTTTCGGCTGCCGCAGCAACACGTCGCGAAACGCGTCGATTTCGCGTCTTTCATGCCTTTTCTACTTATTATCCTTTCCGGGACTAGCGTATTTTGGTCAGTACAGCACGTGCTCTCGGAAGGGAACAACTCTCGGCCCGAACATGGGCGGCGGGCCACCTCGGCCAACGGCATCTGGTTGGTTTGCGGAGTCAATGCGAGTCTAATGAGTCCGGGGAGATGCTGAGGCCTGGTCTTCTCTCATTCTCCCCAAGATCTCCCGATTTCCGACTCCAATCCTTTTGCTGTGTTCGCTGACCGCACAAGCTTGCGAACCTGCGCCTGAGAATGGCGCCCCGAAAGCCCTCCACCACCGCGGAAGTTTCCCTGGTACCTTTGAAGAACTGTCTTGTAAACCTGCCACCGTCGCTGGTCGCACTGCTGGTCAATGCCAATACTGTAAGCTAGTCATCCCACTTGGACAGAGCACGGTCGTCTGGCTCCAGCTGACATAGATTTAGGCCGCACAAAATGTAATTGTCGAACTACAATATCGCCAAACTACGGGAAAGGCCAATGGCAACCCCGCGCAGCGGTCATGCTATCTGGGATGGACTGGAATGCCGAGTAAGCGGAAGCTGGCTCCCGTCGTGGGAAGAGATGGTATCAGCAGTGCGTCTGCCGCCAGGGAGCAGGATATCTCTACTGTAGAGCTGGACACAACGTTTGGGAGACTCTTGGGTCTTGCTGATGGCCAAAGGGTAAGTGTGTCGGTCGCGACGGGGACCCTCAAATGCTAATGCGCCTAGGTCGGGATATACATCCATCTTGATCCACCCGTTGCGCATACCATTAATATTGAACCACTGACTCCGGAAGATTGGGAGAGTATGTTTCGGGTCCCCTTCTATAAGTTACCGGCTTGGCTGATTACCTGCAGTTATTGAGCTTCACGCGACCTTCCTCGAGCTTAACCTTTTGTCGCAAATTCGAGCTCTCCCCAACCCCACATACACGACGCCCCAACCTGATCACATGCACCCTCTTGCATTGCATCTATCTCCAACCTCCACGGCCAACATTGTCATCACATCTTTGACCCCTGCTCCCCCGAATACCTCACCTTTCGCGAAGATAGCGCCAGATGCGGAAGTCATTGTTGCTCCGAAGACTCGTCCGAAGGCCAACAGAGGCACCCGGGGAGATAGCCGGAGCGTCACTGGAAGCAGCAGGAGAAGTGTTGGGGGGCGGAGTAGTGGAAGCACCGTCCGGCCAAAGGGCAGTCGATCTGACTCGACGAGCAGGGGCTCCCTCTTCTTTCGGGGAATTGACCGCCAATTGTCGGAGCAGTACTTTGATGAAGAGGCAGAGGAAGACAACAATGATGGATTCCGTGTTTGGCTTGATCCGGACATGCTTGCCACAAACGAGCTTCGGGGCGCAGGATGGGCTTGCATTTCGGTTGTCCAGCCTGCTGGCCTGAAAGCGCCACCCGACCCGCAGCAACAGGTGGAGCAAACGGAACAAAAGGGTAGCGATGCTGGGGCACCAGCAGCCAAGCTGGTTGCGAGGTTGATTCCGTGGACTGATGCACCAGATACTCAGCATGTTGCAGTATCCACATTATTGTCTACTGCTCTCGGTGTTGAGGGTATAGTGGGTGGTATCGTTCGGGTCGAGGCGGCCCCTCCGCCGCTACAGCGGTCCACGGTGAAAGCCCTCAAGGTGTATCCCTTCATGGCTGATACGACAAAGAAGAAAGATGGGTTGAAATTCGGATCCGATACCGCAGCTGCGAGGGATGCATTGGCAGAGCGTATCAAGATGATTTATGGGAGTACTGGATCAGATAAGGGGCTACTAGCAGGACCCTTGACCGATGGGATGGTTTTGCCTAATACAGACTACCAGGCAGCAGGACCCAGTTTCGACGGTGCTATTCTCCGATTCGACCCTCCGCTGAAGACCGGTTCCGAGACGGCAAAGCCAGCAACAAACTGGCTCCTGGGTTCAGATGCTAAGCTGTCGCTGGAAGTGCAGGCTGAGATTCCCCGTCCAGCAGAAACAAGCTCCTCCGCCCATCCGTCGGAGGACGCAATACCACCTACTGTGCCTGAGATGGTTGGAATCGACCGTATTATCTCTCAGTCTATTGATAACCTGACCAAATCATCCTCTCTTTTGCTCACGGGTGGTCTGGGATCTGGAAAGACGGCTTTGAGCCACCTACTAGCCCACCGTGTGCGAAAGGACTACTTGTTTAACGTGAAATATTTCTCTTGTCGGAAATTAGTTACCGATGAGACCCGGATCTCAAACATCAAAGAAACGCTGAACCGCCTTTTCATGTCCGCTTCGTGGTGCGCACGTCTTGGCGGACAGTCGCTGGTAATTCTAGATGATCTCGACAAGCTGTGTCCTGTCGAAACGGAGCTTCAAGTGGGAGGGGACAATGGTCGCAGCCGCCAGAACAGTGAAGTGATCTGCTCGATGGTGCGGGAGTATTGCACCATGAACTCCTCGGTGGTTCTGCTGGCCACTGCGCAATCGAAAGAGTCCTTGAACAATGTTATCATCGGAGGTCACGTCGTCCGAGAGATCATCCATTTGAGGGCTCCGGACAAGGAAGGTCGCCGCAAGGTACTGGAGCAACTTACCAGCCAGGACAGAGGTGTCCCACCTGCATTTAACGGACATGCACGAAACTCCAGCTCCTCTACGCAAGACTCATGGCTGAACCCTTCCAATCCAGGAAGTCGCCCCAGCTCAGCCGGCGCAGACGGGTTTGTGCTTGGTAGGGACGTGGATTTCCTAGAACTTGCTGGCAAGACAGACGGGTATATGCCCGGAGATATGGTCCTTCTCGTGTCCCGCGCACGAAATGAGGCTCTTATTCGCTCTGTTCAAGATATCTCGGCCTCTTCGAGAGCCATTACGCTTGGGGCGGATGATTTTGAGAACGCTATTAAAGGCTTCACTCCTGCGTCTCTTAGAAACGTCACGCTTACCTCGTCTACTACGACCTTTGCTGGCATCGGTGGGTTGACTGAGACCCGTAAAATGCTCCTCGAGACGCTGCAGTATCCCACCAAGTACGCACCTATTTTTGCACAATGTCCTCTACGTCTGCGCTCAGGTCTGCTGCTGTACGGATACCCTGGATGTGGAAAGACCTTGCTCGCCAGTGCGGTAGCAGGAGAGTGTGGCCTAAACTTCATCTCTGTCAAGGGTCCTGAGATCTTGAACAAGTATATTGGTGCGAGTGAAAAGAGTGTGCGGGATCTCTTCGAACGGGCGCAGGCTGCTCGGCCTTGTATTCTCTTCTTCGATGAGTTTGACAGTATCGCACCTAAGCGTGGGCACGACTCTACAGGTGTCACCGATCGCGTTGTCAACCAGCTTCTGACACAAATGGATGGTGCCGAAGGTCTCTCTGGAGTGTACGTCCTTGCGGCTACATCCCGACCAGATCTCATCGATCCCGCACTGCTACGACCAGGACGTCTCGACAAGTCTTTGATCTGTGACATGCCCAATCATGCCGATCGACTCGACATTATCCGAGCAGTGAGTGAGAAGCTCGCAATGAACGAGGAAGTTGCTGCCCGTCTGGATGAAGTAGCCGCCCGCACAGAAGGCTTCTCCGGAGCTGATTTGCAGGCTGTCGTATACAACGCGCACCTTGAGGCAGTCCACGATGCCCTCGGCGACCACTCCGTGAACGACAAGTCCACGGCTAAGAATGGCACGAAGTCGTCATCAACCGCTACCAGCACCAAGTCATTTATTCAATTCCTCTACTCGGCTTCCGAACAGGAGGCCGGGAAAGTATCGATGCCTTCTCCAGCCGTTGTTGCGTCCAAGCTCGATGCAATCAAGAGTGCACGACGACGCCAGCGACAGTCCGAGCAAGGCACCGCAAACAACACGCAGACCGCAGCACCCAACGGAACTGCCCAGGAGGAACCGCGCGAGGAGATCATCGTGCGCTGGGAGCATATGGAACGTTCTCTGAACACAACGCGTAGCTCCCTCAGCCCCACCGAAAGACGCCGCTTGGAAGGCATCTACCGGGAATTCATCTTCGGACGGAACGGCGAGATGCCCACCGGCGAAGGTAGCCAAGAGATAGGAGGACGGACGAGCTTGATGTGAACCATGTATATTAATACCACATGCATATACTATTCCATATTCCATTAAATTACTCCACTAGCATGCTGTCGCTTACATTGCTTAGATCTGGAATGGTAGAGAACCAACCGTATGTCTTATTCTATTACTTAAGGAGGCTCTGCGTCTTGGCTTCTTTAGCTTTGACCTTGGACACACCATTATATCCATGATTTAAGAGAGGAAAGAGAAACCAAGGAACTTCGCCTGTGAGGCCCCTTAGCCAGAACTTCCTCTAGGCTCTTTCTTTCCAGGCCTGGCAGTCCCTTTTCGCGCCGGGCCTCGACTTCCTGCCAAAACACAACAATAACTCGGCGAACCCAGTCCTGGTAGCTCTGTCGATTCGACGAGACTCCATCACTAGACACAGTATCCTCTTGATCATTCCGTTCTATTTCGCACGGCCAACAAAGACAAGCATCATACTCCCCCTTGAATCTTTCCCAGTACGCCTTCTGTGTAGCCTCAAACGAACCAGTCAGGTTCTCATGGACTACTTTATCATTATGGTCCATAAACTTCCCTACGTGTCGGATACAGAAGCGGCGGTACGGCCCTGGGGACAGCTGGTGCGTGTGCCAGAACAGATCCACGTCGGATGTTGGGGTAACAGATAAATTATTTGACGGGTGAGCTAGTTCCAAGAAGTTGCGATATTTTTGCTGTGCTCGCGGCAGAGTACCGACGAGTTCCGATGGACTGGTTGTTGACCGAACACAGAGGGCTGGTGAACGCAGCCAGCATTGCTTGTGCATCTCGTCGACGAAGCGCATCCCGCGCAACACCGAGGAGTAATGGGCTGATGATGCCTTTGTCACGGGGGATGTTGGTATGTAGAGCGATAACATTGTCTCTACTGCCCATTGTGGTGTGTTGCTTTCGTAACTTGCGGTGTGGATAGCGTGGAGGAAGGTTTCGCGTTTGGTGTTGGATTCTAGGATATGTATTGGTAACGCTCTTGCTAGGGGATATAATGCTTGAGCGAGATCGGGGTTCGAATATGTTCCTCGAAGTTGCGACTCTCTGGTTTGGCGCAGGTGAAGTAGATCGCTGCGAAGGGCGTCCACGGACGGTGCGTAGCCGCAGTCGCATTCAAGCTCGAAACCCTGATTGATGTCTTCGGTCTGGGCGGTAGGTATGATTGGTAAGTTCTTGGTAGCATGGCAATATGGACAGTTTAGATCGTAGACTAGCGGATGCGTTTCGTTACAAAGCTCTTCAAGTAGATCGGCTGATTGTCCGGAAGTTTTTTCGAAGAACTCTCTGGCAGCTGGAGGTATACAGTATCTGGTTGTCTTGATGTCGATTGCATCAACCTGTAATCTTTAGCCAAATGGGTTTCGGGCAGATTTTATATTCTTTTACTTACCAGTGCCTGCCAGGGGAAAAGGATGCGGCGCATGTGAGGTACGTCCAGCCGAGAACAGTCGTCTGCGTACATAACAGGCTGTAGCATATACGCATGCCAGATTATCATCACATCTAGAGCACGTATCAGTAAGGCCTGTGTAAAGTTTATACTTATAAGGGGCATAGCTACCTATAGGCGGTAATAGATCGGCTGGTAGCTCCAAGAAGCCTTCCTCGGGAATTGTCCTTGATAGTTTCTGGTGGACTGCGTGCCACCACGTGTAGAATCGAGGGACTGAAAGCTCCATAAGGCCAGCTAGCAACGGACTGGAAACGCTCGTATTGCCTGACTGCGGGCTTACGCTGCCCGCCGAGAGCAATGCAAGCAATTTTGTGGCAGTCTCGCCACTAGTTGCCTTTTCCTTCCACGCCCACATGGCTTCCATTAGCAACAGATGAGCAGCTGCTTGAGCTATGGAGGGGACAGAATCTTCTGCCACATGAGACAATTCGGTTGGGCTCATGATGGACGTGTCAGGAGCGGAAGCCTCTTTGTCCTGCGCGTCCGCTTCATCGAAGACTGGACGTTGCGCGGTTGCCAACGGCGCATCTGAAATGGTTTTGCCGGGTGCATGAACGCCGGACAAGAATGCCGACACAATGGAGAGCACCGCCATTCTGCAATGCTTCTATTTGTAATGATGGGTTGAAAATCAGAAGCAATCGCCCCTATCGGTGTCGAGATGTGACAGTCTATATAGTATGCTTCGGGGACATATGGAATTGAATCTGGCCATGTCTTTCTAAGCTCATGAGGTCCATTGGAGCTACGTCTGAGCAGGATCTATTTGTTAACTGAACCGCGTCACGACTGACCGAAAACGGGGGATGTAAAATGTATAGTTGGTCCCATCGATAAGTAGAGGAGACTTGATAGGGCCGGTTCTGTCGAGTTCCAAGGCACCGAGTCAAGCCCCGATAAGGACATATAGACGTTGTTAGTTAGCTATGTCCGTTGTATATGACTTGGTACCACCGGTTGCAGTCGCAATGATTCATCACTATACCTGAATCTCTCTCGGATATCCCCGATGAACCCCGTCCGGATGCAGACTTTCAGTCCCAACAATCTGGTGACCCTCAGGTATAAAATTGTGCTAGAGTGCTTGTGGTTGCAGCTGGTCGTAAAAGTCAGGCCTTCCACTCGAATAATTCGGGATATAAGATCCATCACTTCAGATTTTACTGTCAACATTATGCCGTTCTTCAAGAAGAATCCAGTCCCTCCCCAGCCTATGGACGGCAATTGGGGGACGTGCGACAAGAAAAACAACGCACAGTAAGTTGTAGACTCTGCACTGGTCCGACGGTAAAGGGAGATAAATCCAAGTCGCTAACATAATCAGCAGCCAATCCCAAGCTTATTGCTGCGATGCCAGTCAGTCCCAAGCTTATTGCTGCGATGCTAGCCCTTCATCTCAGGCCTACTGTTGCGATGCCAGTCCATCTCAAGCCCAGTGCAATGAGAAATAAGTGGATCGATTGGCGCTGGGGTTCTGGGGTTCATTACCCTGTTAATACATCATCACTGTATGCTCTCCGCAGGTAACGAATGTGTAATCTAGCAGACCAAATCTTTAATGATAACATCCATGGTACGGGGCACAATTTACCGATAGTTGACTGTTCTTTTATGAGCCTTGTATATGCTTAGTGATAACCGGGGTGTCTCTCATCTCAATTCCGAACCCAAGATGCTCGGGTAGCTCTTCGATTTCATGATGTAACAACCTTTCTTAGATGAACCAGTTGATAACTATCCGTCGTCAAATCAAAGTGCCGGTGTAGGGTTGCATTATTAGTAGTACGTAGTGGGGAGTACCAGAACAATCGCTACCGCATCTGTATAGATCGCTTACCAAATACATCCATAGTCTGGTCCGAGTGAATTTTATTGTTGCGCAGAGATAGTTCTAGCCACACTCCCATTATATAGAGTTCATCAATATGACAGTTCAGTCACATCCGACACCTTGCTTTTTGTTACAGACTGTTGTTCTAGCATATACAATTCCATTGTAATGGTAGTCTAGAACAGAACCTTTCATACTCTGGGATAGTGCCGATGCAAACTATAGTAGTAAGTATACCCTGCGTCTAATAGAGTCCATCTCGTAGAATCCAGTGATCCGCGGACTAAGAAATACTACATACAGTATTCATACGACGTTACATGCATGTCGATCTGGTCAAGTCAAAATGAAAACTATCTACCGCGCTTCAAGCATCATACTTGGGCAGAAACTCCGCGCGGCTCCGCGGAAGCTGTAACATTACGCGACAAGAGTCGCTTTTCATCCCGCTACTACCCATCCATTCATCGCAAAATGAATACCTCTGATCGCTACAACCTACCTGACATAATGGATTGGTTCAGTGTGCAAACAAGCTAGAGTCAGTGTAAATGAGTGTCTGCCTCTATACTCCTTCACGACTACAAAGTACTTACTACCTCTGCCAATTTGATGTTCCCCCCTTCCCGCCCCTCGCTTACTCAACCAATCAGAACCTTCCATTTACTAACATCTTTCCTATATAATTCAAAGTAAAGTAGTAACTGGTGCCTTCGGGCATTTGGTCAATTTGAAACGATACAGAGAAGATTAGCATGGCCCCTGCACTAAGGATGACACGCTCAATCAAAGAGAAGCTACCAGTTTTTTTTGCAACTTTTACAGACTTCATTTGAGAGGTATGTTGTTTTTGAGGCCAGTCTGGTGTGGTTTGTGGAGGATGGGGGTTCGAATCGCGGCTGGGATGGTCTTTTTTCTTTTCCTTTCTTATTGGTTATGGGGGCAGTTGGCTAGCAGCACTACGGGTGATATTAGGGGTCACCCGGAATTTGAATAATGTTTAAGGCCATTAGAAGGGGGTTTGCTCAATTATTACCGTATAATGGGGGTTGTGATATACGCACGTATAATGAGGGGTGACTTCATTCAAGGGGCTCGATGGAAATTTCCCTTCAGATGCATAAAGTTGGTCTAAGGGATGCGCGGTCAGAAAGAAGGGATACAATAAGCCATACTCCTTATTTCAACTTCAGGATCGTAGTAATGACCGACAGGAACGTCCCATTAAGATTCCAGGGCTATCACTCTTGGGGGTGTGGCTTCCTAGTATCCGCTATAAATTGCCATGGCCCAGGTTCCTGCATTTTGTAGCACGGACTAAAGAATCCTTTGGTGTTTTACGTACACAGTCAGGGCTTAACTAGTGACGGGCTTTATACCGAGGTGGGCAGTGCCACCGTGGGGCCTGGACGGCAAATTTAATTGTCGTACGTAGGCATGCGCGGGGTAGTTAATCAAAAAGTTCAAAGTAGATGATAGACTATGGCTTTCGACTTGCATTTTGGTGGTTATGTTCGAAATGTATGGTCCGGTATATCCGCCCAGGATCCTGACCCTTTTCATCGTCGAGTCGAATTGGTAGGATGATTATATTTTGTACGTGCTTCTGAATCCTCGCTGGCGATGTAGAGGAGGAGTATTCTCGCGCTGGTGGAGATTCTTATTCAAAGGGTCCACCATATATGCCCATACCATAATGTTCGGTGTGACAAACCCTTTGCTACTTTGGTACTATTCAGGACGACGGACGCGCCGACCCGGGTTTCAGGAACGGCTTGGATCAAAACGACTCAATGCCACACTCGTCGGGGTCTACTCCTTATCGGGTAATTCTCGTTGGGTCGGAAGAGCGAAGATCTCCGTTCTGGGTCAATATAGGTTAACGCACGTCAATCAGAGAGGCTTGGCTGATTGTGAAGGAAGGCAATCGCCGAGCTCTGTATTGGAAATTGTGTCCGAACCGCGGATACCAGCCTGTTGCATGGAATAAGCATATATGTTGCATCAATCAATGGTCGTCAATAATCATGTCTATAAGGATAGCATCAGGTTAGACTGCGGGGTTAGAATGGCAATGTCTTGTAAAGTTGTAGGATGAAGGGTTGTTGCCATGCGATGCTCGGTCTTGTTGGCCTGAATGATCGACATGAGGACGGATAGCGACACTTGTTTTCACATTAGTTTCATTGCTTTTGGTCATCGCAGGCTCAGCGCCGTTTCTGGATATATCCACTTGGAATGACCGGCTGTAAACTAACAAACACCCTTGCGAACCAGCCAGGGGCAATTAGAACCTTATATCGGAGCATACGGAATCCATTGCTGTATATATAGCCTCGCTCAGTACTAGGCAGCGAAATTAGCTTGAGAAAAACAACCCCAAACTTTGGAATCTCCTTATTGACAACACTTACAGTTGGACTTGTTTGGGTCCTGAAAATACCCGAGAGTCATCCAAAATTAGACCCTCAATACCAGCGAGGGACTGAATAAGGTGAACGGCTAAACCGACACCTTCGGTGGAAAGAACCCACTGTAGACTAGATGATGGACATGCTCGGTTTCCCGAATGGTGCAGGTGGAGAACGGCGGACATCCCTCGATGGCCGAAACGCGCGTTGAAGGATGCTGAAGAACGGCCCATATTGATTAGAGCCAGCACTAATCAGATAAGGCTCCGTTGATGGGGATCAAATGGTAGGGTAGAAGACGGCACGGTGGAAAATGTCATTACCATTCATCATGCTTATTTATAATGAGGGATAAACAGCCTGGGTAACTGCTGTTTCTCGTAGCAGCTGGCCTGCTTTCCAATCGTCTTGTTCCATTGGGGTTGAGCTTCACTCATCCCCTGCCCTTCACCTTCTCTAGCCTTTTCTGACTTTTCTCTACCCTGTAATTCGTCTTTCGGCCACTTCAGCAGGTATTCTATCGCAATACCCTGCGGATGTCATTCCAGTCAATATCATATAATGCAGGCCCCGGTATTCTGGCGCTCAACTGGACGGCGGCGGCCATCGCCATCCTGGTTATGATCCTGCGGGTAATTGCCAAACTTCGTATTCGACACTATGCAGTGAATGACACGGCTATGTTATGTGCGCTGGTCGGTTCACACCAAGCCGGGCGGATGTCATACTCATGCTGATTACTGCATATCAGGTCCTTGCTTTGGCGGCATCCGTCATGATTACCTTGGCTATTGCTCATGGCTACGGACGACACTCTCAGTACCTGAGTAAGGCAAACCAGGTGCTGGCCTTGAAGTATTACACAGCTTTCCAGTGTCTATCGATCGTCGCCACTGGCGCTGGCAGAGCTGCCTTCACTTTATATTTGTTGAATATTTTACGTCAAGAAAGATATCTGGGATGGATTCTGTGGCTCATCTTTGCGCTGCAGATCATCATCAACATTGTCTCGGTGGCTACCATTCTTGCTCAGTGTCAGGATATTAACTCTCTTTGGGATGCGCATGTGGGCACGGCATGCTGGAATCCAAATGTCGAGCGTATCTACGGCTATGTACAGTGCTGTACGTTTATTGACCTGATCCGGTGCGCTTGCCACAGGAAGACACTGACAGATATGATATAGCGATCAATACTGCATCCGACCTCTTCCTTGCCGTCTTCCCCACCTACACCTTCTGGAGCCTGAGTTTGAAACTGCGCGTCAAAATTAGTCTCGTCGTGTTGATGGGGTTTGGCCTAGTGTGTGTTTTCTCTCGATCAATGACCAGCATATTATCTCAGATCGCTAATTACAACACGCAGAGCCATGGTGGCCTCGGTCATGCGAATCGTCTATCTGCGTTCTATCGCTGAGCGTGGCGACCAAACCGCAGCAACGGTCAAACTCACTCGATGGGCGCTGGCGGAGTGTTACCTGGTCATTGTCACGGCCTCCATGCCATGCATTCGGTCCCTGATTATCGCGTCTGTCCGGAATATCTCGAGTGGCAATCGTTCGCGGGTGGTCGGATCACAATACAAGATCAGTCCGCCACTTCCCAGTCGCGCAGCATACAGCACTTGGGCAGACGCACCACCGCCGCTCAGTCGGGAATATAACCTTCGCAGTTATCCTATGGAGCTGGAACGGGTGGGAGGGCGCGCAATCACCAAACAGGTGGATATCACGGTGATCAGGAATCGCTCGAGGAGCACCAGGAACGGCGACTATCGCCGGTGTTAATGAGCCATGTAAATATTTATGTGTGGTGCTACTACCAGTGGTTATGTGTGATGGATTGTGATGAATAATATATATTAACGTTAACCCTACTAACTATATTACTGTTTGATGATACGATGTATAGGACACAGATCGTCACGAATGCCTGTCCCATTTTCGATCTTTAGGTACACTGAACCCCTGAGATTCCGGGCGTAATCAAACCCAAAGAACAGCCATGGATCCAAAAACCCAAGGCCATTGATTGCCGAATGCCGGCCAACTCCTCGGCGTGGATTGTGGAGAGACGGGCGGCGGCGATCCGTGGCGACTCTCCACCACTTCTTCTCCCCAACGAACGTTCACTAACCCAGACCCCGGCTTTGCGGGCTTATCTCTCTGCAGTGCCGAGGCCCGAGCAACTCCTCCCTGCGCTCTCTTAAACGGCGGTCTATCATTCCATTCCTCTCTCTCTGTCCTTCTTCCATCCCCTGTTGACCGGGCACATATACCATAGACCATTCTCTCCTCTTTATTATTTTTACATTTGTGATCGCCCATTTCTGTGCAACCCTGCATTAATAATCCCCCGATCTCCCTCTTCTCCTCTTCCCCAGCCGTTTTCCCCGCACGACTCCGCCATGCCTGTCTCCTCACGCTATCCTCCCGTTGACATTCCGGACCTTGACATCTGGTCTTTTCTCTTCGAACGCCAGGATAAGCCCTTTCCAGATGATAAGGGTATGTCCTTATTTCCCCCAACTGCCAGAGCACTTCCTGCGAATCAAAATAGTCTATCCATCAACTTGCGCGACCTGTTCATTTCATCCGAGACCCCCGCTGACATCACCCAGTGATCTACCAGGATGCGGACACACAGCGATCCTACACCTACCAACAAGTCAAAGATGCCGCCCTTACCTTTGGCAAGGGCCTCAAGGCCACCTTTGACTGGAAGAAGGGCGACGTACTGGCCCTCTTCACCCCGAACAGCATCGACACCCCAGCCGTGATGTGGGGTGCTATCTGGGCTGGCGGTGTCGTGTCGCCGTCCAACCCAGCCTACACAGCCGAGGAGCTGGCCTTCCAGCTCAAGAACTCCGGCGCCAAAGTGCTCGTCACGCAGGCGCCCTTCCTCCAGGTAGCCACCGCGGCAGCGAAAGAAGCCGGCATTCCAGAAGACGGAATCATCCTCATCGGCGACCAGCGCGACCCCCAAGCGCGCATCAAGCACTTCACCTCCATCCGCAACATCTCCGGCGCTACTCGCTTCCGCAAGCCCAAGGTCAACCCATCCCGCGACCTCGCCTTCCTGGTCTACTCCTCCGGCACGACCGGTGTCCCCAAGGGCGTGATGCTCTCGCACCGGAACATCGTCGCCAACATCCTCCAGCTCGCCGCCGGCGAAGCGGGCAACCTCACCTGGAACGGCGGCGTCGACGGCACAGGAGACCGCATCCTAGCCTTCCTCCCCTTCTTCCACATCTACGGTTCGCATCCCTTCCCCTCCAATATCACCCAACCCAAACCCCCACTAACCAAAGTCCAACACAGGTCTAACCTGCCTCCTCCACCAAACGATCCACAAAGGCCTGCACCTCTACGTAATGACCAAATTCGACATCGAGCAATGGTGCTCGCACGTCCAAAACTACCGCATCACATTCAGCTACGTCGTGCCCCCCGTCGTCCTCCTATTGGGCAAACATCCCATCGTCTCCAAATACGACCTCTCCAGCCTCCGCATGATGAACTCCGGCGCCGCCCCGCTCACCCAAGAACTCGTCGAATCCGTCTACGCCCGCATCAAATGCGGCATCAAGCAAGGCTACGGCCTCAGCGAGACCAGCCCCACCACTCACACTCAACCCTGGGAAGAATGGCGCTCCACCATCGGCTCCGTCGGTAAACTCCTCCCCAACATGGAAGCCAAGTACATGACCATGCCCGAGGACGCCTCCGAACCCGTCGAAGTGCCCGCCGGCGAAGTCGGCGAACTGTACATGCGCGGCCCCAACGTCTTCCAAGGGTACCACAATAACCCCGCCGCCACGGCGGAATGTCTCTCTGAGGACGGCTGGTTCCGCACTGGTGATGTCGGGTTCCAGGACCCGCAGGGGAACTTTTATATCACGGATCGCGTTAAGGAACTCATCAAGTATAAGGGGTTCCAGGTGGCGCCGGCGGAGTTGGAGGGCATTTTGGTTGATAATGAGGCTGTCGATGATGTCGCGGTTATTGGGGTCGAGAGTGAGGCCCATGGCACGGAGGTGCCGCTGGCGTATGTGGTTCGCAGTGCGAACAGTCTCAACTCGGGAGTGAGTGCTGCGCAAGAGGCGGAGAATATTGTTAAGTGGTTGGATGCGAAGGTTGCGTATCATAAGAGGTTGAGAGGAGGTGTGAGTTTCGTCAAGGAGATTCCCAAGAGCGCCAGTGGGAAGATCCTGAGACGGTTGTTGAAGAAGAAGGCTAAAGAGGAGGGCATCGGGGCTGGTGCGGCGGGGCCGAAGGCCAAGTTGTAGTTGTAGTTGTTTTTCTCTTTTATCTCAATCTTGGGTTACGAAGGTTTGGATAGATATGTTGTACATAGAATTATTTTTATGAATATTTTGGTCTTGGATACTATGTTAATTTCAACCATATGGTGAACATGAATTGTTATCAGGTGGTTTGATCGTATCAACATTCATTTTCCATATCATTATTATCATGAATATAGTTTCCTCATACGAAGTATCATAACGATAGGCTTACAACCCAAACCTGCTTACCATCCCCTCAACATCCTCTCCCTCCACCGCATCTACACCCTCCCTCGCAACCCGTTCAACAGCAACCTCCACATCCTCTTCTCCCTCCAACAAATCCAACCACCCCTCAACATCATCCCTCGCCAGCAGCGCATCCGCCACAATCGCCACATCCTCCCTCGACACATTCGCTCTTCCCTTCTTCGTCTTCCCCAGATCCACCTTCCTCGTCGCAGGCGTATCCGTCAACGTCCCCGGTCGCAGATTAATCGCCTGCAGCGGCTGCGCCGCCCCCGCAGCAACAAGCTTCTTGCGCGCCGCCGCCAACGCGGTCATGTACTCGTCCGCTTCCAGCTTGGCCTTGGCATATGCGGGGAGGACGTTGTAGAAGACGTTTTGGAGGCCCGCCCATTCGTCGTCAGACAGCCAGGTGGGTTGCTTGCGTCGGCTGCCGATCCAGGAGACGAGGAGGAATTTACGTACGCTGGGGTGTGAGAATGAGGCGCTGAGGAAGTGCTTCGCTGCTACTTCATCGATGGCGTGCGTGCGTGCGGGTCCACCTTTGCCGCCGGCTCCTGGGTTATGAGAAATGGGGTGGTTAGTTGGGTGGACGTGGTACTTTGGGAGGAGGGGGGAACCGTTGGATGGATGGAGCGTTGGATGTGATGTGTGGATTTGAGCTGGACTTGCAGGTGTGCAGGGGGGATGGTGCAGATAGATGTCTTAACAGTATTGTGGGCACTGGGGAAGGGAAGGGGGATGTTTCAATCCCAACCACGGCTTTCTGCATGTTGGCATACATACCTGCAGACCAGACTACATAGTCTGGGGAAACGCGGTCGAGGACATTTTTGGCATCGGCGTCGCTTTTGATATCGTCGAGGCTGGAGAGGAGGACGCTCAGCTTGCCTTTGGCGCCTTTGCCTAAAGCAAGGATCTCGTTCTCGTGCTCTGCGTTGCGGATGACGCTGGTGACGTTCCAGGAGCGGGCGAGGAGAAGCGGGGTCAGTTGCAGAGCCACTTTGCCGTGGCCGCCTAGGAGGAGGACTTGCATGGTTGTGATAGATGTGTCGATTTGATTGATATATTAGATAGAGCTGTATCAATTAGTGGAAATCTGACAGAGAAGATTTGAGAGCTGGTGTTTGAGCTTGAAGCTCCAGAGCTTGTCTTGTTAAGGCCCGGCTTGGTGCGGAGAACGGATTAGTAATGCCGAGAGGGGATGATGATGTTTTTGAGCTTCTAACCAAATAGCTGATTGACTGCTGTGGTCAGTGGTTACACCGCGGTCGGATGGCGTCATGTGCGCGGCCGTCTGTTTGTCTACGGCGTTCAATGCACACGCAAAGTGTCACAGCTCTGCAGGCAGCAGCTCTTCTTACTTTTTCTCCTACGATGTTTGTTGTGTTCGTGCACAATGTCTTAGGTGCTGCAAGGGTGAGTGTGGGATCGGAAACCCATTGTCCTTTGCAGCAAACATCTCCATGGCAGCCAGCCAGCCATCTGTTAGAGATGCGCCTTGCGATGCCCCTTGATAAACAATCTTGTGGTGATGGTGTGGTTGTCGATCAGACGAGCCTTGCCAGGAGCCGGATTCAAGGCTGGAGTTACTCGGCAATCAGGGCGAGGGTATAACACTAGGATGTTCCAGGATCACATCTCTCCTCAATATTGTGTAGAGTTCCAGACCATGTACTCCGTAGTAAAGGTAAATGGCACTGGGGATATGAAAGGAACTCGCATCCCTAACCCCCGCTGTTGAGGGTGAAACACCGGCCGATCGGTTGGAAGGAGAAGTCATTTCCGCGTAAAGCTTGAGCAGCGGACGATTTTGATCCCAGGACCCAGTCGATCGGAGATGGATTGGTTCTGTCCCTCTCTCTCCCTCTCTCTCTCTCTCTCCCAACGGGATAAGGACCTCGAGCCGTGGCCGATGCTCGCTCAGAATAGCGGAAAATTATTCGTTTGTGAGCTAGCTAGCTAGTAAATTAGTAAGTTAGTGGATGTCTGGAACCTAGGTTGAGTGGGATTAGTCAGAGATGCGGTTCTCTTCTTTCCCCTCTTCATTATGGATCTCGGAAATTGAATTAATTAAGGGAAGGTCGAAAGGACTGATCTGGAACCCTCGGGAGGAGTCGAGGATTCTTGGTTGGGCCTTTCTTGGTTCTGGTCCACTACCGGTTAGTATCCAGCGATAATTCAGCGCGGGAGAGATGGGGGTGCCTTGACCTTGGCAGCATCTTCTTGTCTTTCGTCTTGTTTATACTGGACTGGTAGATGACAGGCTGCAGGAGACGATGGAGACGCGGGATGGGACGAGATTAATGACTTCATGATGATGTGGCTGACCATCGTAGATGTGATTGACTCCAGTTAGTTATGATTGTTCTTATGTTATGCCGCGTATGCTAAGCCAAGTAAGATGATGATAATTTGCAGTGCACCCACCGACATCGTGCCTGTGCCATTCTTTCTTTGTCTGTGCCAGAGTTCTACCGAACGGGCGGAGATAATCCGGCCCAAGTCCCGTCTGGTCTGCCACTACTGGACGTCTCTACATATTCTACACAATAGCTACATTTGAATAACTACTTACTGTGTGCTCACGAAGCTTCCAATGTTCTTTCCTCCCACTCTACTGTGTACTATTTAGTCGGGAGTGCATAGTTTCCGTACCACTGGGCGTATTGACTAACCAAAATATGGTCTAGTCAGGGGCACTCACCAGACCCGGCACAAGCTGGCTGGCTGACTGAGTGCTAGTCTGACTGCTGGCTTGATCCTGTGACTGACTCTAATTCCCCTCGGGGTGAGGCTGCTCTCTCTCCTGGGGAAGCCCCATCCGAATATAGGCGGTACCATACCCGTAAAGAGGAGGTAAAGGCAGAGCTTTTTAGTTGGTCATCCGAATTCAAAGTAGGTTCGACCATCCAACGGCTGTCAATTTCTTTCCCGAAACCAGACCCGTGACCCTGACTCGGTCAATCTACGTTCTTTGCCTTGCTAGCAACCCCCATCTCTAAACATCCACCAAATGCTTAGGTTTACCAGGAATATCAATGGAGCCCGTGGATGACGTACTGGATCTTGAATCTCACAAACCGGTCCACCTCAAACCAAATGACTGATGAACCATGCCGCCTGGTCCGAATGAGAAACCGGTTCCCAGCGTGATTAGTCAGGACCATCAACCGTCGGAGCATGAACTCACTCGAGAGACGGTTCGGATTAAGGTGCTCCTCAGGGTTATATCCCCATCCTGCTAACTTGCCTTGCTGATGGCCCTGTTTGGCTAGCGCGTCATGCTGGACCTCTTGTTTCCCCCTCTCTCCAGGAGGGGTATGCGCTATTTTATGCATGTTCAATATTGGCACTGGTGTTCTCGACGGGGTACTCCGGACTTATCTAAATCAGAATTTGACATTGGTATGGCGCGGGAGGAGAGCTCAGATTGCGGAGCACATCGTATGCTTTGATCGCGACTAGCTGCATCGGATACATGTCCATGCAGGAGGACTGCAGGCCATGTACTCCGATTGCGTCCGTGAGTCTATCAGGACAACGCGATAACCGTCGACTAATGCCGATGATATCAAATACTCGCGTCTGAGTAGCGTGGGGACAGACACCAGCGACTAATTCTACTATTGATCCAGTAATATGATGGTGGTGACATGGTGTAGGCTACCCGACGGCAGTCGAGATGATCGTCCCGCTCGTCCAAATTTCCGGAACCCCTCTAGCGGTCTTGGGATAAAGTTCAAAGGGCATGAAACAGCATCCGATAGACAGGTCATATTTTCGCGAGGGTGAGGTGGAATAAAGTCCAGTTCAGCTGGTCGCTTCAGAATTTTTGCCTCTGGAGGTAGCGCCCCCCCCGATTGCCTGATGAAGAGGGTCCCTGAAGGCAGCAGTTGCTTCACTAGATTTCAGACACCACCAATGAAGTTTGTTTGACGGGGTGCACATCACAGCGTTAAGTGAAGGGTGCCCTGAATATACTAGCGACTTAACTACTGAATTCAGTAGTACTCGAGGTCGCGAGGACTTTTTTCGAGGCTTAGGCTTCAGCCCTCAGCCCCAGATCGGCCCACATCCCGGGAGACGCGGTCATAAACGATTGTGTAAGTGAAATGTTTCGTTGTCTTTATTTTCCCGTAAACGAGATTGAAATTCCGGTTCAAGATGAATGAGAGGGATATTAAGATTGCTGCTTGTAACACAATCCCAAAGTTAAAAAGGCATTAATAAGTAGTAAGTTATAGGGAAGGTCGGCGAGAAGTGGTTATCTAGTTGCATGAGTAAGAGAAGGAGAAACAAACAAAACCTTGGCAGGTACTCTATCTAAGAGTAAGTAACCTTTCTCAGCCAGTTCCAGGGACGACGATACGGTAATAGGAGAGGTAAGTAAGGTAAGTAAGGTACCCGACCAGGACCCAGTGACCAGAACTCCATCCGATTTGCAGTTCATTTCATGGTTGGTGGAGCCTGCAAGGGGCACTTGGGTCCTGGTCGGCGGTACCGTACGGTATGGACAAGACTCATCCATGGATTTCGTGACAGTTTAATCTGTTTCGGGTTCTGTTATGATCCAGGCACCGGAGCACAAGTGGAGTCGGTGCCTGAGGGGAAATAATATGGTCTGTCCCCGGTTCCAGCTGGTTGAAAATTCGTGGTTAAGAAAGAAGTTGCTAGCTAGTTTGCAAGCAGAATCTTCACAGATCCATTATCAAGTGCGGTGAAGAGAAGAGAAAAATAATCATGACAGCCACGCTGCACTGAAAATTCGGACTGCAGGAAGAGAGAAAAAGAAACATTGAATGAAATAGGATTGGAAAACTGGCCAGCGAATCTCGTGTCGATCCGCTTTGGGTTCCAGCGACCATCGCAGCGCTGGCCAATTGGGCCCCAATAATGCGATCCCACATAATACAAAATAATAATTATGATAATAATTAATCAATCCAGTCATTCAGAAGCAGAACCATAATCCACTTTCCACGCTTCTGTCCCCCTCCCCGTCAGCTTGTGAGGGACGGAGAGAAGTCTGAAAAGTAGTAGCCATGGAGTCCATGTCAAATCATTGGCTCTGATTAAAACAGGCAGTAGAGAAAAAAAAGTAAAATGGAATAATACTTTGGAACCCGAGATGGGGAAGATGAGAAAAATGGGAATAGACCGACCAATACAGTAAGTAAACTCCATCAAAAAAATAAAGGGTAACCAGAATGACGATCGAAAGGAATCCAGATCCCTTCTTTTTTTTCTAGTCTTCCATACCTTCCAGAGCGATCGTTGCTCTTTTTCCCTTTTTATTTTTATTTTCCATTCTACTCTCTCACGTCTTCCTCCAGCTCTCTCTTCCTCTCTTTTCTTTTCTCTCTTGCATTGCTTCTCGCGTCGCATACTTTTCCGGTCACTGTCTCTCCTTTCCCCTTCACCCCCTCATCCTCCTCCATATCACCGGAGCCACATTCGTTTTCAATCGCGCTTTTGACGCCGTCTCCTTGAACTATCGACTCCGTCAATCAATTTCTCGGGGGTCACTCTCCACCGGATATCCAACCGGCTTCAACATCAAATAGTAATCTACTTACTCCGCTTCCGCCGTCGACGGTGCAGCCACATTCCTTACCCGGCTCATGCAGACGCCCCTTCTGTCCAATCCGACCGATATTAGCATCTATCCTTAGTTCTTGAACTTGGTATCTTCATCGCTAGCGATTATTATCTCTCTCGCGCATTATCGACCTAAGACCAGCCCACCCGGCGAGCGACGCTTACTATTGGTAATTGACTAAACCTCTCCTCCGTTACACTGGCATTCCCAGGGGATGACCGGGAATTTGGAATAGCGTCCATTCCTCGAGCTATTCCACCACCACCACCACCCTCGTCCCATCCATTCGCTCGTTTCTCTCTCGTCTTAGCCCTCACCTGGTAGGTTCAAGACTCATTGAGCACCCTTCCATTGTGCAACCTCAGCGAATCTGACGGCTTGGATCTTATCCAGTATTGGCTCTCCGGTGTAACTGTCGGATCGGCTGCCGCTCCCTTACGCCGTGAATTTCGACTGTCGGCTGTCCACCCCCCCTACAATCGCCTGGACCGTCGCTCTTTACACTCCCCCGTCACACCATCATGAACCGATTCCGCAAGACAAAGAAGGAGAAGGTGAAGGAAGATGGCGACTATTCCGAAGCCAGCTCGGTCAGCCTCAGCTCCATGCTGTCGAAGAAGTCCAAGAAGGAGGAACCCGAGGAAAAACAAGACTTCGACCTTTCCAATGCATTGCCCTCGACCGACGACTTTCGCACCAGTCTCCTGATGCCCAAACTATCCGCACGATTCAGCATGTTGAGGGAGCAAGATGATCCAGAATCGATGATCGGAAAAGCCAGCGACGATAGTGTGCTCTTCCCCCGGCGCGCTTCGCGACTGAATCTCTTTGGCCACAACCCCAGCCTCCTGTCGGACATTGACGAGGTCTCCATTGACGGCAGTCGGCCGTCCATGAACCTTGGGCGCACTCATTCTCTCGCGTCGGATAGCAATAATGGATATGGTACGGACGACGACCCTTGCCAACAGGGCAGCATTATGAGCAGGGCTCGTCGAGCCGAGGGTAACAACTTGTTCGGTGGACGACAAAAGGTGTACAAGATTCCCTCCTCCAAGACGACCTCAGGAGCAAATTCGGAATCCGGACGAATGGGGGGCCGTGCGCTCTATGACCATGATCTAACCATGTCATCATTCCAACGACTGAAGTTAACTGAGCGTGAGAATGCGGCGACAGAAGACACACCGCAGGACAGTCCAACTCAGGAGTCAGAGGATGCACTATCGAGTGCTGGTTCCACGAAGCGAACAACTTTCTCCTCAACGGCATCTGGGCCCACTTCCAATGGGCGCACATCAACAGCGGCGACATCTTTCGACGAGCAATCTTTCATCGCACCTCCGTCGCAGACAAACTCGGCGGACACGCAAGCCTCCCAATCTAAGCCGCCCGTGCCGAACATGGCTCCTGAGCGTGGCTCGGTCAAAGCCCGCCGTCTGTATGGACAAGGTTTGGCACAGTCCGCTCAAAACCAGCAGACCTCCACCTTGCAACGACTGGAAAGCCTGAGCCGTCAGCGTGGAGCGGGCCCAGAATTGCCTCCCCTGAACCGTGCCTTTTCTAGAAGCGCCACAAACTTACGCGACAGGCTGCAGCCACTCACTATTGCCGAGCCGGCCGGCACTGATTCCCGGCCGACCAGCCCTCCCTCACAGCCCAGGTCGCCAGAACGGTCTGCTAGGTTGAATCCCAGGGAACCACAAACTCAAGCAAATTCTGCGTACGGTGTCCCTCCGCTGAGCCCTCCCGCCAGCGAGAATGAGGATAAAGCCCCCCTGATGGCCGCTCTGAACCCGGAAGACCATGGGAAAGCCACAGCAGCCGGCCTATTCAACAAACCCAACAGCATGTTTGACGAGAGCCAGTTTACACGACGTCAGTTGCAAATGCACCAGGGAAGAAGCACGCCGCCTTTAGGGCGACTTCCTCCCCTGCCTACCCAGGCTATTCCCCAAGAGCGCGCCGGTCGTGCTAGAGGGCTGTCTAACACGAGCTATGCGTCCAGACCTGGCTCTGCATCTTCTCACTACAGTGAGGCTCAACGGCCAGGTAGCCGATCCGCTGTCAATTCCCCTCCTACAAGAAATGACAATGGCACGTTCTTCTCGAACCCCAGTCCCAGTGATTCGGAGGATGATGGCGGTGCTTCCCGTTACGCCACTGACGAGATTCATCCTGCGCTTCGGCCGGAGACGCCCTCCAAACCATCCACTCCCACTAGTGAGCACCGGAGCCCTTTGCCTGAAGTCAGATACTCGGATCTAGGTGACCTGAAGCCTATCGCGGAAAATGACACTATTGAGAATGGACCCGGGGAGGATGATGGCCTTCCTGAGAAGCCCGATTCACCCACCTTGGGGCCGGCTGGCCTGGGCCTGAGCGGCCTCGTTCGTACTCACTTGCGATCCAACAGTGACAGATCATCCATTTACCCGCCTCCTTCTCCAGGCCTTCCTTCGAAGCCCATCGACACCGATGCCCAGGAGGAGCCGGTTCTGCAGCACCATGCGGGCGCCCAGAACAGTGCACACTGGCAGACCGAGCTTATTGCTAGACACAGACGCGAAGGTAGCACGGAGACACAGAGGGAGCGCGAAGAGTTTGCCAATGAGCTGGCGGAGAGGCGCAGGAAGGTGCAGGAAAAGCTTCGAGGATTTGCAGAGGGAGAAAGCCGGTCGGCCAGTCCTGTTTCAGGCCGCCAGACTCCGGATTTCACCCCAAGCAAACCCGGAAATGCCTTCGCCTTTCTGAAAAACAAGTCCGGGAAGCAGCACCTGAAGGGCGCAAGGGGCCTCAACCTTGCCAATGCATCCACCCCGGCTTTGGTCTCGGACGAGATGTGGCGCGAAGAAGAGGAGAGACCATCATTCAGCTTTGCGAAACATTCCAACTCTAGCTCACCACATATCGCTGGAGAAAGATCCTTCCGCTCCAAAGTCTTCGGGCGCAGTAGCCAGGAAGATTCTCGCGAGTCTAGCCGCAGCCGCGGTGCATCTCCGCACTCCAGCTTCCGTTCTCGCCGGGATCGCTCGACCTCGGATGCCTCTGGTCGTTCTAAGAGTCGCACGCGGCGAGACAGAGACGGACTGGAGACCCTGGAAGAGGTCGCTCACGGTGTCCATAGGCCGTACGCGTTTCCCGATTATGACCAACATGGTCTAGCCTCTGTCCCAGCTTCCACTCGTGCTTCCGCCGAAGTTAGCGAACCCATCACGTACGATCGGTCCGCCTCTGCCGCTTCTGGAAGATATCGCAGTGACAGTCGATCAGCGGTCTCGAGCTACCACGAACGTCCCTTTTATCCTCCAGCTCCGGCAGCTAGCACCACCTCCCTGATCGGTGCTGCTGCCCCACGGCCTTCGCCTATCGCCCCCTATTCTGCCAATGCCACGCCACCTTTGGAGGACATGTCTCAAGGCCATTCGTTGACCCCGGTGACCACCAATAGCTCTACCACTGCACCTCCCCCGCGAGCTCCGGGTCATAACGGTCTCCACAAACGACCAGTCACCAAGGCGCTGATCTCCGAACCGAGATTTGTCTCCTGCACTTCGAACGTACCAACCGTCGGCCTCCCTCCCGGCGCGAGCTTGAGCAACGGCAGAGATACTCCTCCAGTTCCGCCTATGAACCCTCGTCGCCGCCGCCAGACTACCACACAGACTATCCTTGGCGCCCTGAAGGGTGAGAGACACGAGTCGCAGTATGCGCCATCGCTCGATGCCGCCATGATGGAAGAAACCAGCAATTTCTCCGACGATGGCGAGAAGCGGCCCAGATCCCGAGCCCGGCTACGCAAAACGTCCAGCGAGGGAGGCAACCTGAACGCAAAGGCCCGACAGCAGCTTCAACACCTAATGTCTGAGGCACCGCCGGCCGTTCCTTCATATCCACCACCAAAGATTCCCATGGATGGAGGCATGTTCTAATCCTCTCATCCTCAAACCACAAACCTCATCCGATCCTTTCTATCTCACTCCTCCCTTCCTTCACTTTTATCCATTTCCTTTCCATTTTCTCTCTCCTTCCTTCCTTCACCTACCATTCTCCGGTCATGATGTATTACTCGATGTCCTAAACTAGCATTCTGCATTTTAATGTTCGATACCTCTCGTTTGGAATTCTCGCATACATCATGATATACCAACAGCGTTATGTTGAGCGGACAGGACACGGCTGTCATTGTTTCCTACTCTGTGTGTGTGTATGTTTTATTTTCCCATTCATTATCTCGTCTAGCGGAATTTCCTTGTGTTCTATATCACATCATATCATATCTCATCAAACCAATATTTAGCCTACCAATGGTAGGTAGATAATCCAAAGATTATTGAAAATGAAACTTTCCAGCTCTAGTAGTGACGACGTACTTCATCGACAACCCTACTTATCCTCCTATTCAACCCACACCGATAGATATAAAAAACCTTCGTACAATGATCTCCTAATTTCAACTCAACTCCCCAGCCACCCTACCATAAACAGCCAGTGAACCAACACGCCCATCAAGCAAAAGACCAACCCGACCAAGCAAGCCAGCAAGCAAAAACCAGGTAGCCTAGTTAATCAGTCAGTCAGCCAGCCAGGTGAGGGCAAGGTGCCTCCATTCACCCGTAATAATCGCATCGTCAGGCCAAAACGAGAGGGTTGTGCAGGGGCGAAGAACGGAGTGGGTCACGTGTTTCAATGAGCCCTGTTCTGCACGACGCCAGCGCAAACCTCACCATCATCTACGTTATAGGAATCACATGTAGAACTTGAGATGCATACATTTGTCACTCTTCCACTTCATAGCTGCTGGATTCTAGGTAGATTTCTAAAAATGCAGATGTGCCCAGATAGATTGCTAGGTCTCTAGCTATCCGCGAGAACTTCTTTCTGAAGGAAAAAAGGAAGTATGATAGGAATCTACGATGAGATGAAGACCATAGGCTCTACTTCTACTGTGCAGATCCGCACCCAGTCCCATGAATAGAAGCTATACTCTTGTGCAAGATCGTCTAGGAAACTGAACTACCCACGCGGCTGGCAGATTCTAAGGGTAAGAAAGAAAGCAAGTAACAGAGAAACCGTTTTGTTTGATCAATTTAGTAAACTATCTCTGAGGGTTTTCACAGTGAATTAGTAAGAATGTAAACGACACGTCTCTTTCCTTCTCTTCGTGTTGCAACTCCAATTACATCTCTCAGAGAAGTACTTCGAGTAAGTAGTCAAGATTCTGAATCATCAAGGTTTCTTAGGATTTAGGTGAGTGAGTTGGTGTTGAGAAGTTGATCGATCTGCTTCTTGATCATCAGAAAGCTAATCGTCTTCGGTTGCGGTATAGTTTCCCATCAATCTTTGCTCTTTGCTGTTGATTCCGGGTTGCAAAGTCATTTCGAAAGGCGAGGAGGAAACTCGAGTTAGGTGAGTATGGATATCTTTTCGTCGTCGTGTTGTTTCTTTTTTTCTTTCTTTTTCTCTTCTCATATCTTTTGCTAGTTTGGCGTACGTCGTTATGACACGTCGAAGCGAATCTTTCTGCACTTCCGAATTACCCTTTGTTACTGAAGAACTCGACACGTACTTCTGGATCTCACGAAAGCGCGGCGATATGGGCCCAGAGATTCGTCGGACTAAGTCTGCGGACCCTGTCCTCCCCTCCGTGCCGCAAGTGGACGGACCGACCGAACAGCGCAAGGCCAAGAAAAGTAAGTCGAAGAAGAAGAATAACAATAAGAACAACAAAAACAAGGGAAAGGGCAAAGCTCTCGAGGTCGAGGTCGAGGAGAATGTTGTTGTTGATAGTGGCTGTGACATGGCCAAGGAGGGACAACAACAGAAGCAGACTGAGAACGGCGATGACCATCGTGACAATGTTGTTGTTGCTGCTGCTGATACCGCCATTGCTACTGCTGCTGGTGTCGAAGTCAAGAGTAATAATCTGCCTCCACCCTATTCCAGCGCGGGAGAGGACACAAGCATTGGCGAGCCGGCTTCTTCTGTGGTGACGAACTCGCCAGTGGCCAGAATGGCACCAGCCGCTGAAGCAGCTTCTCTCAAGGCGAAGATCATGGAAGCGATGAGAATCCGCGACAGACTCGACCGCCAGATCCAAGAGAAACGCAATGCTAGTGCTCAGGCTAGCTCATCTTGCGGGGAACAGCGGAACGCCCGGGCTGTGCCTGCGATGTCGAGTCCTTCGTCCGCCAGCCAGCGACGACCTGATAGTGGTAGTGTCGACAATCTTCCGCAGATCAACAGTTCGCAACGCAGTCCAGTGAGCGAGATGCGTGCCACTGGCAACTTAAATTCGCACCCTTCCACCTCAGTCGCGGACTATTCTTCCGAAGAGGCAGTACGTACTTCGGGCACACGATCCGATGAACCTAACAGCCAGGACAATTATCGCGCTGCTAACGACAGAGAAATTAAGCAGTATTGTCGGGCTCACATGCGGGCTCCCTGCCGCTTCGATCCAAGCTGTTGTGTTCATAAGCCCATGCAAGGCTGTGACTGTCCACCGAGATCGTCTTGCTGTTGTTCGCACCACAAAGGCGATTGCTGCACTTGCTTGACATATCTTAATACTGTGTCGGCCAAGAGCGACACTGAGACCCCTAGCGATGTTGGTCAAGGTGTGGAAGGCGGTAAGGTGGTTGCTGAACGCAACACTTCTGGTGGAAAACAAAGTGAGTTGAATGTGTACAAGGGCAATCTGTTCGTAATTGGAAGCTAACCGAATGCCAGGCGTGATGGATGATCAGCTCAAGAATATGGAGGCTTTTTCGGAGCATCTCCTTCAACTGTTCGAAAATCGTGAGCTGTGCGATTTTCACTTCAAATTGACATCGAGCAACGGCATGCACCAATCCACCATAGTCCCCGTGCAGGTGGCCGTTATCGCTCGCAGCCCGTTCGTCGCCGCGCTTCTGCGGACTCAACTTTATCAGCAGGGACACCGGGAGATTGCTGCGACACTGGGTGACCAAGTCAACTTGATACATGGGTTCGAACATGCAATTCGCAACTTGTATGGGTCACCACTTCTCCACGGCGAACGACTGAGAACCGAGGCCCTTGCAGTACTGGGTTACACCGAAGAGTCTCAAAGCATGTACCCATTCCCGATCAGAACAGCCATGCTCGATCTAGCATTTTCGTACGCCGCATCTGGAGCATTTCTCCATATCAGTAACATCCTCGAAGCAGGCATCAGAATGGCATTGGAGCTGATCGACTGGAGCACTGTCGAAACAATCATCCACTTTGGTCTCCGCGTGGATAGATTCTCAATCATTCTGGAAGGAACCGACACTCCGCCGGGCAGTCCTCGTGCCAAGCATACTCGGTCCGGACATGTCCTGATTAGAAACCGACAGCTTCGAGAGATCTGGGCTCCATTGCTGGCCAGGGCCGGCTTGTCATTCATCGCTGAGAGCATCGATGACAAGTTCGTCTTGTACGCTCAAGCCCAAAGCCTGCATCTCCCAAATCGTATCCCAGAGAGCTTGCACACTGCATCTGGCGCTATTGGCTCTGAGCCAGGATCTGCTTCCATAAACTCAACAACGACTGAGAACAAGCCGAGCCGCGAGGCCTTGGTCGCCTCTGCTGTCCTGATCAGTCTCCCATTTGTCCATCTGCAAGAGGTGTTCAGGACTTTGAGTGCTCGTCGTGTACTGTCGAACAACCTAGCACAAGCGATAATGAGTGAGAGGGAGTCACGACGGTTGCAGGCGCTGCGAGAGCTTGGCAGACAAGGCGAGATCAATGAACAAAACCTCCCCAAAGAGACGAAGGAGTTGGGGTACGGGGAGTATCTCGTGTTCAAGAGTGTCTGCAAGCAAGGCCAAGGACCCGTGACGGTGACAACGGAAGTCAGCCTGGAGAGAGAGTGGATTGGGTGTCGGTCGCCAGACGCCAAACAGTAGCGAACCACCCCTGCTCTCCCTGGTGACGTGGGAGAGAGGGGTGGCACGCCGACCTGGTGCTTTGTGTGGCTCCGGTGTGCAAGTGATGAAGATAGACGAAAGGTGCTTGGATGGGAAGGCAGGAAGGATGAGGTGGGTAACACAGGAGAGAAGAAGGCGAAGGGGCGCGTGAGGGAAGTAAAAGAAACAGAGCCGGGGCGGTGAAGCATCAGCAATATTGGGTTTTTATTTTCACTTCTAGGGACTTCTTTGTGTTTCGTGCGTTCTTGTCGCTTGCTGGAGGGCGTTGCTATTGTGAGATTCACTGGAGGATGCGCACGTGCTCACGTTGAATAGCCCTAGAGTTTGTTTTCGTTCTTGTTTCTTTTCTGCACGGAAGTTGGCGGACATGCCAGATGGATATCATAACAGTTTCATTTTCATTATGCACAGTAAAGTAGGAAGGAATGTACAGACATCTCTGCTCTATGAGCTATACATCTCCCGAGACCATCTATAACTCTATACCTTTGATTGCTAACATCTTAGACCATCGACCACTCACCAGGAGCTTATACGCGGCCGATCTTGTCCGGGAATCCAAAGTCAAGCTTGAAAGGAGGGAAAACAAAACGCTGAAAGGCGTTCTTCGAGGCCAGGTCGTTTGTGTATTTGGCAATAGTAGCCATATCAGCATCATCCAATGCCACCAGGTTGCGGTTGCCCTCAATCCGAGAGGGGTTCACAGACTTGGCAAGGACGGAAGAGCCACGGCTGACTACACGGAGGATGCAGTTAGTGATAATTCTCGCATTATTCGGCATGGAAGATACGTACTGTGCCAGCTCAGCAGGACCGTGGCTGGGTCGACACCCTTCTTCTTCGCAACCTCGACAATGGGCTCTGCCGTCAGCAGCGGACTGCCCGTGCTGCCGAGAGGGCTGTATGCCGTGATGTGAATGCCCTTCTCCTTGCAGAAGTCGACCGCCTCCTGCTGGGGAAGGCAGGGGTGGTTCTCAATCTGGTTGACAGCCGGGACCACGGTGGCTTGGGCGAGGAGCTCCTCAAGGTAGGGCCTGCTGTAGTTGCAAACACCAATGGCCTTGGTCTTTCCGCTACCGACAAGCTTCTCCATATCCTTCCAAGTGTTGATATGGGAGTGGTTGAGGTGCAGGTCGCGGGAACCGTCGGGAAGGGTGGGAATATTGGGGTGGTTTCCTTTGTGATGTCAACATGTGCATCGCCTTGAGTCTGAATTAGTGGAGGACTCACCATTAGGGTTCATAGCCACCGGCCAGTGGACCAGGTAGAGATCAACATATTCCAGTCCCAAGTTCTTCAAGCTCTGGTCCAGAGCCTGTTCCACTCGGTAGTGCCATGTGCTCCAGAGCTTAGTTGTGACAAAGAGGTCCTCTCGCTTGACAACTCCAGACTCGATGGCTGCCTTGATACCCTTGCCGACTTCTCCTTCGTTTCCGTAAGCAAAAGCGGTATCAATGTGTCTGTATCCAACGGAGATGGCATGTGCCACGGCCTTTTCGACCTCTCCAGGGCCTGACTGCCAGGTTCCTGCACAGACGTTAGCCAGAATGTCCTTGTGGCTACTATCTGAAGATGTATCATACCGAGTCCGAGAGCAGGGATCTCAGCCCCGGTGTTCAGCTTGAAGCGGGTGTCTGCGACGGTCGAAGTCGAACCCATTTTGGCAATATACAAAGAGAATTGGAGGGAATGAGATATGTAGAGCCTACGTGAGGGTAAAGAAGAGAGAAGAAGAAGACAGATAGACTACAAGGAAACGAGGATAAAGCTGGTAAAGAGGAAGGAGGGGAGGAGGGGAAGAAAAGGGCGACCCCCACGCCGCCCCTCCGCATCCCCGCCATTCGGGCCAAATGAGTCCGAGACCATCTCCAGCTTCGCCTGTCAATCTTCATCCTCTCAAGTCCCTCCCATCAACTGCCACATAGATACTCCCGCTTCAGTCAACGTATGTTGGCTGCTTCATACACATATCGCTTGTTTAGCTCAATTATTCACCCACTGAATGACAAAGGGCAATGCAATAGCAAGAAGCCGGCATTCCCAAATTGCGGGAAGTTAATGTTCGATAGCCGTCGACCCCGTCGCAATCAGCTCCACTTCTCAAGAGGACACTGGCTCAGTATGCGAGATTGGCTGACTGATATCCGGCCTTGCAGCGATCGTGGGCGCGTTCAGGACCGCTGAGATCGCGACAGGAATCAGGACAGGAAGATCAAAGACCAGCGATCATTGTCATGATCGCCACGACACTCAGTCAGGGAGATTGCAGAAGACACAAGTTTAGCAATGAAGGGATTCTCTTTGGATGGCGACGGGCCGTGCGTGAACCCGAGGTTCGTCCGCATCGGAAACCAGTATCCTAAAATGCGCCCACTGCAGCAGCCAAGACTGGGGCCTGGAATGGGATGATTTCACTTCTCCGCAACGCAGAGTGTATCCGTTGGATCCAGATCTGTAAGACAGATCGCCGCACGTTCCACGCTGGCGGGGGCGATCCTCAGAGGCGTATCACCGACATTCTCTCGCTGCGGAAGCCACTTTCCGGGCTCCAGCCATGCTCCCACTCCCAAAGACCTCAGCGCCATGGTCTCGACGATCTATTCTCTTCGGATTTCTAGAATCATACAACGTCATCCACACAAGGAATGGCAGGCGTCGGTCTTTCGGAATTACCATACATTTTCGGTCTTCTAGTGCGTGAAACATTGATATTTATGCTCCCACTCCTCGAGCTTGTTTCCTTCCCAGCAACAAACCCCAGAGCATTTCTTTGATACCCCCAAGCTCAACACACTTTCTTCTTTCATACACCTTCAAAAGAAAAGTTACAATCACAATGGCACCAGTCGCTGTATCTCCTGAATCCCCGGTGTTTAACACCAAGCGTGACGGACAGGCTCTCGAGGAGCTGTCGGACGCTATTGACAATGTCAACGTCCTCAAGGACAATATGAAGAAGGAGAAGGGTCTGTACGAAGAGTCCGAGTTTGACAAGAACAAGGACAAGACCAAGTTCCGTCAATACGAAGACGCCTGCGACCGGGTCAAGAACTTCTACAAGGAACAGCACACCAAGCAGACCGTGGCCTACAATCTCAAGGCCCGCAACGAGTTCCACTCCAAGACCCGTGCGGAGATGACCATCTGGGAGGCGATGGAGAAGCTCAACACCCTCATCGACGAGTCCGACCCGGACACCAGCCTCTCTCAGATCGAGCACCTCCTGCAATCCGCCGAGGCCATTCGCCGCGATGGCAAGCCCCGCTGGATGCAGCTGACCGGTCTCATCCACGACCTGGGCAAGCTGCTCTACTTCTTCGACGCCCAGGGCCAGTGGGATGTCGTCGGAGACACCTTCCCCGTCGGCTGTGGTTTCGATGAGCGCATCATCTACGGCCGTGAGTCCTTCAAGGACAACGAGGACTTTGGCCACCCCATCTACGACACCAAATTCGGAATCTACAGCCCCGGCTGCGGCCTCGACAACGTCATGCTCTCCTGGGGTCACGACGAATACCTCTACCACGTCGTCAAGGACCAGTCCACTCTCCCGGACGAGGCCCTCGCCATGATCCGCTACCACTCGTTCTACCCCTGGCACAACGCCGGCGCTTACCACGAGCTGATGAACGACCACGACAAGGAGATGTTCAAGGCTGTCAAGGCATTCAACCCATACGACCTGTACAGCAAGAGCGACGATGTCCCCAGCCCTGAGGAACTCAAGGTAAGCCTATCCCATTACTCCGACTTTGGTGACATAATACTAACAAATATTGAACAGCCATACTACCTCGACCTGATCGACGAATACTTCCCCAACAAGGTGATCAAGTGGTAGAGCATTGATATGATGTATGATTTTGACTGGATGATTATATGTATTGCTTCTTCTTACCACATTTTTGCTTCTTATTCCCCCTTTACCCTCCTAGCATGCACGCAAGCGATGATCTACGACCTACTGCAGTCACTTTTGAATTCAAAGAATGGGATTGATTCCCTTTTCCTCCTCCAATAGATTTCTTGCCCTTTTTCCACACTGTATTTCCATCGATAGAGTCGTCAAAACCCACACATCCCCCTGAGAAAGAAGCACACGAACACAATAGCTCAGATCAGAGATCTAAAGAAACAAGCATCTACCCCTCATCTACCAAATACTGAACACCCATAGCAAATTAGACTACTATCCCCATCGGTTAATAAATCCAACCTGTATGATCTCCAACCCGCATGACCACGCACCACCAATAAAAGATCTGCCATTCCGCATACTTCGGAAACAAGGTCCCGGAGACGGTTTCTCTCCGGGGAATGTTGCCCATCTCGGTTAAAAAAAACTTTCAACCAAAGTCTGGAACGGCGGAGCTTGCTTTATTTGGGGAAGTGGCGGGGTAGGTGGGGTTGGGGCTTGCAGGTCATATGTAGCTAACTTTTAGTTAGTTTAGCTGTTAGTGATTTAGCTACTACTTACGTAGTAGGCGAGATGGAGCTGGGTATAGTTTGTATGATTAGATGGATTTCTGTGTAGTGAGATTGTATCTAGATAGTAGATGAGGTGGTGTCAGTTGGAGACGGGTGGATGTTGCTGCTATGGGGTTTCACTTGCTTCTGTCAGTCGTAATTTAGTAGAGAGCACCGGGAAGGGGAATTGATGTGGAGTTTGAGCACGACTTACTTATATACGCAATGCTACAGCTTAGTTTTGACGTACTATGATGAGATGGTGCTTAAACAAGAACAGCGATCGCGCTTTTCATTAACATGAGGAAAAAACTAGTCATAACAGGAATCTATCGTGTCTATCATATCTTTAAAGTCTTGCCTTGGGAATACGCTGACCAGCCTCGTCGAAGAAGATCTTCTCGCCCGTGATCAGCGATTCTTGAAGGGCAGCGCCGATGCGGACTGCCTGGACGGCGCCCTCGAGCTTCAGAGGGACAGGGGTATTCTCGAGACAGCAGGCCGTGAATTCATTCGCCTCAGTGACGAACGCATACTCGAAGCGGTCGTAGTAGTGCTGGGGGATCTCGCGACGGACACCGTTCTCGTCGAAGATGTTGACCAGGTTCAGGGCAGGCTGGGTGTTAACGGCCAGCTTACCCTTGGTGCCGATAATTTCGGTGGTGTCTTCCTGGCCGGCTGCCATCATGCGCGAGGCGTAGAAGTAGGCGATCTTGCCGTTGTGGAACTCCACCAAACCGACGGCGTTGTCCCGGTCGTTATGCTTGCGCAGGTCGGGCTCAACGGCGGTGATACCCACCGCGGACACAGACTTGACCTTGCTGTCTTGGCCGAAGAACCACAGAGCCAGGTCGATATCGTGGATGGAGCAGTCCACGAAGATACCACCCGAGAACTCGGCGTAGGCGACGAAGAACCCGGTGGGGTCCAGCTTGTCGCAGGTCTGACTGCGCATGACGGCGGGAGCACCAATTCCACCAGCGGACATCTTGTTGAATGCGTCACGGTAGGAGGCATCGAAGCGACGGGAGAAACCGCACATTACTTTGAGTTCGGGCTTCTTGGCTGCTGCGTCGAGGACGGTTTGGGACTATTGAAGAGGCATGTTAGCTGCATTGCTAGGGAGGCATTGGGGGGCAAGGAGGTGGAAACATACGATCTCGACACTGGTCGACAAGGGTTTCTCGCAGAGAACGTTCTTGCCAGCCTCAATAGCCTTAATGGCCTGTTCAGCGTGCACGGCGGTCGCGGACGCAACGACGACGGCCTCCAAGCCTTCGTGCTTCAGCATGTCCTCGTAGTTTTTGTATGCCGTGACTCCGTACGGAGCAAGGTTGACCTTGGCCCATTCCAGTTCCGAGTCGTCCGGAGTGCTGACGGCGACAAGGTCTGCATGGGGAGTACGCTGCAAGAAGTTGAGGGCGTGACGCTTGCCCATGCGGCCCAGACCGGCACAGCCAACCTTCAGCTTTCTGGCAGACATTGTGATGATAAAGGGGGAGAGGAAGAGTGTAGATGAGGAATTGAGTTAGAGAAAGGGTTGTTTCGTGTAACGGTCTGTGGAAGATGTGAGGAGAATTGAGGACAGTGAGAGGGAACGACAACAGCGAGGACGTGCAATTTAACCACACGACGAGAAACTCCAGCAAGAGTCGGTCTAGCTCTATCGGAGGGGATGCGGAGAAGCTGGACCTGCCAAGTACCTTCTCCTCAGGTGTTTAGTTGGCAGGAGAAACAATCCCAGAGTGTGCCACTAGACTAGTAGGAGATCAGCCTGGAATAGCCGGGCAAGGCGCTTGGAGGGTTTGGACCCCCGTGGAGATGACCACTGCGACCCCGGATATCATCCTCCAGAGTTGCCCCGTGGGTCGGATTCCGGTCGGAAAAGGGGTTCCTGGAGGCAGCACAGCATTCAGAATAGCAGGCACCCAGGCATCGAGTATGATAAAATGGACCAGCCTCCTCATGAGGGGGATGCAGTTGGGGATGGATGCATGACTTCTCCATCGATCTCCCACCCACTAAGCAGTTAGTTGACTATCAGTCTATCCTGGAATTGTCGCAGAGACACGAATACATTCTCACCGCATATAGAAGCACACTTCCGCTTCTGGTAATCACCGGCGCGAGTTCCCCCGCCGGGGGTTGGGGCAGCGGGGATTGGTGCCCTTTCCGGGGGTCAGACTGGGTCTGGACCCTCAATCCAGCATCACACTTCTGTTTCCATCGGGGAATCATTCGCGCTCAATTGACTCTCTCTGAATCATGAAGCGGGTAGTCATTTATCACCAGATTTATCTCAGGAGCCATGACATCTTGAGAATGTTGTTACCCATCTTGCAATCGACTCCCTGTGGGTCCTAATGCCACTTAAGTCCAAACAGCTTATGGTAGGTCAATTAACGGCGATATCTAGCTGACAGTTGAGGTTTAATTCATATAGCTTCAAAATGCGCGCAAATCTCGAATACCATCCATTGTAGTGTAACGGCTATCATACCTGTCTTTCACACAGGTGATCGGGGTTCGATTCCCCGCAATGGAATCTCGTTTTGATTTTTGTTCTCTCTACATGCGCCTTTGCACTGCATTCAACAATTGCGAAGTATGCTGGCAACTGCTGCGGTTTCAACCTCGTCGCGTTTGCGATCTGCTCTGTCAAAGTTTGCCGCTTGTCGGACTGCTTGGGCTTTTGCCCGTCGTCATCATGATAGCAACTACTGATATATTTACATGGTTTTCTCGCGCTTAATCCAGCTAAGCAGGAGGTGGAAAATAATAAGGTGGGCGATGGTGGTAAGAGTCTGGACTTTTGTGCCGCTTCTACCATTGGAATCTCTGCAGTGATGAGCAAAATAGTGCAGTGCAAATTGTTAGGAACCAAAGGCCGGTATTATTAGGATCACTGTTGGGTGTCTTTCTGGCATTTGCATCAATCACGCGACAAATAGTTACACTCCACCCCTCGCTTTGCATAAAAAGGACCTATGAACATGAATTGAAACAATGCACCGGAACTATAAGACTTGCTGACAATATACTGGATTCAAGGCTCATTCTCCGCTTTTTCCGCCTTCAACGCTGCTGCTTTTCTCGCCCTCCTCTTCGCCGCCACCTCAACTGGATCCGCAAAGCCATCCCCCTTCAACCACGCCAGTGCCTTCCGCACACCCTTCCCCTGCACAGCGGACGGCCTCGTCTCAAGAATAGACCCAATGAGTGCCCACGCCAGCACAATGATGCATAGGTCTCCGCCCTTCCAGCCCTTCCATAATCCGCGCTTGACGCCGGTCTTCCAGGCCGAGTCCACAGCTGCTCGGAAGAAGTACATGAAGATACCACGGCTGTTTGTGAGGAAAGCAAATGGAACGCCTGCGAGCGCGCCACTAAGGAAGAACCGTTTAGCGGGAAGCACAGAGCGTGGGAGAAGGGTGTTCCAGAGACAGATGCTACCCCATGCGGAACCAGTAGACGCAGAGAGGATGGCGGTCATGGTGATGATTTTCTTGGAGAGTTTGTTGATGGAACTGATAGGCTCGTTCATGAGGGCCTTAATGTTGCGTAGAGATAGGGCTAGAGTGACGGTGGTAAGGAAGCGAGCGAGCGGTGGAACCAAGAGGAGGATGTGGTGCAGAAAAGCGGTACTGCAGCTGGGGCTGTTTGGGTGGAGTAAGGCACACGAGAGACTGGAGATTGCTGGATGGGCAGGGCCGGTGATAGGGGAGATAGATGTTAGTGTAGACGGTAGCGTGTTTGGGCTTCCTGGGTGTAAGATAGGGGAGGCAAATGCCCTGGTAGATGAATTAGTTGGGAAGGTCTGATGTTAAAGTAGGTGCTAGAACTTACGGCCACCGTAGGTTGGCGATGTTGGCCAAGGAATCAACCACATCTTCCTTCTCTGGCCATGGTATCTCCAGGGGCAAGGACTCGGGACGGCCGCGCACGTAGCTCGGAGAGAGCCTCAGGATAACATTTCCAAACCACTTTTCGTACAAATCAGCGTATGAAGAGTCTCGGTGTCAAACAATATCAACGAACCTTGGGTGCAGTCTCGCGATCAAAAATGAAGGCATGGAAGAGTTGTGCGCATGCAATTGGCATTAACAGCCAGCTTCCGAACCATCGAGGTCGATCCTTGAACCATCCCTTCTCATCCAGCGCATTAAACAGAAACTCCAAGCTACGAGTAGCTGTGTAAATTGCTGCCGTCAGCCGCAATTGTTTCTGTGGACATATTCCCAATGCAAGCCCCGCAATACTGGCACCAACTGCGGGCGCAAAGCGAGACGTGAGTGCTCTAGAAATCCGTGGGTTGCGGTCCCGGAAAGGTCGAGCATCGTCTGTACGAAGGTTGGCACGCAACTTGACGAAGAAGCGATAGAGGAAGCGGTGGATGAGAAGAAGAAGCGACAGGGAGATGGAGAGGCGAAAGTTTGGGGAGCGCGCAAAAGAGGTGCGCGATGTATTCTTTCTGTAAAAGATATTGGAGATCAGCCACGTACATGAACCGTCCCCTCATACCTCTGATGGTCTACAATAAGCGTATAAAGAAGAGAGAGCTTACTGGGTTAGGTCACCGCGGATCCTCCCAGCCGCGACGTCAACGAGCTTCAACAGGGAGCTGGACAAAACAAACACGCGTAACGAGGCTCGAATGGAAGCTTCATTATGCTTGTTTTTAGACCGAACTATAGCCTCGAAAGCTGAAGGCGAGGGAAGCTTGTTCTGGATGGCGGAGGGAGTGCGCTGAACGGCATAATCATGGAGCAGCTTGTACTCCTTGGCGCTGAGGGAAATGCGGAGAGCGTTGCGAACTACCGGATGGAGGTCGGGGTTAGGCGTGGAGTCGGACGCCATGGTGCGGTAGATTCTAACGGGTCATACGCGTGGGTCTCAACGATGGACTAAGCTCACATCATGAGAAACAGGGGATGGAAAGACAGAAAGCAAGGGACCGAGTGTGAGGAAGGAAGGAATTAAGCTCCAGCGTTCGGCGGATTTGCAGCTGACCGTCCTACGCGCCCGTGACCTCGGCTATTTCGCGCAATCACCTGAAAATGGTCTGCCTCGAGACAGGTATACTTCACCATTAGAACTACATTTCGCCAGATTCAATACGGGATATGGGTAAAGTCAAATTCACTGTCTATATCACAAACTGTTCCATGCCATGTTGCCGTTGCAAGATGTGAAAAGCAATAGTATCACCATGAAAGCAGGCCCTTGATAATCCATGCGTCCCCATCGCGGGTACATGGCAAACACAGTACCTGGGTGAGAATAATAAGGGAATAATGCTACATAGAAAGTAAGAACGAAAATTGTAAAAACATGATCGAGAAGCTGAAAAGGTGTGGAACGAAGAATGATGCCATGCAAAATCCGTTGCCATGATTTGCGCCACATAAGACCCTAGAAAAACACGAACGGCGCTATAAGAATCACCAGAAACTGCACCATCCAATCCAATGCTGACAGATGTTCTCGACACTGGTGGCTTGCGCAAGAAGCTTGTCCACCTGGTCGCTGACGTTGAGTTCCTCACTCGGCTTGAAATCTCTTCCTGTCAGCTTCTCCTTGACACGGGCAAGCACCTGGAGCGCTCGCGCGTTCTGTGCCTCTCTAGCTTCGTTGGGAATGCCCTCCTGTGCATCCAAGATACCACCCTCAAGAATGGAAGGCCGGCGGTGACGAGAGAAGTTGCTGGGCTGTACCCCATGATCGATATTAATGTTAGAGACGACCGACTGACGACGCTCGGCAGAAAATGGCATTCGATCTGGGGACTCGCGGATCCCCAAACGCCAGTTGATCAGTGGATCGTGAATGAACTACAACATAAACCATTAGCATAATGTCATCCATGGGACACGATATGGTGCCATGTGCTTACCGCTTCCAAAACAGCCATGAGGGAATCCTTGTTCTCTCTCAAGACACGCATGACAGCCTCGCAAGTAATCCGGTAACTTCCTTCGATATTGCTGACTTCCATGGCAAATGTCAACATACGAGTCAACCGGAAAGGTACCCTCTCAGGATACTTCTCACGGTGCATCGCCACCTCGAAGCAGTCACCGAAGTCGATATGGACCACTTTTCCGGTAACCCGATCCAGAAGCAAATTGGACGGGTGACGATCGCCAAGACCAAGTATGTAACCAACCATGGACATGACACCAAGGGAACGCGTGTAGTTCGTGCGGCGCTCCAGCCAGGCCTCCGAGCTACTACTCTTAAGCCATAGAACGCGATAGAGGTCCTTTCCAGTGGTATTGTCCATGGCATAGCCGAACACCTCCACCTTCTGCATAAGAGTAAGATTATCGTAGTCGGGCGCCATTTGGAGCATAATGCGGTGTTCAATGTTCAGCAAGATACGTCGGCTTTCTCGGTATTCCTTGATCAAGGCATGCAATGTGTCACTGTTGGAAACCCATCCAAGGATACCAGAGCTCTGTGATAGCGGGATTGCAGGGAACCGTTGCACAGACAGATGCCGTTTGAAACTCTCTCCATCGTTATCAAGTAGTGTGTTGACCAGGCCGAAGAGCTGCATGACACGTTCATCCTGCCGGATGTCTTCGTGTCCCTTCACACAGTACATGTACGAGTTTCCG